AATAGCATGCGCTCGGCTCGATTGGTTCGAATTTTTATGTCTGATAAAAATTAAGCTCGAATGTTCGATAATATTGAGCTCGAATAAATTTTAATACTTGTCATTTTTAATTCAACAAGTTTAATCTATATATTCTATGAGCAAATTTTTTTGACAAATCATAAAAAATATGTATATCCCATTATGACATCTTCAAAATATAAAGGACAATAATTTTTAAGAAATAAAAGGAAAAGTTTTCATTATATATTATTCGTAATAAAAATAAAATAATTTATAAGAAGTTCGAATAGGCTCGACGAGTTCTCGAATCAAGTATATTGATACTCGTATTCGACTCGTCTCTCTAATCGAAATGTTCGAATTCGGTTTAAATTCGGTTAAAGCTGAATTCAAGCTAAGCTTTGACTAAGTTATTTGCGAATTGCTCGCGAAGTGTTCGGTTCATTGACAGCCCTAAATAACAAAGAGAAAAAAAAAGGAATCATTTTGTAGTTCATAAAAAAGAATCATTAGAAGTTGCCATTGATGTACATTAGCCGCAGTTAGCTCAATCTGTCCCTCGCCTAACACCATGCATGCATGCTGCCGCGACAAAGAGAAAACAAAATTAAATTAAAATAAATAAAAAAATTGTGGCACGAAATTAAATGCATTCTTGTTAGTATTCCAAATAACTTTTTGATACCACGTCTCTCTCTTAGGAGACATCCAAATCCTCCAGAAAATTCTGAAATTGGTAAAACGACAATGTATGTTCTTTTCTTTTCTTTACATGCCGTCTCGTACCATATGTATATTCACACGTTCAATTCTTATTTAGTTGGGAGTAGTATGAGGTACTCAAAAACAAAAGTTAGTACAAGGGATCCGTGACCTAGATTGGTTCTTTTCATGTAGTCAGGAGGTGGAGCTTTTGCTTCGTGTGTATTTAGATGCATCTTCATTTTTGTGGGTTTTTGTTTGAAAACGAAAGGTCCTCTCCAAGAATGCTCAAGATCCGAAACTTTTTGCTCTCGCTTTTTTTTTTTTTTTTGATGGGGAAAAAGGTAGATGAAAAAAGCGGAAAGAGACCTATAATCACTAATGATATTATCATTGGAATTTGTTTGGTAACCGGAAAATAATGTATATAGTGAAAAGGAAGTCAGATATTTAGGAGTGTTTTGTTCAATTATTTAATTTTTTGGAAATGAGATATTTATAGAGTAGAGTTTGATAGAGGCAAATGGGTGTACATTAGTCTTTGTACTTCTACTTATGTGAACCATGTACATGCAATTGAATAACTTAACTTATACTCTCTCCATGCTAAAATTTTTGTCTCGGTTTAAATTTTCATTTTTTGTTCAAATTGTATCAAAACAAAAATGTCAAACTGGGTAATATAGGGACATAGAGAGTAATTCTTTCATCTACAAATAAATAAATCAGGAAAGACTTTTTTTTTCTTTTTTTTGGAATGGAAGAAATTGAATTTAAAACGACATTGACTACCAACACTACCTTGACGGTTGATGCCCCCATGAGAGATGCGCTGCTTCAATCACCCGACCAAATTTCAATATGTATGAATGTGTTGACTATTTTTATAATGTGTAGATGGGGGCTGTGAATGACTGCCTTCTTTATTTTTATCATTTTTTTTATTAAAAAAAAAAAGTTTGTGTGTGTGTTTGTTTGGATGGCGGCCTTCACTATCACTCGTGCATCACTTTAGAATTCAGCAATGAGAATTGGCAGCCATACGCGGGCTAAGTTGGGTCCATCAGGATTCTTTTTCTTTCCCCATAGCCCACAATGTTTGTCTCGGTCATTGACCGATGATTCTTTCACATTACTATAACTGCTGCTACTCACTTTGCAAGTCAACATTATCTTTATCTCAAGTCTGTCTGACTTAACTCTGTTTTTCGTTGTGGTGCCAATTAATATTTCAGGCTGGCAAAACTTCTCCACAAACTAATTAGTTTATTGAAGACCATTTAAGAAATGATGATTTCGCCATCCATTTGCTTAACAGGGAAAAATATCTTCTGTCTTTGTAATGGCGGAAAGGTGGAAATGAGCTTGTAAGGCTGTTCGAACTGAAGTTATAGGGGCCTTTGTCTCAATATTGTTGTTGTCCAATATGGATAAGTACTAGGCTTTAAGTTTGTTTTGGGCTGTAAGCCCATCACGAATCTAGAAGACCAGTCTTACATCGATACTGGTTCCAAGTGAGCTTATCTGGTTGTCATTTCATGAGATTATTGTACAACTGCAAAGATGGTCTTTTCTTGTCATCCCTTGTGATTTTATCGAACAAGTTTGCACCAGGATATCTGTTCCATGTACAGGGGCAGATTTCGAAATATAGGAGCTTCAAGGACCGGTTGGAATATTGTCAAAATTATTACTCCCCCCGTCCTAAAATTATTGTCCAATTTGAATTTTTACTTTTAGTACAAATATGAACTAAGAATGAAAATTCAAACTACACAATAATTTCGGGACGGAAGGAGTATTTACTGTTCTGATATAAGCAGTTGTAGAATATAGTCATATACATGAAATTATTCTTTCTAGAACTTCTTCCCAATCTTTTCTTCTACACTTCTTACCTTGAATTTTGATAATTATTAGTCCTAAAAACATCCAATCTCTTGTGTTTTGGGCCAAAGGTCCGTTTGATGTTAACTGTTAAGAATAAGGCCCATATTAAAAGCCTTTCATGGATTTCCGGTTGGAGGATAGAGTTGGCTAATCACGAATGATAAAGCTTAACTCAAGGTTGGCATTAGAAACTTCAAACTTGCCCCAAACTTATCATTTATCGTGCACATTAAAGCATATATTTTGGTTCCAATTTGAATGTATAACTCCAAAAATTATTGAAAGATGGGAATTTCTTTTTTGCTGATTGAAGCGGTGAAGGTAAACATGGAAGATAAAATGAGGGAGGTTGCAAGTAAACTGGAAAACTTTAAGCCTGACCGTGTCATGGGAAATTGGGAACTGAGGAATTGATTCAAGTAAGGTGGTTCTGGTGCAAATGCAATGCATGTCTGAAAAACGAGCTAACAAGGAAGAAAAGAATCAATAAGACTTGCGCAGTACATATGTGTAATAAGAAAATGCCTTCATGCACATTGTTATGTTGTTCCTTTAATTCAAATGCGTGCAAGAAATTTCACCAAGTGACAGCCTCAAGGTTTCCTGCCGAAACCCATTATGACCTTGTGGAAGTTACTCCTTGTTGAAAACAGCTAAGCACAAATTCGTTAGTGGGCCCAGTTATCTTTTCAGCTGGGTTTTACACTTTTACCCCGTTTTTGTTACAGAGACAATGACCCAAAAATAAAAAAATGAAAAGGCCAACATTTGGAGCAAAATGCAAAAAGATAGCCGTTGTTGTTCATTAGCGACACAGGAAAAACGAAAACCAAACCAAAGACAATAACAATGAATGCGTGGGCGTTGATTTTGAAACATAGCCGGCACGGTCAGTGGCGGATTTATAATGGGAGCATCGGGGGCACGTGCCCCCACTGAATTTAAAAAAGCGCAAAAATAGTATTCTTTCCATTTCAAAATGTAGGTCGTTTTAGGTTTGGAGAGATTTTTCAAAATATAAGTCGTTTTACAAATTTTAGGCAAATTAATGACTATTTTTCTAACTTTACCTTCAATAAATGATGCTAATCTATTTTTATTTAGTTTTCTTTATAGTTTCACTGTAATTAATGAGGGTTAAAAAAGATATTTAACACATAAATTAATTGTTAGATGATTGTCTCCTTAGTTTACGTGCCAAGTCTAAAAAGACTTACATTTTGAAATGGAGGGAATATATAGTTTTTAACATTTTTAAAATTAATCTGCTTATTTTTTAATCAAATCTCCTTAGATATTTTATATTTTGTTAGTCACATAAAATTTTTATCATTTTAAGTTACTATGTGTCATTTGTAGTTTAAAACTAGAATATCTCTACTAATAATTATATTTATCTATTTGACCATGATATGTTATTTTAATTTGTGCATAAATATATATAACAGACATTAGTAATGTATAATTCACATTGAAATTATGTACAAAACATGTGTAAATCATGTGTATATGTATACTTATAAGGTTAAAGAAAAATTGATTGAATGATATATGTTCTATCTTGTGCAACTACTCAAAAATATTTTTGGCTCCGTTCCCATTTTGTGTTAATTCTGCTCATTATTACTTCAAATTAATTAATGTTTGATACCATACGTGGGATTTGAAGGCGTAGGATCACCTCTCTAAAATGGTCCTTTTGGCTTTTAATTTTGGCATTCAACATGTGGCTCTACTAACATCATTAGCTCCCATCTCCCAGATTAACAGAGAGCATTGAGCTCAAATTTGACTCTGTTTGCACGATGATTTGGCTTTCATTATGAGCAAGATCTAGGATATATTTATTTTTGGCCCCTTTGTACCTCTTTGCTGGATAAATAAAGTAAGCTATTCATTGAAACTTGGCAATTTTTGTGACGCCAAACTGCAGGACAGCACGATGTAAGTTTTCCACTTCTTATGACTTACACAACGCGGGACGTCTCAAATGATGAGTAGCGTTATTATTACTACTAGCTAGTTGTGTCCGAAAAAAGAATGTTTCATTTTTACTTTTTTCCTGTCTTATTGATTCCCAGGTTTATTAAATCTTTGTTAATACACATCGGGGCAGTTGAAGTGGTTGCAACAGTTGGCCAATTCACTAATCTCTAATTAAAATAGTACTAACTACTAATTGTTAATGTTAATAAGATGATTAGTAACGTACCTCCAAAAAAGTAATAAATCCAACAGAGAAATGAAGGAACTTCTAGCATGTGCTCAGGTTTGAGATGGCAGTTGGTAAAAGTCCAACAGCAAAGATCGGCTGTGCAACTGCAAATTAGGACGACCACAAGACCATTGACCAACTTAGGAGGAAAATCGAATTTGAGGCATGATTATAAGCAAATCTAGCTGTATATATATCTGGCTTAGTCGTCAACATTGGAAAGACTGCAAGTAATCTATCACAAAGTCTGTTAATCCGCTGATTAATTTATACTCTTAGTAACAAGATTTCCTGGCTGCAAAATGCAATCCAAAAGAATTGAAAATCGATATGAAGCTTGTCAGCTCATGCTCAAGAATCAAGATAGTTGGAGGCATGATTTTCGATTGTTGATGATGATTGTACTAAACTTGATCATAGAGATGCTTTGGAGCTGATGATAGGCTTGGATTTGCCTCGTCCTTGGGAATTAACTGCTTCCAACTACATGACAGCTTCAACCTTCTTCAAAGCCCACATGGCATTACTAGATCCTTAGCCGTGAAGTTCCTTTTCAATTTGGAAAAGAAAGAAACAAAACCGAATCTGGTCCTCACTATATATCACATGGCGTCCCTTCAGATGCCCCTATCATATTGATGGTGATGCATTCAGCCATACGCAAATGCAGAAGGATACTTCTGTTGTATGGCCGCTATCACCAACGGTGATGGCAAAACATCATCCTCTCCATTTTATATTATCCATTGCTGATGATATCAGTAGGTAATAGTTCCCTAATTAAGGCTGTGGAAAACCCATAAAATCTCTCATATCCCAACCCAAATCATCATCTTGTCATGTCTTTTTTCTGGACTCCTGTACGAAGTTGAACGGGCAAAAGGGGAACTGACAGTAGGCAAAACAAAAAAAACTGGGCAATCTCACTGCAACCGGTCTGATTGATTGCAGATGAGGAAGTATATCGACAATTTATACGGATAATAACAATAAATAGCAACTATGAAGTTTCTTCTCCACACACTACATTTTACATTTCCTTTGAGAGAGCAAACCAACGTTAACATAAACATTAGGAAAAAGAAGAAGAGAAGAATCCAAAAGGGAGGAAGGGTGAGACCTGTTTTACATTTTTAGTTACAAACCTGTTCACTGGGGGTGGGTATTTCCCTGTCCTACTATAAGAAAATGATATGATCCATCAAAGAGCTACTACCACCAACTGACACAGTAAAATAATACAACCAAACTGGGAAAAAAAAAAAAAAGAACACCCAAATACATAAATAGAATTGTCTCTTCCTTAGATACATCACACAGACCTAATTTAGTTACGGAGATGTGAAGCTATCTTCTTAGCGTATTGTTTCTATGCTCTTGCTCAGTTCTTCCAACTTCTTCATCCTCAACTTTTCACTTTCACTCACCAACTGCAGTAAAGATACAAACCAATTGAATGTTACTACCCAGTAAGTAATACAATTACCTTCTTCTAAACGAAGAATTAAGAATATGAAATTTAGCAAATTAGTAGGGCATTACTTGGCTCACCTCCATCAATCTGGTAATAAGTTGAACTTTCTCCTTGTTCTTCTCATTGAAAGCCTCGAGGGCTTCCTTGTATTCCCTCTCCTGTTTCCACGAAAACAGGTTGGCTGTTAATTTGAGTCCCTCAAAGGGGGTTAAAAGGACCGGTAACATCAATTTATCCAAACACAAGACACTAAGCCCTGCCCAGTGGCTCATCATATTGAAAAGTCTCCAATTTTTGGAAGGTACTACTAGTATTAAGATGTTTCACCTTCTTCTGGCAAGTCTGTCCCAGAGGTTTCAATTCTTTATTGACAGCATCAATCTTCTTCCGGACAAGAGAGACCTCCTTCTTCATTGGATCTGCAAGAGCTTCCAGCTCCTGTAGGCAATTATGTGAAACAGAGAGGTCAGTGCTGAGGCATGAGACAGACTAACCACTGATTAATTCACTGAATTAAAGATATGTTCCAAAAACCCAACATATGCTGTGCAATTCTACAATTTGATTCACCAAAATATAAAATGATTATATTCCAACCAGCATAGATTGATAAAACATCAATTTCTTGCCTAATGTTTTGGAATAACAAGAAGGTTTAACTGGGAGCCGTTGAATGGAGGTGGAAACCAGGACAGAAACGAACATATGGGTTTCATTCCTTTGGTAGTTTCATTTCACCCACACAGAGGGGGAAAGACCCCCAAAATTGAGCTTATGCCTGTTGTTACTAGACCTTGTAATTGGATTCAATAGACCAATTATGTTCGTGTTTTTACAAGAATTGAAGGTCAATTGCTCTACCAATCATACCCACCATAAAACACAACAGTATATTAAAGGATTCGAAATTAACCCCTTCAAAATTAGGGTAAAAGTGAAAAAAATGGAAGCTGTTTGCCGTCCCAACGGTCAAGAAGAGGGTAAAGACCAGTTCAACTGAATAATAAGTTCAATAAATGACGGAAAATCTATGTTTTTGCTTCAATTATATGCAGTGTAAATGTAAAACAGAGTGAGAAATTCAACAATTAGAGGTGTTTTACACCAAAACTGGGGTTTTCCCCTAAATTTCAGTGAAACATAAGGCTCCATTTTTCACAGAATTCGGGTGGCACAGAGCTTTAAAAAACCCACAAACCCATAAAAAACACAATAATAACTTGCATGCTATGTGGGTAAAGTGAAAAAAGCACCGGAAAATGAACCAGATCGGAAAGAAGGTGGTGGTGGGTATAAAGTTTACCTCACGGATATTGGCCAAACGGCGGGTCTCTTCTTCAATACGACCCAACTGAGCCTGAACCCTCTCCTTCACTTCCAGCTTCTTCTTCTCAATCTCTTCCTCTTTAGCCCTAAAAGTGGAGAGTGCAGACATGGACATCTCCTCGTCCTCTTTGCTTAAAGTGCCATTAAAGCTAAGGCTGCCGGAAATCTGGCCGGACTGCATGAGGGTAGCCAACTGCTCAGATCCCTGCCTCTGAGTCGTCTGAATTTGAGTAGTCATCTTCGCTTCTTCTTTTGCTGCTCTTGCTCTTCTACAACTTAACAAGAAGAAATGAAGAACAACAAAAACAGAAAACCCTTTCTTTCTTTGAGCTTCTTCAATGGTGTTGGTTTGGTGGAGAAATTTTTCTTCCTCCTCTTTTTTTTTTTTCTTTATTATCTTCTTCTTTGCTCTGTTCCTCTTTCTCTCTGCTTTCTTCCTTTTTTTTTCTTTCTCTTCTCTCTTTTGCTTTTGCTTTATTATTATGATGGAGTGCGCTGTGTGACTGTGTGTATTGGGGTTGGAGGGGTTGGGTTTATCTCTTTTTATTTTTAAGCCTTCTGTGGGCAATGAAAGGCTAGCTGGCTGGGGCTTCACTGTACAGCTTAGCTTATTTTGCTTTTTTATTAATAGACCCACCACAAACTTACAAAATTACTAATTTCTAACCTAATTATATTCCTAAATATACTGTACTCCTTTTTTGTTCATCTAATTAAGCAATCTGGAAATAGTGAAAAGTGTGTGTGTGTGTGTGTGTCTGCCCGCAGAAGGGTGTGGAAGTAGTGAAAATGTGGTCTGCGGTCTGACCGGATGACTCAACTACCTACGGTCACTCACTACAAAAATATGTCCGTTGTATTCTCCCTTTCTTTTCTTTTCTTTTTTAATAATATTTTCTTTTTTCTTTTTCTTGGCCAGCTCTGAAAGTGCGTTTCCTTAGTTTGGGCCTTTTTTGGTTACCAAATAAACAAAATCTCTTCTAATATATTCATCAGCTGAGCGTAGAGCCTGTTAATGACTAGAAATGGTTTCTTTGGGCCATATATTCATTGATTATAGTTTGTTGATAAATCTATTCACTAGTTTATTTTAATTATATATTTTATACTGGATATTATAAATTAGAAATGCGTTGAACGATTAAAAAAAAAGGCATTACAAAAAAAATTTACTCCTGCGTGTAGTAATCTGAAACCTGAAGGTAGTAGTAAGTACATTGAGCATTTAGCATTTCAATGCATTGAAGTCCAGCGGTGCAGCTGGTTCTCCGTAAAAACTACCGTAAAGGATTGTGTCGTTTCTCATTTGGTGTGTGTGTGTGTGTTTTAATAGTTCCCACGACGAATTGGAATTGATCTATTTCCTCGTCAAAATTAAACTATGATGCTCCAATATCTAGTTGAAACACGCAGAACTCACTCCTATTTAAGACAAACAAAAGCTATACATTAAAAAAAAAAAACTGAAAATGTTTTCTTTCAGACAATCGTAAATCAAAGAAATAAGAACTCAAAAATGATTACGTTTGGGGATAGCTTACCAAGTTTCTTTCACGGTGTAAATTTTTTAATTGCTTGAAAACGGTGTGCTTTGGCCATCTGGTAATTGTTTTGGATAAATATTGTAAATGGTAATTGTGTTGACCGGATGCTAATACTCTATCCGTAGACTTGACTTTATAATTGTTCGTATCAAAATTCCAACCTTCATGGACTATTTCCTTCATGGATTATATATCTATATATATACTCTTCAAAATCATGGATTATTATATATTCTTCAAAACAGTAAAAGTATTATATACTAATTAAGATCAACCGGTAAGACAAATTTAATATGGAATAAAGTTATGGAACTTATGCCTTAATCAATAGTACTAGTTCGTACGTAGAATTAGATATTACCTTGATTTCAATGAAAAACAGCATCATGAACTCTCGTGTAGTGAAAACCCACACAAGTCATCAACCTTTTAATTAATTACCAAGATGGACTTTTTCAGGATTGTGGGAAAAGTTTAAACATTTTTCTCTATATAATTGAGCGGGTGGTGATTACTACAAAAATTTGTCTTTCCTAAGTTCAGTTGGGCACTTAATTACCTTTTTTTTGGGTCATAAGAAAAAACTGGTTGAGGAGAGATTGCACATGGATGATGAGGCTGTCAAATGCAACTAACTGCAAGGCAAAAGGGCAGTTGTTCTTCTTTTCTCTATGTTAAGAATTTGGTTACCCATTAATTTGGCATTTTCAACCAACCTGAACATATTCTATACTCTCTTCCACATGGGAATGACAGACCCAAAAAAGCCCACGAATTGTACATGCACCAAATGATAAAAAGAACCATAATAGTCTACCACTATTATCGTTTTCTTTTCTTTTTCTTCCTCAAACAAATACTGTTAATTTGCGACAAGCTTCTGGTGTTGCAACAACGTAAGATCTCATCAAAACTATAATTACTGATTTGTTAATAAAAAGGTGAAGCTCCCAAGAAAGACATGTTTATAACATATTGCACCAAATTTAACACAATAAGTACATATGAATGAATGAATGAATCGACTGAGGGAGTCAGTCTAATTAAGTAAGATAAAGGGGAAAGCCACTTTGGGACGCAATCTTTTTTGCCTGTCCAAAAGATAGACACAGCTTGACATGTGCACTTGATTGATTGTTATAAAACCTTATATATAGCTTCTTTGATTGTTTTGATTTACTTGTTATACATCTTTTTAAAAAGGTGGCTTCCCCACTGAAATTCTTGCCCAATTCCCGCACTGTAAAAATTCACCTAACACTACTGAAATTGTCTCTAAAAATGATGCATCTAATTAAATTTGATTGAAAATGAAACGCCCCCATAATTTTACGCATATGTTTTCTATCTCTCCGTTTACGCTCGGCTCGAAACTGTATCAACAATGGAGCAGTCTTTATTCCGTTTTGAAATTATTGGTCAATTACCTATAGTCTTATTTTATACTATAAATGAAATAATAATTTTGGGACGTAAGGAATATATTAATTACTTAACATATTATACATATATATATATACATACTGTGTGTAACCGGTAGCCGGTATGGGGAGAAGGGTGCTTACGCAAAAAGTTTGGTTTGGAGTGGACAGAAAGGTAATCTGACTCCACCTACACTATCGCATACCACAATATGGAATTCTATATTTCAGAAAGTTGATGAAGCCGTGAGAATGAAGCAGGCTGCCAGTTTTGCCCTTTTGACAAATCTGGCTGCCTTTACAATTTGGATTTCAAAGGAAGAATCTCCCATCTCCACCGTAGCCAGCTTATTGCGTTGTTTTACAATTTTATTCTATGATGAATAGAATACAGTATTCTTTTTCATTTCACCAAAAATTTTATAACACCGTAAACAAGATCATTATTTTATGAAGAAGAAATTGTATATATTCTATTGTTTTTTAATGAGTAGGAGATTAAAAAAAAAAAAGTGATAATTGAGCCTTTTGTTTATTTTGGGGTTAGTTGGAATGATTGAGTCAAGCCGTTTCTTTAGATATTCTAAAATGATATATATAATCACACAAAAGCTAATGGGAGTATTGTTTTATCTTTCTTCCATCTCTTTTTTTTCCTTCTTTTTTCTTTTTCTTTCTGGGCTGGGAGAGGGAGAGGGGGGGGACCATGATTGTGGTGGCACTTGACCTTTTCAAGAGTTGCTATCAAAACTAAGATGACCTACCAGTTTGATTTTAGACGGTGAGGATTACCCGATTGGAATACGGTAATTTGGGCCTAGGAATCTCTTATCTTGAACCATCAAAGAATCCTTTTTAACAAATTGGGAGTGGGTGATCAACAATTCAACACCTCTACTAATCATGTCGATTGGCGTGCTCAGTGGTGACAGATTTGCTTCCCCCCTTTGTATTCTTTTTTTTTTTTGGTAGTTTGTCCATTTTCCAGCATCACATCGGCCTAGAGCTTCACTTATACCATTCCACTATAAAAATTATAAATCCCACGAAAAATGAAAGTTGTAGAGTATATCAACTAATTGTTTCCTTTGTTTGTGTGAGGACTCCACTTGGTTAAAATTCACATGTTGATATTAATCTCCCAAGTACTCACAATCGTATTTTCAGCTTAGGACATCGGCTTTGTGCCTTGGCAAGGAAGCCTTGCTCTTTTTTTCTTTTTTTTTTGGTAAACAAAAGACTCCGCCTCACGGCTGGAGAACTAATTATACAAGAGTTGAAGCGTTTCTAGAATCTGCCTCTAATAGGAGAGTTATAAACCCCGGATGAACATCAAAAAAATATAACCCCCAATCTACTCCAATCGCCTCTTTTGCCAAGGCGTCTGCACACATGTTATTATCCCTACATGTGTGAGTAAAGTGGACCTCCCAATTAAGCTGTAGTAGACTATATATACACCTAAGTTCGGGGTCAAGTGGGCATTGAATCTCCACTTTTAGTTGATTTACCCGATCTATAGCTACCTGAGAATCTGATTCAACGACCAATTTGGATACACCCTTTTTCTTAGCAACCTCCATGGCGAGGATGATCACTCTAAGCTCCGCTATCTCAATAGTACACGCTCCCAAGCTCTTGCTGCATGTTGTCATGAACCGGCCCCCCTCATCCCTGTGTAAGACACCAACTGCTGCCTTTCCTGTGGCTAGGCACACCGCCCCATCGCAGTTGGCCTTTACCCAGCCCGGGTCGGGGTTCTTCCAACCTTGGCTTGCCAGAGTGCTCCCTCCCCTTGTCTGCCACTGGATCAACCCATTACACTTGGCGATCTCCTCTGATTTATGTATAGCAACTCTGATTGCGTTCTGCAATGTTATGCTTCTTCCATTAAAGACACAGTCGTTTCTCCAATTCCACAACAACCAACAGGTGGCAGCAAAGTTGGTCCCCCATCTGAGATCGGTTGTTTTTAAATTGCTCCGAATCCACTGTTTAATTCCTTGTTGAAAGAACGCTTGACGTCGCTCCCTAGGTATCGTGCGCAGCCACAGCTCTCTGGCCAAGGAGCAATCCCTTAATGCATGGATCGTTGTTTCCCTGTCCCTCACGCAATACGGACATGTATCACCCTAAACAGCTCCTCTTCTTTTGCACAGCATATTCGTTGGAAGTCTGTCGTGGAAGGCCAGCCACAAGAAGGACCGGATTCTCTGCGGACCATTCCATCTCCACACCTCCTTCCAGTCCCTGTCAACCTGCAAAAGAGAGTTGTCAAGTGCTAACTCATATGCTGATCTAACAGAAAACTTACCGGTTTTACCGAACATCCATGTTGGTTGGTCCCTGCCCAGCACCTCCATTGGTGGTGGAATGCTACAAATCCGTGCGATTACTTCCTGACTAAGGAATGGTACAATCCTAGCCACATCCCAACCACCATTCGGTAAGATGAAATTAACCAAAGGTTGTGATCTCCATTCCGCTGGTAAGGGTTCCAAAACATGATCCCCCAGCCTACCTACTCCTTTTACCCAAGCATCTTCCCAAAAGCAAATGGTCCTTCCATTGCCAATCGCCCAAGTTAAACCCTTCTGCACTAGGTGGAACACATCAAAGATCCCCCTCCAAATGTGGGAAGCATTGTTGCCCCTCCTAAAGTATAGGGCATTGCCCTCCCTTTGACAATATTTTGCTCTAAGCACTTGAACCCACATTTCACTTTCCCTACTTCTAATTCCCATCCTATCTTCATTAGGAATGCCATGCTGTTTTCCCTGGCCTTCCTCAGTCCAAGTCCTCCTTTCTCCTTGGTACTGCAAACTGTATCCCAACACACAAGATGTAATCTTTTCTTATCACTTGTAGATCCCCAGATAAAGTTCCTCACGAGCTTGTCTATCTCGTCGCACACCCCAACCGGGAGCTAGGTTGATTGCATCTAAAATACTGAGATTGATTAGAGGCAAGACTGGGCCAACGTAATCCTTCCTGCAAGAGAAAGTTGATTCGCCTTCCAGCCGGACAGCCTTCCTCTAATTTTATCCAACAACTCAGCATATGTATGTTTCGTAACCCTACCATGGATCAGGGGTGAACCAAGATATTTACCCAAATTATTTGTTATTCCAAACCCAAATTCTTCACTAACGTTTCTCTTCAAATGCACTGGAGTGTTCCTGGAGAAAAAAAAATCTTTGTCTTCTGCTTGTTTACTCTTGCCCCTGAGATCCTGCAAAAACCATCCATAACATTAGATATAATCTCAACTTGCTCCAAATCAACTTCGGAGAATAAAAATAGGTCATCCGCAAAAAATAAATGAGAAATCACAGGCTCATGTCCTATTCTAATCCCTTTCCATTCATTATTCCTGACTGAAGAGTTAATATTATGAGCCAATACTTTCATACACAATACAAATAAGTAAGGGGAAAGAGAATCTCCCTGTCGAATTCCTCTGCTCGGAGCAAAACTCTTCGACATTCCACCATTCCAAAGGACTCTCATGCTGGCCGTTGATATGCAACAAACAATTAGTTCTACAATCGATTCTGGAAACCCTGCTGCTTTCAAAGTTTTACGAATGAACTGCCAGTCCAAGCAGTCATATGCTTTCTCCAAATCTATCTTGATAGCCATCCAACATTTTTTCCCCTTCTTTAGTTCCATAGAATGAATAACCTCCTGTACTATCAGTGTGTTGTCCGCCAATTTTCGACTAGGTACAAAGCTCGTCTGCGTAGGGCTTACCAGCTTCCCCATAAGAGGTTTCAATCTATTAGCAATCAATTTGGTTACTACTTTATATACCGTATTGCACAAGCTGATGGGGCGCAGCTGTGACAAGAGCCTCGGATGGCTAATCTTCGGAATTAACACCAAGAGGGTTTCATTGATTGCTGCCGGGATCCTCCTTTCCTGGAAGCATTTCATGACAAATTCAGAAATTGTTGGGCCAACAGTACCCCATTGCGATTGAAAAAAGATTGGGCTCCAACCATCAGGACCTGGGGCTTTATATGGCCCCATATCAAATACTGCCTTCTTTATTTCCGATGCTAAAATTGGACGAGCTAGACCCTTGACCTCTTCTTGTTTCAAAGGAGGAAACTCCGCAGCCCATTAAGGTGCTCTCTCCATTCCTGTTTCCCTAGTGAATAACTTCGTGTAGTAGTCCACCGCCTTGATCTTGAGAGTAGCCTGATCCTCAACCCATATTCCTTCATCATTCTATAATCTTTGAACCTTATTGTGCTATCTTTTAGTCAACGTGCTTAGGTGGAAGTACCGTGTATTTTTATCGCCGAGCTTTAACCACTTATTTCTGGACTTCTGGAACCACAATATCTCTTCTTGGATCAGAGTTTCCTCTAGTTGAATCTGTAGCAAATCCCTCTTTGCAACTAGCCAATCAGGGGGGTTTGAGTCAAGTGCTCTATCCAACTTCTCTAACTTACTGTATAGCTTTTTCTTCCTTGCAAAAATGTTGCCAAAGATGTTTCTGTTCCAGCTGATCAACTTCTCTCTGAAATCTGCTTCTGAAATTTTATAATCCACCTCTGTCAACCATGCTGCGCGAACAAACTCCTTGAACTCCGAATGAGTTAACCAACACGCCTGGAACCTAAAAGGCCGCTCTTCCCTTGCTGGGTCCAGGTTCTGTGTTAACTTCAGTAAAATAGGCATGTGATCAGATTTTATCCTCATTAAATGGAAGACCGAACTATCGGGATATTTCATTCTCCATTCCGGATTACAAAGGGCCCGATCAAGTCTCTCCTGCAGCTTGCTTGTTTTTCCCTTCCTCCAAGTGAATTTTGGACCAGAGAATCCCAAATCTACCAACCCACTAGCTTGTAGGAAATCATTCAACTCTCTGCACTTCGAAACATTAGCCGGGGCTCCACCTGTTTTCTCCTCAGCATTCAAATAGACGTTGAAATCACCAATCAAAACCCAGGGCTCTGTACAGTGATTACCCAACGCCAGTAAATCCTTCCACAAGAGTCTTCTAACCTGGGTAGCAGGCGAGGCATACACAGCTGTACACAGACCTCTGTCGCTCCCAAAGAAAATGGACCCATTGCCTAGCCGACCCTAGAATTTTAATTTTGACACTGCTTTCATCCCACAAAACCCAGATGCCCCCGGAAAATCCAACAGCATCTTCGATGAAACAATCCTGAAACCCCAAACACCTAACTACTCTTCTAGCCCTCTCACCACTAACTCGAGGTTCCAGAACTACTAGAATGTCAGGTTTGAATTTCTGATTCAGGTATTTAATCGCAGGACCGAATTTCATAGATCCTGCTCCTTGTACATTCCAGGAAATAAGATTCATAATAAAATTAACTGGAAATAGAGACTGCTCACGCTAAACCCCATACCTAGTTCCCTTCTTGAGGACCCATGCCTTCCACATCGGATAAATTTGCTCCCTGCACCGCCTCGAAACGACCTTGCTGGGCCGGGTCGGGAGGCTCCACAAGTTCATGCATCAAGTCAATCATCATAAATGCTCCCTGTGGAGCCTCCGCCTCCGCAATCCTCTGTGGATCTGGCGGCTTACTAGGTTCCTGGACAGAGATCCGGCCGGGCTCCGTCATAATATCCGAACTCTCCGGCCTGACCACCCCTTTCTTTGATTTTGGTGTTAATCTGCTCCTCTTTCCTCCCTCTGTAGGGATGGAGTATTCCGAATCCCACCCCAATATCGGATATACAAATCTGTCCCTCTTCTCACTTGAATCCCCCTCTATCTGTTTATTGCTAGTCTTTACTGACTTACCTCTCTGTTTAATTCCATTAGTTTTCATTCCGACTGTTAGACCCAGTACAAATCCAGAAGATGCCTCAGTGCTCGACTTGTTAGGCTCGGTGAGCTTTGATGGCACAATAGACTTCGTAGGTTCATCTTTGGGAGCTTGGGCCATACCCTTACCTTTACCATTCCTTTCTCCTGGTTTTTGGGCCTTTTGGCTCTTCGGGCCTGGGCCAGCTTGATTCTCATAATTATGTGGGCTGACAAAGGAAAACTCATTCGTGTTTCTGTGATTTTGGACCATTGAGAAACCCTCAACGTCCCTCTTAGGTTCCGTTGTAAGCACATTGAATCTCGAGCCTCCCGGCGCTCCATGTCTCCCCTGCTGAACTACCTGCTCCATTTGCGATTCCGACTGCCGACCGAACTTCTCCCGTCTCTTCTGAGCTATCATCCAAGGGCCCAGTCCCACTGGACCACCCTCTTCAGTCGCACTCATATTGCTATTACCTCTCCCTTGGTTCTCAACCACTCCTTTCGACTCCCCGTTTCCCTGTGCACCGGGACAAGACCCCGATTGGGCAGCCGGTGAATGTTGTCTTTGCTCGACCGTATAGGTAGCACTACTATGGCCTACGAATCCACAGTTGTAACATATGGTCGGCAGCCCTTCGTATTCCACTGTCTACCATCGATCTTCAATCTGGAAGCTTGGGACTAGAGGTTCTTCCAAGTTTAATTCAACCGCCACTCTAGCAAACTTACCTCTATTCGCATTTAATGTTTTTTCATCAATTTTAAGTGTTTTTTTCCCAACAAAATTCCCAATTAAGAACAAGGTAATTTCGTGGTAGTACTCCACTGGAAGATCCGGTAGTCGAATCCAAGTGACTACTGTTGGGATTTTTGCCGTTGATCCCCTAAATCCAGGCATCCACTTTTGCACTGATAAGCAGTGAGGCCCTACAAACCAAGGGCCTTCTCGGAGAGCCTTCTCCTCGTCTTCCTCAAAAGGTAACAGTACTCCAAAAAACCCATTGGTGAAGTCAAGGATTTCGAAATCCCCATTCGGGCACCACATCCTTTTGACGGCGTTACTTAATCCACGGTAGGTTAGCGTTTCCCCCACCAACGACACCACAACTAAATGCTCCCAGTCCTCTTTGAACAAGGCTTTGAGTCTGTCGGAGAATTTGAGCTTCCCACCCATGGGCACCTTTTCCATTATGACGTCACCCTGTTCAATCTGGAATGTCCTGGTGGCTCTTCTTCTTCTGATACCCAAAAGCCTTTCCTTGAATGATAAAGGCGGCTGGGGGGTGACCACTGCTTCCGTCGTATCCATGTTATCTTCTAGCTTATCAGGCGAACCCTTATTCGGATCACCCTCCATTAGATCGGAAAAATGGGCAAAGATAAAAGATACCGTTGAGAGGACTTTTTAGAGATAGAAAGTTTAGAGATCTAGCTGATGATTCACTTCTGAGGAAAATGGTATACACCTTGCTCTTTTTTCATGTCCACATTTGTCTCGTAAGTATTTCTTTGAAATTTTCCCCTCCATCCAATCTCCCAATGAGCAAAATGGTATACACCCTGATTTTTTTTAGAGCATCTGACACACTCGGTGTTTCTTTCGAGACACAAAACTCTCTCATCAAATATTTTTAGTGTAACATATAACTAAAAAATCATAGTCTTTCACCCTTCATTTATACTTAACTGGACGCTCCTACAGAGGATGAGAGGGTTGGGTGGGGTGCTTAGGGGATTAGGATGAGGGGTGGTTATTTATGAAAAGTCGAAGGTTCAATTCTCACTAGTGCCATCCAATTTTTATTGTTATTTTTTTATTAAAAAAAAAAACTGGACGCTCCTAAATTTACCATAGTAACAAAGGGTTTCTCATTTCATATATATTATGCCAATACTTGGGATTCAAAAATAATTTTGTTGGGATTCCTTTGGTCCCGAAAGTGATTGTTTAGTTCTCGAAAATGATTTTTCATTTTAAATTTTTATTTCAGATTTAAATTACATCAAAATAAAATATTTAAAATTAGACAATCAGTTTAGGACGTAAGAAATATTAGATTTATTTGAGTCCTAAAAATGATCCTCCTCTTGTCAAAAAAAACAAAAATAAATCTAATATTGATTGAATCCCAACTACTGACATATTACTATAATAGCCTCAAAGTAATACTCTCTCCGTCCCATAATTATTGTTCAATTTTACTAAAATGAAAGATTTTATTTTTAGTCAAACTTAACTATATTTTACCTTGAACAACCGGATATACCCCTACACAAGTGATTGTTTAACCACAAAAATTTTATGGATAATGTTTTTTACTAAGGACAAATGTGTAACTTGATCCATAAAAAGTCAAATTGAACAATAATTTTGGGACAAAATTTATTGGGCAAAGTGGACAATAATTATGAGACGGAGGGAGTACTAGAAACTAATGAATGATTCTTACCCATGGGATTCGCAACTGAAGTAAAAATATCTGCGACGATATTATTATGCTGAGGTAATATAGTTTGAGGATTCCTGTCCAACCAATATTCCAACACAAAATAATATTTGTATATATCTATCTATTCACACTATCTTACGGTTGGAGGCGGTTCATAGTTCTTCAACTGCTACATTTGCGGCCAAGATTCCTTAATATTTATGGCACAAGTACGGTGCTGGACATATATAAATCCAAAAAAAAAAGAAAAAAAAAAAGAAATACTAGAAGAATGCAAAATGATTGGACATCAGATGGATTATCTCATTCCTTCCTTATTTCTAAGGAAATTGACTTTAATAGAAGCTTTTTTTTTTTAAGAAATTATATTTCATATAAGGGAGATACGCTTTCGAGTTTGATGTGGAGCCCCAATGCACGAATAATCAATCCATTGTTTCTTATCACTAGGAAGTCTCAAAACTTGAAAATACATTTTATATTTTTTCTGTTATAAAATGAATTTTGAGGAAAGTCACAATTATGGGGAAAAAGATGATAGACTGAGAGAGTTCGATGATGGTTAATTATTTTGCTATCAATGTAAGTTCATGCAAATGAATAAATTAATTGATGACAACATTCATTCATCTAATATTTTACTACGTACTACAGTTAGCTGCGAGGATGCGATTATCCATTTTTAGCCCAAAACCCAAGTTCTTTGTGCTGAAAGGGTAGTGGCGAATGAGGAAGAGAAAACAAACAAAAAAATGAAATACAGTAATTCAATAAAGTAAATTACACAAAAACGAACAACCTCCGAATGTCAAAGACAGAGTGAAAAAGACCACAAGGTCTCTTTCGTTTTATTTGGTGATAAAAAAAAAAATATATATATATATATATATATGGCAAAAAAATAGAAGATAACTTTGGAGTTTTGATCTGGAGCTAAGGGGAAGGGAGCCTTTGCTTTGCATTAGATTCACTAGATTAGCGACTCAGTTAATACTACTGCAATTGATACATATAAATATGTAATGTCGACGTTTACCGACGAACAATAAATATGCAGATTTTTAGTTGACCAAACAAGGCCTTATATCATTAAAAAAAAAAAATCATTTATAAACATTGTACGCATAGGAGGAGTGTTGGCATACTCAATTTGGGGACGTAATGGAAAATGATGTCAATTAATAATTAATTATACATTCATTTTCGACAAGATATCTTTGTTGTTGGCAATTAAGCTTTGTCCTTGTGTGCTTTTTTTTTTTTTTTTAATAATTGTGAATTTATTCAATGTATATTATTCCAATTTCAATGAATTTAATGACGACAATCAGGAGATTCTGGAATCCATCGGCCTGCAATGGCCGTCACTCTAATCCCGACAATATTGATACTCCGGTTCATCATAGTAGCCTTTTTATTTTATTTTTTTCCCCTTAATCCCAAAAATATCAGAGTTTTTGTCTTATTCACTATTATACATTATGAAATATAAATTGCGCAGTTTGATTTTTTTTTTAAACAGAAAAGTATACAAAATTAAACAACCACTTTGGAACAAAATAAATACTAATTTTTTTGGTCTTATTTATAAACACAAGTTAAATTTAAATTTTTAACAATTGGGAAAGAATGTCGAAGGGAGTATTCAATCTTGCTACTGCTACCGTGCAGTATACCTGGTTCACAAATGGTAGAAACTAATTCCACCGTGCAACTTGAGACTCTTTAGTCCAACTCAACGGCTTGAAAATACAAGTTTTTTTCCAAGTTTTGAAGTTCAAATTCACTCGTAGATAAACGTGCACTCTACTCTGTGCATATTAACTTTCTTATTTATTCTTTTCTTTTTATTTTTTCTAGCAGGACAATAAGGAAGATGCTTAGCTTCATCACAATTGGCAAGTTATGATTAATCATCAGTTCATAAGTGAGGCGAAAGTAATTAATGTTGTCGCTCATGTCCTAACGAAATTTGACTCTTTTTTTTTTTAAAGGGATCAATAGTAATTCTCCACTTATCCCGAATGTGACTCAATCCATGACCTATTAATCAATAGTTGAAGCGTCTTATCACTAAGCTGCATCTCATTTTCAAAAAAACATATTTTATCAAACATTCTATTTATGTGAGGATCTCTTGTAATCAAAACTGTGAGGCTTCTTTCGAATATACTCGATCTAATATTAATTATAAGGTACTAATTAATACTAAAGTTAATACAAATTTATGTTTTTAATTAGGATCGAAGGGAGATTCAGATAACAGAAAAACAAATTGTTTTTACCAGACGCCTTCTTATCAATGTACTAATTGCCCTTTTCAAAAAACAAAAAAAAAAAAGTACTAATTGCTGCAAATAAAATGCAAAATGGTTAGTAACCGCACGAATCCAAATTTGGGAGAAAACTCCACAGAATCCTATTGTTCAAAGACTCCAATTTGGGCCCTGATTATATTATTCGGCCCGTCTGCCCGTGCTGGTATGAGAACCTGACCCTTTTTTGGATTTTGATTTTGAGCGAAGTCACTGTTTGCACTTAGCTGAATTTGGGCCCTTAATGTTTCTCAAGTGAATCCATTATCCCTTTAATGTTTGGGTTGAATGAGAGACTTCTTTAAAAAAAGATCCAAGGGGAGATTAATGAAGATAAGATCACACAGTAATTGTGCATTTGTGCTTCAATAATGCACACCTTCAGAAGGTGTGCGATTAGAAACTCTAATAACCTCGTGTTTTCCCGATTCATAACATGTTTATTGTATTGTGCGATTAGAAACTCTAATAATGTCGTGTTAGACTGTTATAATATATTTCCCTAATGAACACAGTAACATATGTATATGTTTGATAATATAAAATCGAAAAAAGGTTGAGAATTGCATGAAGCTATATGGGATACCCATGGTCATAGATTACAAAAACGGGGCGTCATTCCTTTTGATTCCTAGGTATTATATAGAAACAAACTAGTTAAAGAAAAGGAAACCGAATCAGCCCATATGATTCATTTTTTTGCTTTAGGGAAGTCAGAAAAACCCCAACTAGTAGTAGTAGTAGTAAATTTCCAACTAATTTACAAAAATAAAAAATAAAAATAAAAAATAGGGTAGATTAGTCCTCGAAAATAGAAGTCATGTGAAATCACGTGAGGGAAAACCCCATGAGCTTAGTATATAGGTCGCGTGCCGGCGTGCTTTTTCTTCGCTTTTAGAATTTTTTAGTTTTATTTATTATCCTAACCCAAAATATAAAAATCAAAGTAAAATTTTGACTAATACCAAAAATTAACAAAAATGTCCACGTTGGGACCCACGTGAGGAGCTCTTTCTCACAATAAATTTTTCTTCTGAGAATATCTGACAAAAAGAAAACATTTTCTATTTATTATTTAAGGAAAAAAAATTGTAATCTGACAAAACCAAACACTGGTGTCAGTGACATTTCAGACTTCAAGCTTCTTTTCCCTCAAAATCACATAGACATGTGACCCCTATTTAGGCCTTAACTTTTTTTCTTTTTTTTTTTAAAAAAAAAACACTTGACTAGGATACACTATTGTGGTAAATATATTATTACTAATAATAGTTGTTATTCCACTAGATATGAAAAAATATCATCTGATTTTATTTTTTCTTTAGACCTTGTTAAAGAGTCTTTTCGAAATAAAGACGACGTTGGTGACATTGGGGAAAAAAAATCCAATCTCATCTTCTGCGATGCCAAAACAAAACAGCTGATCCAAGGAATGAATTGCCACTTTGACTCCACGTGGCATATGACCAACCTTTTTCTTCCAAGCTTTTTCTAATAATCTGGGCGCCCCAAGTCTCAAACTTAAAACCCATAATGATGGCTTGTTTTTATTCTCAGTTCCTACTATTTGATTTACTAGCAAAAGAAAAATCACAACGAACATAAAAAAAAAAGTTCAAATTGCATTTGACAAAATTATTACAAAAATAAATAATTCATACGCTTCAATTCTATAATTTTGTTGTGAAACTATTAGAATAAACATGATAAAACAGTTTGATTTGTGTGTGTTTTTTACTATTACTATTTCATGTCATTGTGTATTATTATCAATTATGTTTCTAATGGCACTATCATTTGGTTCAAAAAAAGGCATTTTCATTTCGGGAGGTATTGAGATTTGAGACTGAAACAAAAATTAGAAAGTTGGCTTTGTTTGGCTAACCTTCAATTTTGTATTTTGTCTCATTTTACCTCTTAAACACAGAGTCCAGTGGAAAAGAAAATATCATCCAAATAACGGTTGATTTACATTTTAAATTCCAACATAAAACACTTTTTGTTAGTGTAATGACCATTTTAGAACTACAAATAGTTCAGTGACAAATTTGACAGGATTACGTTGTTGAGTGATTATTTTTGGAAAAGTTCTTTTTTGCAGTAACTATAATTGACAGTATTTAATTGTTTAGTGATGATTTATACTTGACATTTCAAAATGTAATTTAAAATAATTTTTTTCAAAACCAACATCCAAATAACATTTTTATTTCCCATTTATTTTTCAATTTGCAATATTTTTCACTTTTAAGTAGTAAAATGGACTCTAACTTGACGTCCAAACCAGCACTTGCTTTCTAATTGAAGAAGCACCATGACCTTGTTCACTTTTTCAACGGTGGGAGAAGGTAAAAGCCCAAGAATGTACAGTATGCAACAGTAAACTGGGACGCAGAAAGGACTAAAGTCTAAAAATAGAAAATGAACAGTACAAAGGTTGGGAACCTTTGGCTTAGAGGATGAATAGACAGAAGTTAAATAAAGGGGTAAAAGAGTGGTCATTTCAGTCAGAACCAGAAACGGTAAATATTTGTGGTACATCAATCCAATCTGATCGGGCCCACCCACCCGATTTCGTTTCTGACACATCTCTTCATATGTTTTCACTGCTGTTTTTTGTTTTTTCCTCAGCTCCATTTATGTCTTCACGTCTTTTATGTCAGCTTACCTACCCCTCCGGTCATTTTGAGTTCTATGTTTAACTTAATTGGAAAAAAATCTTAAAAAATTATTTTTATATTTATTGTGTTCTTTTAATTATTATAAAATATTTTTAAAATTTTTATTTTAATTAAAAAAATATTTTAGGTGAAACCTAAATCCAAATCAAGGTGCTTTATAATAAAGACTGAAGGGAGTATTAAAATTTTTTTTCTTCTTTTCCATTTAAATTGATTTTTAACAAAAAAATACTACTACTAGTTTATGGATATTGTTCTGTAATAGAATAATTAAAGGCAATCACACTTTCAAGTATTGCGCATAACAAATGGGAGGAGAGCTTAAAAATTAGTAATTACTACAATCTCAATTAATAATGAGATATTGATTTTGCACAGAATTTTTACGTGAAATTTTAATACTCCATCCAGTCCTTATTACAAGGCATTTTGATTTTGTTTTAGGTTCTAGGATGTGTTTTTAATTAGGAAAAAATCTTTTAAAAATATTTTTCACATTCGTTGTGTTCTCCTAATTATAATAAAATATTTTTAAGGGTTTTATTTTAATTAAAAAGACATTCTAGATGAATGTAAGACAAGTCAAGATATCTTATAATAAAGACCGGAAGGAGTATAAAAAAAATTATAATTATCTTTAATTATATCTTACCTTTAAATATTTATCAGAAAATTATGATTCGAACCTCGTAATTTTTCGTATCACCGCTCTTAACAATACTACATTGTTCGGCAGATCTTCAATTTCACAAAACAGAAGTAAACACTACAAGGATTCTCCACATCCACATACACAAGTAGCTCAATCACAATAATCTAATTTATTATTCAAATATGTCCAAACCATGTAGCGTGAATGAAGTCCTCAACAACAGAAGCCGTCGCAATTTACATGTATACTTTCCTACGAAGTGTTTATCATTAATGGTATTATTAGAAGTAAATTATTATTTTCTCCGTCCCGAAATTATTGTACAATTTAAATTTTTATTTTTACTATAAAATGAACTAAAAATGAAAATTCAAACTAAACAATATTTTCGGGACAGAGAGTATATTTGAAAGTGCAGGTTTTTTTGTTTTTTTCCTGAATCATGCTATGCAGTTATAGCATCCCTAAGGGCAACACCAATTTGGTGTTTTGAGCTGTTACAGTATTTTAAAATCCAACTTTCAGCACAAATTCCACACTAAATCAACAATTCTCCTATATCCTTATTTTTTTAATTAAATTTATTAAATTACAAAAAAGTAACACATTTTTGTTCATATTTCGAACATAGTCAAAATATTTGTTTTACATGACACAATGAAATATAATCAATTAAATTGAGAAACCATATCTCATCAAACTAATAACTAAAACAATATTTTCTTATACAAATGAAAACATACAAACTTGCAATGACATTATAGATTAAAAGGACAAACTAAAAAAGATCATTCAAAATAGACATCTAATACATTTTTTTTTTTTCATACATCACATATGTACATTTTTAGTTATATTATGTAGCTTTTTTGTAATGTTATAAGTTAAATACTACTTCCGTCCCAAAAAATAGTTCACATTGAGTTTTCAAATTTGTACTAAAAACTGTATAAAACTCAAAACTCAATGTGAATTATTTTTGCGGGACGGAGGGAATATTAAGTCATACATATGAGATCAATTAAATCTACTAAATTTAGACTTATAAATTTAATAAAATTGTAATACTACACAATAGTTCTAAAGGGTTGTCTTATAATTTATACAAATTAACTGAAAATAATAACTAAAAAATAAAATTCAAGCACAATTGGTGCTCATGAACAGTAAATCATTGTTCGTGAACACCCATTTAATGCAAGGAATAGTGTAGCCGATGGACTTGCAAGTGATTTGGTGCCATCCGTGGGGGGATGGTCTTGGAGTCGTGAAAATGCATGATTGTCATATGAATAGATAAGTCCAGACACATATGTAGATTAAACGATTAATTGTAAAACACTGTTACAACGAGATTAGAGTTTTAAAAGTTGCCAAAATAATGAAACCTTAGTTGTTCCAAAACAAATTTACATTTACGCGATGAGATTTCACAAAGGGTATTGAGGACTAATTTGTGGTATTGAGGAGTAAGCAAACTAATCAATCTAGCAGTTCAAAGTTCAAACTTGAAACCAAAGAGAGTATCGGGTCATATATGGGATAATGTGTGTTAGCAAACAAGAAAAGCACGCATAAACAAGATGCAACCTCGTTTGACCGGGTTATCAATATAGTAATGATATAATCTTACCCTTTATTTTTGGTAGAAAACACAACACGTTAACCGTGACAAATGACAAAGGTAAGGCTTGGAGGCTTCGAAATTGGTTTGTTTAAGAGACCCAAGGCTTGGAAAAGTCCCCAGTTTGGCAGAGAGATTATCGACATCTAACCTTTCTTAATCCTACTGATAATATAACACCTAGAGAAACCACCTTCAACCATCATTTCTGCCATCCTCAAGTCTTCCCAGAATATCTCGGCTTCTGTGACCTACTAATATTTTAATCACCCCTCCTTTTTTTTTTTTTTAAAAAAAAAAGTTGATTAATACTAATTGCTTCTTGATGTGTAGTCATGGAAAGGATGAAAATGGCAATGCCACATTGACTGTCTACAATCGGCGGTTTTAGAATAGACTAAGTACTTGTAATAAATTAGGTAATTGTAATTGTGCTAAAAAAAAAAAAAAATCGGTTTTAGAAGTGTCAAGATATAGCCAGTTTTGCAACCAATTTTTGCTTACATATATTCTTCATTTTTATTGTCACTGTCAGGTTTCTAGTTTTTGCTCCTTTTAGCAAAAAAAAAAAAAAATCGACTGTGTACATAGTCTCAGATTGTTGAAACCTACAAAAAGATGGTTAAATAAAAGGGGTCACTTTTTTAAGAGAACAAAGAAACCTCCTGAAGGAAGAAATGTACAGCATTGAGCATTGTTGCAGGGAAAAAAGAACATCAAAGACAAGAACTGGCATTTGCGCCTGAAATAGAACTTTGCATTGTCAGCTACCTACCTACACGTTCTTGACTGTCGTGACTGTTATAGTAGTAGTCCCCGTAGAATTAGACCCGAATGGTTTAAAAAAGAAAGGGTCTCAGCAACTCCAAAAGTACCAAACCTCGAGGACTCCAAACCAAATTTTGGATATCTAATACATATGCATTGAAGCTGTTTCATTTCATGGTTTTGTTTTTCTCCCACAGTTCTCTTGCAATTCCGAGACTAATAATATTGTTATTAGGTGCTAATAATAATAAAATTTACAGCAATCAATCACACTCTGATGAAGAAGGCAGGTTCCTCTCTCGTTTTCCTAGTTCCACTTTTTTTTGAGTTAATACTACATAAACTAATGATTCTTTTCTGCTCTCAACTGTCTTGTCTCTGACTGTCTTTATCTCCCATAGCCCCTGCTTTTTACTACTGATGAATGGTCCACTGTCCAAAGACAATTCATTCATTCTAAAGAGACTATATTATAATGGGGATTGCTCAGTAATTACTCTTCATAAAATGGTCCACTCCAAAGTCCATTTGCCAAAAAGCTTTTTTCACTACCCTTGAACCCTTCAGTAGTTCAGTACCCCTTACAAACTTTCTCTTCAAGGCTTTTAAAAACCAAGGAGATTTACTTGAAGAAAAGAAAAAAAAAGGCCTATCTCTCAAATCTGATTTTTTTTCTCTCTCCATGGACTTCAATCTGAAGCAATGGAGAGAACAGCAGCATCAGCAGCTGCAAATGCAGCAGCTGCATGAGTCAGAAGAACAAGAACAGCTAACTCAAACACCGCCTGCAAAGCTACCAAGACTTCTCTTTCACTCTAATCATCCACAACAAGAACAAATCCATTCAGAAGCTGCCCTTCCTTTGTTTGTTACTGAACCTACTACCACCACCAAGCTCACTACTGCTGCAGCAACCAATCTGTCAGCATTCCCATTCCCTGCTGCTGATTCCTCATCCCCTGCTGTCACCAAATACCCTGTTTCCAGTAAATATTTACTCACTTTCCCTCCCTGTACCTCTCTGTTTCTAATGTTCAGTACACTTTTTTACCCTTTACGTTTACAAGTTTGTTCTGGTTATCTTCCTTTTTTTTGGTTTATTCATATACGATCTCACATTTGTCTCTGTTTTTCTTAAACTAATAATGTATGTATGATGTAATTTTTGGTAGGGATGGGAGGAGGTTACTTCAGCGTGGCCCAGTGGCAGGAACTAGAACTACAGGCATTGATCTTCAGACACATGTTATCTGGTGCAGCTGTTCCTCCTGAACTACTTCATCTTGTTAAGAAAAGCATCATCAACACCTCTTCTCATCCTTATTATTACTCTCACCCTCTTGCCCACTTTTCTCATTACCAGCCCGCAGCTTGTAAGTTTTACTCTGCTTCCCTCCTGAAATCTCATCTCCTCTAAAACTTTAGCTTTTCGTTGCATCTTCTCCAGTCTAGTGAACTGTAAAGGTGCATACTTTATAACATTGGTTTGACATAATCAAGCGATCTAAGCATATGATGAATCAGTTCTTGTATTATTATTTTGAGGAAATTTTTTTTAACTTGCTCTGTTTTTTTTTTTAATTTTTATTTTGGGGTACCAGTATTACAATCAGGGTATTGGGGAAGAGGTTCAATGGATCCGGAACCAAGGAGATGCAGGAGGACCGATGGCAAGAAATGGAGGTGCTCAAGAGACGTGGTGGCTGGGCAGAAGTACTGTGAACGCCACGTGCACCGCGGCCGAAACCGTTCAAGAAAGCCTGTGGAAAACCCCACTCCAGCCGGTGGCAATAATGCTGCAAATCTGTCCGCTGGAATTCTTAAATCCAACAACTCTCAGCCACTGGGAGCAATGGCTGGAAATGGCACTTCTCATTTTGCTTTTAATGGGCTCTCCCCATCCGTTGATCATCTGCAATTTAATCAAAGGTAAGCACGAATGAGAAACAGTGATTTGATGATCTCAAGCTTCTCTTGTAATTATTGCTGTTTATCGTACGATGTCAGGGATCACGTGTCATTGCATCTTCCATGTGAAAAGATCGCAACTTGATAGAAATTTTGGCACTTTTCTTCATGTCTTGTGGGGATTAATTATTTAATACCAACAGATTCTTATTTCATTGAACTCTTGGGAGATCAGTCGTAGGATTAATGAGTTTCACACATTCATTTGATTTGATAATAGAAGAAGATGAGCAATTTATTTCCCAGGCCCTACTAACTGGAAAACATGTCTCCCCAAGGGAGGAAAGATGGAGTTAATGTAGCATGGATGGGCCAAATATGTTAAGCTTTGTAGCCTTTTATGTCTTCAAAACAAACTGCTTTTTCATCTCAATCTAACTTCTGAATGAATTCAACTTAAGATTGATTTCGGCCCCCCAATGCATCTTCAAGGTAGGACCCTGCCTTTTTTTTTTTTTTTTTTTTTCTCCTTTGGGTGCAAGTTGCAACATCGCAAAGAAAGGGGGCCATTATCTGAGATTGATGGTGACAAACTTTCCCAAGTGGATTTGTGTCACGGATTTGTGTGAAGGGAATATAGCTTCTTCTCCCAAGTGGAGTAGTATTTACTTTGTAGTATTTTTAATGCTCTGTTGTATGGTCTCATTAAGAGTTTGTAATTATTGTAGATCTTCAGATATCAAAGTTGAAACTCAAAATGATGCAGCCGGAAGTGATAAATCAAACGGTCAGATTCTTCGACCTTTCTTCGATGATTGGCCGCGGAGACCGCTTCAACAAAATGAGGATTCAGGAAGGAATAATATGGAGCCTGATATGGTTTCAAATACCAATCTTTCAATATCGATTTCAGGCAACCCAACGTCCGATTTTTCTTTAAAGCTTTCCACTGGTAACAGAGATGATGAATCTGATGGTGATCCAACAGGAAACATTGGGCTGGAAAGAACTCACCCAAATTGGGCTGCTGCTCAATGGGGAACGGCCCATGTATCCTCAATGGGTGGACCGCTTGCGGAAGCTTTGAGGTCATCGACCTCCAGTTCTTCCCCAACCAGTGTTCTGCATCAATTACAGAGAGGATCTGCGTCCGAGGCTAGCTATATCAGCTCTTGATGCAGATCATTGGTTTGTTATTAATGGTTTTAAGTTTCAACAAAATAATTGTCTCTAACAGTGGTGCTTTTTGTTTTGGCCAAGCAATCTGATCGGTTGTACAAATTGCATTCATGAATCATGATGTTTTTTGTTTCTTATTGACTTTGTTTTGTCCTCTTTGTTTCCTCTCTCCCATTAGGGGTTGAATCTAGAGATGGGAGTCTTTAATGTATTATTTGGCTCCAACAGATGTACCACTTTCGTGTTTGGTTTCCAGTATCATTTCTTTCTTAGCTTGCTGAATACTAGAGCTACCATAGATATTACGGCTTACAGATCTAACACGTAAGATACAATAATATGTGGTTTCCCGAACAAGAACTTCCATAAACTACAGAAAAAGCATCCTGCTCTGAGCAGCCTCTGAAATTACTGAGATTGGAGGGAATCCCTCTCCCGTTTCACGTCACACGGAACAGGGAACATCAGCACCTCCATTACTACCTGTTTTCACAACACTACGCACACCCCGCGCCAGCCATATAAACTTAGTATTCAATAAAACATTGTTGTACTATAAAATCTTAAGCAAACTTTTCAGGTTTGAAGAGTATAGCTACCCTTCAATCTTTCATAAACATGCACAGTTACCTATACTGTACAAGAAACTGACTGATCATCACTGCACAATGATGCTCGTTCTCACGATACTTTTACAAATTGCCTCAAGTCCGTGCATTATTCATCATTTCTACATGCTATCCTGTGCATTTCCCTCGCTACTCATCTCCTCCCAATTACGCAGTGCATGAAATCTCACTGTAGCAACGCTGCAAAGTGGCTACATCCAACTTGGGCGCCAAAGTATCGGTTATCTATCCTTCTGGAACAAATCCCATGAGTTCATTCTTCAACAGGATCTACTTTGTCATTAGCCAGAGCATAAACAACTGCTGTCCGGGCAGGTGCATAAACCAAAAATGAATTAGGACGACCATCAAACCATCCTTCCTGCAAAGGTTGCGACAGAACAAATGTTATCATTACTCTCCCTTTCATCCAGATAAGAATTAGATTTAGAATCCAGGATAAACTTACAAAAGTGAAGAACTCTGCACTGTGATCAATTCGACTGAAACCTCCGAAAAGTGGATCATCTGAATCCAATACTACCTGCAAAGTTTTGCTTTGTTATTCAAAAGTTCTAAAGGTGGAAGATTACATTCATTCTCTTCAAGCACAGTAGTAAATTGATACAGTCTATGAGTAGTTTGAAAATTTTCAATATGTTCAAGAGAACTAGATTCACACTGTCAAAACTTGAAAGGCACTATCAAGGCCAAACAAACAATGATATCCGAGTAGCATTTAATTAAAAGCATTGGTTCTTCTCACCTTGTATTTCCCAGGTTTGAGGCAACCTATCTGGTAGTCTGAATAACTGTTTGTCCAATGGAAGTTAAAAACAAACACTAAATCTCCTCTTTCAAACACAATTACCCTATCTACTTCGTGCTTCCTTGATATATACTGGTGCCCTGAAGTCATGAACTGCATGATAAAACAAATCTTGTCAACAACTAATAAAGAGAACAAGTAGGGACAAAGATGCTGGATTTATCTCCAAAAATTTCATTCTATCTGGAGATGATGAAAAAGGTTAAGAGGTAAAAAACATACACCATAAATTTCTTCCAGATATTGCATTGCTTGGTCAAATTCTTGCATTCCACGATATCTCAAATAATCTGCATCCCCCTGAATGTAAACAGAAGAAAGGTTTTCGTCACATAAGAAGATGATGCTATACCCCAAGTGCACGCTCATCTACACTAAATAGAGTTTGAAATAGATGAAAATAAAAAAAAACAGAGTTTAAAATTCAAAGAACATCAAAATGAAGAAGTACACTATCATAAACCCAAATTCAAGGATGCGGGCTTGTTGAAAGCACCGGCTGTAGGAATAAGCAGGGGAAAACCATACCAGATCAAACCTTCTTCGACATTTATCAAAGCTATTGTTATTTCCGGGGATGATTCTACCATCAGGAAGATGCTGATCACATCTTGGAAAGTCTATCCACTCTACGAAAATTCAAACCAAGGAACCATCAACCATAATGAGAAAGAATCTCTACACAACTAGCAAGTCTTAAGAAGCTTTTAGCAAAAACTAGAATAAGAAAAACAAAAACAATCCCCCTTACCTGGATGCCCAAATTCATTTCCCATGAAATTCAAATAACCTTCTCCACCTAATCCCATAGTAATTAGCCTGATCATTTTGTGTAGCGCTATTCCACGATCTATTAGAGGAGTTGATGGTCTATCCAACGCCATGAAATCATACATATCCTGCAAGCCGTAAAATCCATATGAAAAATTGGAAGCAGGACAGACTGAAAACATCATTGGAAAACATATCAATATCAATAGGCTCATAATTCAGGTCACAAAATAAGTACTGAAATAGCTTCAATTTCAATTAGAGATTAACGAAAGCAGCTGGTCATTGGATTTGAGCTACACAGGTTTGCCCCTATCAATTAAGTCACTCCTTATCCAAGACACAGGAACATTATTTAACCAGGACACAGAAATATCAAGTATAAAAGATACCTAACCTGATGAGAAGCTTTTACACGTAGGGGAAGAGCAAAAGAAACATCCATGCACTGACCACTGTAATAGTTTATTGTCATACTGCTCGTTGTAATTAGTTTTCACCTCTAAATCCCCAACTATACATTATGAATCTATCTAGTTGCAATGAGAATAATTTTCTGATTCTGTATTGACCATTTTAGTAAGTTTTTTCACCTCCAAAGTCACCAACCTGTTAGTTCTGAATCAGATTGTTAATCGATGTTTAATAACATGTTGCTAGGATTCACCCTTCTCTAAATTGGTACCACTTTTCTTTCCATACAGAGAAACTTAAAAGGTGCAACATTGGCATCCATAATTGTTCGAAAATTAATATACTCAACCTTATCCATCAACCAGAATGCTATCGTCTTATCACCCACAAGAGCCTGGTCATGACTTTCAGCATAAACAACACACTTCTCCGACCACCTTCTATTTGTCAATGTGTGGACGATATCACCCATTTGCCAATCCTCATCTCTTTTCCTGCATCAATTAACCCAAAAAGCCATGACCTATGATTCAAATTTGGATAAAAAGGTACCGGGTAATAGCCAGAAGAGCACATGACCATGGAATAAAAAGCAGCAGCTTTCAAGAAGTTAGGCATTTATCCTCTATGCAGCAGAAATTGGAACAAATACCATATTTGAAAGCAAATTTAATTTAGCATGCAATTCATGTTTACAACACTTCAACCTTAATTCAGAATTAAATAAACCAAACAACGATCTCAAGAAGAGTAAGCATGTCATCATTTGGAAACTAAAATCATTCTATTCAGCAGAACCAACTGTTTTCTCGAGTAAAACTGCATATGAACTATGAATTGGGGTCTCATTGAAATGAGAATTCCCGAGTATATATCAGAGCGTAAGCATTTCAAGCGTCTTCTTTAAGAAACTACAATCGATTCAAGTTGCTAGGTGTTAACAAAAGTTTTCAAACCAGTGCAGAAGGATTTTCTTATGCTTCCTACTATCAAGTAGATGTTTGAAATTAAACATTATCAGGTCAGATAGAAACACCTAAATTGGATCCAATTTAACTGCTTTTCAAAACAAGTGGTACGGTTCAGAAATAACATACTTCAGCAACTCAATCCACTTATCAGCAACTGCCATATGGAGCCGATAATCAAATCCAACCCCACCATCTTGAACAGGGATACAGAATGTAGGCATGCCGCTAACCTGAGTCAAAAGTCAAATCGCTCAAAAGAAAAAGAAATAATCAACAAGCTACTGGCACGATCTGCTAAAGTTAATTGTAGGAAAATATTATCTTCTTCTGAAGTTTATTGAACCCAGAGTGATCAAATGAACACCCCAAAAATTAAGAAGCCCTCCCAAGAACACCAACTGACATTGTGTCCAGCACCAGCTAAAGGGAAAACAATTATATGTGTCTAGAGGTATAGACAAAGTAGCAGTCAATCTAGTATAAGAGTTCTTGCTATTAATCATGTGAGCAGTTCAAAATGTTCCTGCCAGTAAGATGAATTCACGATAGGCTAAGAGGACATAAAACTAAATGTTGTAGACAAGCATAGGTCAATTTTTGAAATGTACTCAAACCGTTCCCTGTGACATTTCATCAAGTTTATCTTCATCTGTCTCTAATTCAAAGTTATACTATTAGAGACCTCAAATTTTTGTTTTTACTATGGCCAAAGCATGTACTGCTATATGGTAAAATGCCAAGTTGTGACAACTATATGGTTTAAAGTCCATATTGCAACGACAAATAAAACAGTTTCACTTACATCTTCACCAACAGAGATAGCATCAGGGAAGAGCCCATGGATGACATCATTTGCTAGCATCAAATAAACAACTGCATCAACATCAGTTGAATACCCAAAGTACTCATTATAGTTCCCAGTAAATGCAACCTGAAAAAATAGAACCACTGGTAAAACAAAGTAGAGCAGCAATATCACATTACAACAAAAAACCCCGTTCTATAAACCCTAGTTGCAGCAGGGGATTCTACTTGCCTGCAAACCATGATGGGTGTACATCATTGAAGTTACACCATCATATCTGAAGCCATCAAACTTGTATTCATCCAGCCACCATCTCGTATTTGAGAGAAGATATCTTAGTACCTATGAAGAAAATGTATGATGTTCATAAGTAATGTCTAATCATCAGCAGGACAAGCTTACAGTGGTCTAATTGAATATAGGATGGAACATACTTCCCACTGCCCATAGTTAAAGAGGCGAGAATCCCACATCCAGTGATAACCCCGAGCGCCAGAGTGAAAATAACAGCTATCAGTACCATCAAACATGTTTAGCCCGTCCAAAGTATTGTTTGATGCATGACTGAACATAAGAAATTGCTTTCAGAACAAGGTAAATCACTAAGGTTAAGAGAGAGCAGAAAAAGAAGAAATATGAGGAAAGAGGTTAAGAGATAGTAGAAAAAGAAGAAATATGGGGAAAGATATCGAAGCAAAATGCATATTAACCAAATTCATATTAGAGGAAATTTGACTTGTGTGTATAATTCCAACATTACCTGTGCACAATATCCATGAGGACAACTATACCAAGTTCATGAGCTCTATCTATCAACGATTTAAGGTCATCCGGAGTTCCAAAACGGCTGCTTGGTGCAAAGAAATTTGTGACATGGTAACTGTAGCAAGCAGGAATAAATTGCAATCCATTAATGGTGAAAAACATCATCCCAAAGATAGCCTTACCCCCAGAAATATCAAACATGAAACAAAGACATTCTAGAAATGGGGGAAAAAGAAGTGAAATGAAACAGTAAGAATACCCGAAACTAGCATAGTATGAATGCTCTTGGATTGCCATGATCTGAACAGCATTATAGCCGAGCCTCTTGATGCGAGGGAGTACTTCATCACGAAAATTGGCATATGTATTAATTAAAGGCTCCTGGGTTGCAAAGTCAACAAATCAGTTCGGCATGTTGTATGAATGTATAACATCATATTAAAATGAATGAAGGCGATTGGGAAGAACTAAAAATCTTCATTATAGAATGTGGAGATAAAGCTTCACAACAGCATGAACCAAACTAAAAGAAATCTTCTTAACAGCAGAATTTAATGATCCAGAACATGTGAAAGATTTCCATAATACTACACATGGAAGGCTTCTCTCACTGTTACGACGGAGGCATCATTATGGGCATATGCTTTCAGCGTGAAGTTAACACAGGAGAAAAAATTTATCCTTTAGGAATGATTATTTCTAGGAGTGACCAATCTAAAATTTTAATGGGAAGAGAAATTGATATCTGAAAGAACACTTATCTGATCTATCAACGAATACCATAAAATAATGACTACAAACACCCCTCCAAAGAAAAATGATTACATAATACCATCAACTTAAAATGTTCTGATGAATATTTACATATCCTCCTAAACTCCAGAATTTTGGTTTCCCAAACCCTCCCAGTATATAATAAGTCCAGTCTGCTATTTTAATGCCCCCCTGCCCCCCAATTGCATTTATCTAAATCTTAATCCGGAAAAACAAATTCATAGGACTTTAGTAATGGAAAAAAAAATTAGATCCAAGAAAACAAATCCATAGGACTTTAGTAATGGAAAAACAAACCTTGGATCCAAGAAAACAAATCCATAGGACTTTAGTAATGGAAAAACACATTAAAAAACGTTATTAGACTCAGTATTGCCATAAAGATGTTCTTTCCAAGTGGCAACCACAGTAAACAATGGACATCACATATCAGAAGATACACTGAGGCATAATGATTCGCAGAATTATGCCAAGATGTTAGCAGGAAGACAGTAATCTTGAAATGTTTATCACAGAATAAGAGATGGGAAGATCTCGCACCGGACTACTCATTCCAACGTGAGCCTCATATATCCTGAGTGACTTTGGTCTTTCTGGCCGTGGGTGTTTGAATACATATTTCTCCTGTTAGAAAAATCAACCAAAAAAATCACGACATATAAAGAAGATTAAAGATCCCACAAACTTAACCAGCCAAAAAAGTTACAAACTGATGGGATAGTCACAACATTGGTTGTTAAATATTTCTTCCATCGGATAGTTATAAGGACTAAGAATAGTACAAACTTCAGGAAACAGCCATTTTCTCAAACCATTCCAATTCGTGATATTTCTAGGAGTGACCAATCTAAAATTTTAACGGGTAGAGAAATTGATATCTAAAAGAACACTATCTGATCTATCAACAAATACCATAAAATAATGACTACAAACACCCCTCAAGAAAAAATGATTATTTCTCTCCTTTAGGAATGATTATTTCTTCTATCAGATAATTATAACGACAAAGAATAGTGCAAACTTCAGGAAACAGCCGTTTTCTCAAACCATTCCAATTCGTGATATTATATCATTTATATCCTTTATAAAAAGCATTCAAGCATTATGATGAAAAATTGTTCTATTCTTGTTCAAGTCAATATTTAGCAGAGTTTTTTTTATCCTCCTTTCGACTCAGAGAATAGCCAACAATCATTAAGTTTAAATGTACACGTTTTAATATATGAAGAATACCTCTTCAGGGGGATCATAATATATCCCATCATAAGGAATTTGACCAGGAGCCTGTACAGCAAACTTGATCCAAGCAGGAATAGAGTCCTTTAATCCAGATGGAGTATCCATGCGTATCTAAATTTGCAAAATGTGGAAAAAGAAATAAATATTATCTGAAAGGCTTTAAACAGCAATCGGCAAACAAAGGTCAACTTCAAAGGCTGATTCATATGCACATCACTTTCAAATGAGTCAAAACCTTGGAGTTGAACTAGCCTAAACTCCAACTAAATACGTCACAGCATTTCCAATGAACGACAGACATTCTCCAAGAAGCACAAGAAACAAATTGTGCATAAAAAACATTTAATCCAGTGGAGTTTTTTTTTTTTTGGAATGCCAACGAAGAGCTTGAAAAGGGCAAAAATCATTAAACAAGGGAATCAAGTCGCATTATCTCAATGAACTCCTAGATCACTCGAATGCAAAAATCATACGGTTTAACTTTGATAAATGACCTATATGTGCTATAGAAAGACTGATACTCTATGCATCTCTGTAATTTTAAGACTGCATCTACAATTGAGTGTCTCACTTTGAATTACAGTATCGTAGTTTACTCTTCAACCTATTGAAATATAAGTGTAACAATCTTCTATGTACTATACATGGCCTTTTCCTGGCATGCATGCAAGTTGTTCATGACATAAAATAGATTATAAAATTGTTCACCAAAAGATATCATAAGCATCAAACTTTACTGTTTTCGGAACAGTAAGCTTCATAATCTAGCATCGCTAATAAAATTGCACCATATGAAATTGCATGATGCTGTGCTGCAGAGATGGATTTGAGCAACATTATCAGACAGACAAACCATTTAAGCATCTATAAACAGCAAGTGAATGGAAAGGAAACCCATGCCCTTAATGTGTCCAGGGCTCACCTTTACTCGAGAGCCATGTGGGATTGCTGGAGAGCCATCTGCATTGTTAGGCAAAAAGACCTCCCAAATGCCAAATTCATTCTGTAAAGCATATAGATCCAGTGTCATTTCCCATTAAACATAAATAGATGAAAAAAGGGGATTTCGCAAGCCACAAAATGTAGCTCTTTGAAAATGAGCACTTTATCTGTCTTCCATGCCAGAAACTAACAAATGTAGCTCTTTGAAAATGGCATTTTATCTTCTTCCACGCCAGAAACTAAGGCACATACCAGAGCTATCTAATCAAGGACTCGTGTCGAGAAAAACAATTTTAAAAGAAATTGCAATACCTTCTTCTGCAATATCATCTAAAAAGAATCATTCATGTCAAAGTAACAACTGCAGTATTCGTGGGACCTATTAACAAGATGTTTAAGCGGCAGCCATTTCTATCATTCATGTACTCTCATCGTAAGCTCAAATTAGGTTTTAAGATCCTCCAAGCACTTTAACCAGTACGGCAGAAAATTTTACATAGTTTCATTACCATGAATGATTTTTGGAGTGAAAAGAAGGCAGAGCATCACTGACAGCAAAAAGCTTAATTGTTATAAGCAAAACTACACTAGGTTTCATACCGACAATCAAATCTTTCTTAACATAATGAACACTGGCTCCAAATAAATAATAGCTGCATTCTGACAAGACATCCCGAACAAAAAATGATCCTTTATATCTTAAAGATTCTATTAAAAAAGAGAAAGAAAGATTCTAATAACTCGTCAAAATGAACTTATCTTACCCGAGTCATGACGTCAGCATTAGGGTTCCAGTTGTTAAAATCTCCAATAAGCGTTGCCCACTGCAATTATTAAAAAACTAAGTGAAATCAATATATAGTATGAAAACAGTTACTGGATGAAATTCAGATGCACTCTATGCAATCAGCGATTTTATTATCAACAACACAAAGTGCTAAGATATCAAAGCTTAAGATCCAAAAATAGTTTTAATATATATCTCGTCCTTGTAGACTTGTTTATCACTGGTAACTGTCTTGAACACAGGATTAAGTACACATGTCCCATAAATTGTACGGCGTGGATAGCTTTAGAAGACGGGAAAAAGTTCTATAAAACCGGTATTTTCTGGAAAGATGAGGATATCTAGAGAAAAAAGAGTGGAAAGCTGAGCAGAAAATTTAGCATTTAAAACACCAAAAGTGCAAACCTTGGCACCAGGAGCCCACTCCCGATATGTAATACCTGTTTCACTGAAATATAAGGAAAATGAAAATTCAGAATGCGATTATCAAGATGATTAACTCTGGATATAGAAGTTACAAGAATAACAAACTTCACATTATGAAAAGTTCTAGGACAAAATTTCATGTGTTTCATAATTAATGGTAGTGTATCTCCAAATAGGATAAAAAGAACAAAATAACAAGCAATCCAGGTCCCATTAGACAATCATTTAGAGTAGAGCGTTATAAGTACAAAAATCATATCACCAATACTCCTCTTTGTTAATTGCCACAAGGTGTTCTGGAATTATGGGCATCAGTTACATTCTTAAATTTGGTCAATAAGAGTTCAAAAAAGAATTTTCAGACCAGACATGTCAGCAGTCAGCCACAAAATTGATATGGTTGGAATTCTGGGTCAATTAATGTTGACGCCAAGATCATTGGATCATAATATACAGAAAACTAGAGGTGTAATGAAGTAGGACTGAGGTTAAATGATCAAAAGCGACCGTAATGCTATTCCACTACAAAACTATAATTGTATACAGAAAACCAGAGGTGTAATGAAATAGGACTGTGGTTAAATGATCAAAAGCGACCGTAATGCTGTTCCACTACAAAACTGTACACGTTACAGCCAGTCAAACTTCATAAGGGCTTAGAAAACTGTTTCATTACTACTAGATAGCTAGAATTGCAACATAGAGGACATGTACCTGCGAGTGAAACCAAATTTTTCATAGCCCCGGGAAAATGCTTCTAAACCCCCTTCGTATTTATCTATTGCCTCGCGCAATTTCTTGTATTGTCCATACCTATATTTGGGCAACAACAATTGTTTAAGTCAAGAACTAAGTCGTAAGAGCTAAGACTTAAAAACAAGGTACAGCAAGGACAAAAGAAGAAGAAGCAGCTAAACACCTGCATAATAGTGCAAAATATAAATAATTAATATCAGACACAGATTGAATAAATGGACAAATAAAACACTCATCCGAAAAAAAAGAAAATCGATTCATAAGGAAGAAGAACAAGAAGATTGGACACCAGATATTTTTGGGGGTAATGGCTCATTTAGATGCTCTTAAAGGGATCTTAAAACTAATTGAAAGATGATTATGACACTGAGGTAAATGTTGCTTTAGGTGTTATGATTACATGATACCAGGATCAAAACTAATAGACAATGGAGAAGGAACAAATATGTCGTACACTCTAACAAACCACAGTGTGACTGACAAGAACCAGCTATGGAAATTAAATTGACTTGCATCCAACAAGAAACGCGAGTCTGAATTCCAATATGTTCAGAGTAATTCAGGTTGCAGCTGCCTGAGAATAGGCGAGAAGACCAATACCTGTAGTCAAGATGGCCACTGAAATCTCTTAAAAGAGGATCTATTTCATAAATCCTCTGCCCTATTCCAGGAGGAGGAATGGTTCTTTTCTTTACTTGTTCAGATTCTTTACTAATGATCTCTTCTAATACTTTAGATGTAGCTTCAACTTCCTCTTCGCCACTAGTATCACCATGTTCCAACACACTTCCACCAGATGCCTAAAAGATCAAGATTAAGAATAATAGTAATGAGTTAGGTTTAAAGCTTAACTAAAAAACAGAAGACCAACATATCAAAAATTGATAAGGGTCAGAATATGGACTAGAGAGCAACAAATCCAGCTTTGTGACCACCGGTCGCTGCAGGAGTAAAGTATGATCCGAAGATAAATTCCAGAGAGAAACAGGGATAGGAAAAAAAGAAAGGTCTATAAAAAGTATCAAAACAAAAATTTAGCAAACAAAAATATGCGGGACCAAAATTTTCTAATGTTTCCACATGAATTGACAAATTATGCGTTGCTGGCATATAAATTCTACAGAACAACAAGATTTGTACGTGTGGAACTTAGATTCAGGTGCAGAGAAGAAACAATCAAACTCTATTATTTTCCTTGTATCATATAGAAAACAGATTCGTTTTGTGTAAAAAGAAATGAGGTCCCCAAAGGAAGGCTGTCACAATGACATACTTGAAGGTCCTCTGTAGCATCCTGGAAAGCATCAAATTGCTCAACCATTGACGATGAAGTGTCATCAACAGTGCTGCCTGGAACTTGAGGATCTTCTAAATCAGTCTGAACATCCTCCAACTTTTCAGCCGAGGATAAAGGTTCATCAATCTTGCCACCTGGAACTAGAATCTTTTCGGATGCGGCAACTGTGGAAGATGGGGATTCAGAATCATAAGCTGACCTTGCAGCAACAATCTTCCCTACAAAAAGAATCATCATATCATCTCAACCAACAGAGAAATCAATATCATTAGAGCCAACAGAAAATAAGATCAATCATGATCCCCGGGACGCTGCTGCTAAAATGAGGAATACTACTGACTACTTAAGTAAGAATCACGACCGGAGGGGAGCATCAAGACTAAGTTGGATTGAGGCCCTCTGTGTGCTAAATCCTAAGTTTTTAGTCCCATGCTCTAATCACTTTTGCTGAGACCTGTTCTCAAAGAACGGAAATTTGTTTCTGTGACTTACTGGAAATATCATATCCCTATTTGAATTCCACACAGCAATTACAAAATCCTTAAGTTTCATAATTTCATAGGTAATTCTAATTTACGCCTGGGCGGGTAACTTTGTGCTCAAAACCTTGTGAAATCCAAACTGGTGATTAAAAAGCCCAAATTAAACCAAAACATCCGTAAAATTTACAATTCGACCTACCTACGAACAAACAATGATAAATCAATTAAACATTAAAGATTCATAAATCACTTCAAACAACAAAGCAAAAAATCATTCCCTCAACAAACCTTCTCGCACACTTTCTTCAAGAGCAAAAACTCCTCTCCTTCACAGAAAGGATCGAGCAAAATAGGAAATTTCAACAGGAGGGGGAAAAAAAAGTAAAAAGAACATTTGGCTTTCCCGCACATGCTATTCATTCACCGAAATAAAAGCAAAAGACAAATAAGATTATTTAATCAATCAAACACTAACGTTCGTGTAATTAAAATAATGAACGGAGGAGAAGAGGAGAATAAAAAGACTTTACGTGAAGCCGGGGGACCGTTCCTCGAGAATGAACAGAAATTATTGACGTTCCGATCGAATTGAAAAGTTGACGATGATGCAATCGACTTATTCACAGACGTCGGAACAGCCGGAAACCTGACTCCAGGCAATGTGTAAACCATTTCTTCCGACTCCTCCTTCCCCTTGCGCTAGGGTTTAAAAATAATTTATTGAAAAAAATTTAAAAATCAAATTACGAAATTTCAGCAGCAGAAGAACTAGATCTTAAGCGTGAATCCCGAGTTGAAGGCGCCGTGAGAACCGTGAAATGATGGCAGTAAACTCTAATTCCTTTCTCTTTCAAGAAGTAGAAAGTACTCTAGTTACGAGTTACGAGTGTGAGTGAATGAGTGAGAGACACAGTCGTGCTGTATCACGCCGTTACTCCGTTCCAAATCCAAACAACAAATAACAAAACAACCGGAGCCCCTCTCTCTCTCTCTCTCTGTGTTAGTGTGTGATTGTGTGTGCTACGTGGGTTGAGCAGACTTGCATGGGATATGGTGGGCTGGGGTCCACCCCTGAGTCTCTTTGTTTTGGGGAAATTATTGTGGATCGTCAATTCTGCGAGGACTCTCACATGACTGAGGGGACTCTCAGGGAACGAAAACAGGGGAAATTTAATTATTATAAAAAATATATCTTGCCGCCTTTGCCACGTGGACGGGCAGGAGTCTATTAAAGGATCAGGAAGGAAAGGCTAGTATTATTGGTACCCCGCTCATAATCGCAGTTCAACCCCCAAACAAAAAGGGAAGTGGCTTTTTTTGATTTTTCCCCTTCTCAAATCTACTTTCTTCTAGTAATTCCAGGGTATATTCTTCTAGGCAAATTCTGTAATTAAAGTTTTTTTTTTCCTTTAAAAACCTAGTCACCAGCATGTAATTTAATTTATTTGGAAAGTATAAAAATCACGGTATGTAAAACTTATATTTGAAGAACTAAAGTTGTTGGTCCTTTTTGTTTGGTGACACTTGACCTTACAATACGTTGTGTTGTGAGGTTACTTAAATCTAATTTGATCAACAGCGAGTACAAATTTGAGAATCGTGATGTATCAATTCCTCCTTAACGATTATACATAATCTTTTCTTCTTTTTTTTGACATTAACGATTATATATATACTAGTGATGTCTGGTCGTGCAATGTGCGACCTTGGCCCAATATATCTGTAGATCTTAGAAATGTTTGTATCTGAAAAAAAAATTGTATTTGGCCCGATATATTTTAGAAATGTTTGAAGAATTTAGAAATGTTTTATAAGTGTAATCATAGAAATGTTTATATTTGGCATAAAAAGAAATTGTAGTTGGCCCGGTACGTTTTAGAAATGTTTGAAGATTTTAGAAATATTTTATACGTGTTACTTCTTAAATATAAATAAACTTGATGAAATATTTGTCTTGAAACAAATGCTAGACAAAATATAAAAGTATCATAATAAGTTTAAATATTAGTAAGATGATTTATTGATGTTCTCCAGTGGTTGTGCCAAATCAATACTTGGTTTTGAAGATTTATATAATAACTTCGTAGTAAGCTTCCTCAAAAGGGTATACGCTTAATTGTTGGAACTATTTCTCCCAAAAGTTTATAGGTAGTAAAATATTAAAAATATGATTTTGAAACTGGTTAATTGTCGAAACTGGTTGATCACAAATATGAGAATGAAAATAATGTAAATTTGCATAGGTTTCAAGTTATAGCAAAAAAGAACTCGCCTCACCATGGCAAATAAAAAAAAAAAAAAGAAAGTAAAAGATAGCCCATTAAAAATTGAGGAATTTATTTTTTTCTGTAGGTAAAAATGATGTATAAAAGTACAAATAAACGTAGAAACACCATTCCTTCTCTCTCCATCTCAAATTCATAAAAGGCTTCCCCATAAATTAGTTAGAAGAAGCGACATGAACTATTTATATGATGAGGAACTAAAAAAAGTCAAAAAACCAAATTTAAAAAAATATATTCTTAAAAGCCCCAACACAAAAAAAAAAAAAAAACGTGCTTCATTTGCAAATAAAATAAAATAATAATAATAATAATAATAATAATAATGGACAACTGGGAGTATGAAACAAAATCAAAAGCAATTAAATAAAGAAAAAACACACTTCATAACTGACTATATATGAAAAAAAAAACTGAGACTCCATAATTAAAAAAAAGAAAACCACTCTAATTGAATGAAACATAAAAAAAAAAAATTAAAAAACTACATTTTGTAACAAAAATCCAATTAATCAATTCAATCCAAACAGAACTAAAATCATACAAAAATTATAGGCTAACTAACCAGATAAGAAATCACATCATATTTCCTGACAACGGCTACGGTAGTTGTAACGGATGGACGCATAAAAATAATAGTAATAACACTATTCTTGAATGGAAAAAAAAAACAAAAAATAGTAAAAGCCAGCCAAATGATCTGTGGAAATAAAATCATTCAAATTTTAATACCTGTAATTGCACCACCACAACAGCCGAAGCAAGATCAATGAGAATTTTTTTTTTTCCTTTGTATTTATATAGGGAGGTAAAGATAATATTTTTTGAAGTCGAAATTTTATCCGATTAGGATACAGTTGATCATCACTAATGAAAAAATTGAACATGCTAATAGGAAAGGAGTATATTTCACCATATATTCTCAATTGATGATTGATGAAGAATTTTTTTTTTTTATTGTGGAGATGAGATTGATTAGGGAGTCGATTGTTGTGGAGATGGGGATGAAGATTTGAATTTTTTATGAACCTGTGGTTTTTTTTTTTGTTTTGGCGAAAATAGGAGGTGAAGGTGGATTTGGACTACATTTGCCTTTTAAGTCTATAAGATGTGTAAATAAAATTTATTTGAAAAGTATGATATGGAAATGCCACATGGCAAATGGTGTTGCTTTCTCTTAATTGTGGTTTTTGTTTCTAATATAGTATAAGATATATATTTTGTCCGAAATTTTTATGAAGTGTGTCTAATTTATTTTAGATATATTTGTTTAAAAGTACGAAACATAACTAGAAAAAGGGGTAAACATGAAAAAATTGTGATGGCTGTTTTTCACGAGTTATACGCTGAAGTGGCACTGTATGTGCTTTTTGGGGTAGTAAATCCATCAGCAGCAAATCTCTAGTAATCAAAGTGAAGTGATCTATATACAGAAAGATTAAAAAAGAATGGTAAAAAAATATTCATGTTTTAATAGAATTCTGTACAGCTTTTACAATTTCCTCTTATTTAGAGGAAAAGAAAAAAAAAACCATAGGAAAAATGATTATCTGTTTGATTTTGTTTCTCACTAAACAAAGTGAGCTAGCGGAAATGGGGTCACGTCATGAAAAAGGAAAAAGGATCTTCAAACGTGGACCCTACACTGTGATCATTTATTCCTTTCAAAATCTGGGAGGCTACTAAACGCCCTAATTTTTTCATTTGAACGCCCTAAAAAATCTCAAAAAGACTATTTTGCCCCGGAATTCATATTTTTTTTTAAAAAAAAGGGTGTAAGCGATGGAGTACTGCGCCAGCCTTTCACGGCTGGCGCAGAAGAAATGCGCCACCCTTTAAAGGGTGGCGCACAATTTTCTCGCCTCCCTTAATTGGGAGGCGAGAGGAAACTTTACCCCCAAAATGGGGGTGGCGCAAAAATCTGGCGCCACCCCCTTCGGTTTGGCGAGCCTTTTGCTCGCCAAACCGAATTACTTTTTTTTTTTTTTTAATTTATTTAATTAATTAATTATTTTATTTATTTATTTATTTAAGTTTATTTTTTATTTATCTATTTGGAAGTTAAAAAATATTAAAAAAATAAATAAAATTATTTTATATTTTTTCCATGCTTTTTAATTTTTCGTTTCAACGTATTTTAAATTTTATATTTTTTTCCAAAAAATATTTCCAGGACGGCTAGATGCACCGATGATGAATAATTAATTTGTTTGATAGTAAATTCCTAAATTTTAGTTTTTATTAAATGATAATTTTTTGTTTACGTTTAAAAAGTTTTACATAACTAAATGATAAATTTTTATAAAAATTTACTACATAATTAAGCAACATTCTCTAAATATTTAAGTTAAAATTATTTGTTTAACCACCAAACAAATAAATAAAATTTAATAAATAAATAAATTAAGAACATACATGAATTAAATAAATTCATTAAACTAATAATTAAAATAAATAAAAGAAATTAATTAAATACGTTAAAAATAGTTAAATTAAAGATTATTAAATAAATAAAATATAAAAAAAAAGTAATTAAGGTGGGTGACGCACAAAATGGCGCCACCCACCCTTTGGTTGGCAAGAGAAATTTGCTCGCCAACCAGCCACAAATGTGGCGCCCAGAAGGGCGCCACACCTTCGCCATGCGGCGAAGGTTTTCTCGCCACCTCTTAAGGGGGTGGCTCATTTATCCCTCGCCATATATTTTTTTTAAGGGGCGTGTACGTCTTTTTCGGGCGTTCAAATGAAAAAATTAGGGCGCTCAACAGCACGACCCTTCAAAATTCCTCTGGACGAATTATGACATGTTAATTTTGAAAATACGGGTATAAATTGTACTTTTGTTCGTAACATTTAATCTCTACTAATAAAAAGAAACAATGAAACATCACACGCCAGCCATTTGTAATAGGTAGTAGTAAGATAAACTAGATGATGTGAAACTTAAATCTTGCATGTCTCATTACAATCTTTTTTGAATATATATATAATAACGACTCGTGAGAGATAGACAAACCACAGTGAAAAATAAATCACAGAATTTTATAATACTACTGTACAAAGAAGTTTTGCTTGGTTTTTCAAAAATGTAAACGTCAATAAAACTAAATATTGTGACAAATATATTTATTTTTTGGGACAAAGTAGTAAAGAACATTCCATAAACAAATCCTTTTAATGGAGCCCAAGCCCACTTTAGATTCTACGGACCTTTGTTGCTCATTTTTTTTTTCTCATTTTGCAAATACATTAGCCCAACAAGACTTTGGGATTTCGAAAATAAACTAGATGACTAACAGAAACTATAGCAATCGAGCCCAACAAATTGTGTTAGTGAACGTCACCAGCCCGGGTCCACAAACAAATTGGGAAAGACTTTGTGCAAGCAAAGCTCACCGTTTGCGTAAGCATTCCGGCGTGCAGTTATTCACAAAGTTCTAGGGCTTATAGGAGGTGGGGACAATCAAGTACTTCCTGATCAAGTAGAAAAACGAGATTAACAGACTCTCAGCTCTTCTTCCCCAGCTGAGGTATTAACTTAAAAATAACTATCCGGTAACTTAATTCCGGCAGCTTCACCGGCTTAGGTAATTCCGACCTTCAACAATTGTCTCAGCTGCATATCTTATTACTGATGTAAAAGTTTGTTTCTTATATAATCCATCCTGTTTCGAATTTCATTCACTATGAATTGATCACCGCTTCTTTTCGCATGAATTTTGGGGATGGTTCTTCTGTTAGAATTGAGAAATTGTTGTACATGCATATGAATCTGACACGCACAAGTTAATACTCTGTGAGGCGATTGTTTGATCTACTTGCACTGTTTTGATTCTTTAGGCAATTCATACCAAATTTTCCGAAGTCGTTTCTTCTACCCAGTACCCTGTACTGGATTCTAATGTTGAAGATAAAAATGAGAGAAATCTGATTGCCAATTGATCCTCATTATTTCCCTCCAACCGGAATTTTTAATTTACTGGTTTCAGTTTGGATTGGTGTTGCACATTTTGATTTGAAATAGTATTTAGTCTTGTATCGTTGCTCATGAATTAAATTTGCAGAAAGTCAGTGGGATTCTTATAAAGATTTAATTTTGCACCCATTATGCGGTTTACATACTTGGCATCGTTGATGTCTTTTTGAGATTGTTTCGGGTTTGCTAATGCTTAGATTCATCTCTAGTGCACTATCTTTTCTATGCCAAAGCTGGACTCTTTGGTCAGGACTATGCATTTGCATGGGATTCTTATAAAGATTTATTTTTGCACCCATTATGCGGTTTACATACTTGGCATCTTTGATGTCTTTTTGAGATTGTTTCGGGTTTGCTAATGCTTAGATTCATCTCTAGTGCACTATCTTTTCTATGCCAAAGCTGGACTCTTTTGGTCAGGACTATGCATTTGCTTTCAACCGCCTGCGTCACAATTGTATTTTCTGCGGCTAATGTTTTAGCATCTAATGATTTCATATCTTTTTCTTTGATGCAGTTCTGCTTGGTCTTTCTTTTCTGTTTAAAAGATCGTTCATGCGGCTTTACTTGGACATAACTGATCAAGCATAAACCAGAATAGCTCTGCAAAACTTTCTGAGATAGTTAACTGAATCATGGCTGCCTCAGAAGAAAATAGTGCTCTGTTTCCAATATTCATACTCACAATAATGGCTCTGCCATTAGTGCCTTATACAATATATAAGTTGTTCCGAGCTGCATCTAAGAAAGCTGCAAGCATCAACTGCCAGTGCTCTGTCTGCTTTCGATCGGGGAAATATAGGAAATCAATCTTCAAGCGGGTTGAGTACATGTGTTTTGGATATTTCAATTGTGCTAAAGCACTAGTATTTAAGTTTTTCTCCATGGACCTTGCTGTTCAATTGACATCTGTGTTTTCTCCTTGACTTCCAGATTTCAAATTTTTCAACATATAGTAATTTGACCCTTGTTCTGTTGTGGGTTGTCATGGCCGTATTGGTTTACTACATCAAAAGCATCAGCACTGAGGTAATTTCTCATTCTAATGATATAATCAGCTAGTCTTTTCTCTTGTTACTCAGAAGATGCATGACCTTTTTTTAGGCTGCTAACAGAAACATGTAATTTGAATAACCTTAACAACAACTAAGCCTTTATACCATTTTTGGTATTGGTGCATGCATAATATCTCTATGCAGATAGTTGCTGGAAATGTTGATCCTATTCCAAAATAATAGGTGCTTATATTAGCAAATAGCAAGTCATTTTGCTATATTTACACTGCTTAGCTTATTTTACGACATTGTAACAATTGACAAACCTATTACAAATGTCCATGATGCTAGAGTTATAAACACTTCTTTCTCCCTGCGGTGAGCAATGTGTTGAACCATTGTGATTAAACTCCACAAAGATATTCATTTCTTTAATGTGCCTCATTGAGCTGAAAGTATGAGCTTCTGACATTTTTAGATAGTTTAAGCTTCTTTCAAACTAATTTTCATTTTCCCTAAATTTTCAGATCCAAGTGTTCGAGCCATTCAGCATTCTTGGGCTGGAACCTGGAGCCTCTGATTCTGAAATAAAGAAAGCGTATAGGAGACTTTCCATTCAATACCATCCTGATAAAAATCCAGATCCAGGTTGAAGCTGTTATCTTGTTTTACGTATTCCCGCTTCTTAGAGATAAGCTCAGGGAGAACCCTTTTGTTGTCCATAATGTCATGTTCTTATCAAATTTTCTCAAATTTCTCCAGAGGCCAACAAATATTTTGTGGATTTTATCTCAAAGGCTTATCAAGCTTTAACAGACCCTGTATCCCGTGAAAACTTTGAGAAGTATGGTCATCCTGATGGCAGGCAGGTAATAAATTCAACAGAGATCGTAATTATATCTTTTGAGATTTAACTTTTGCGTTTGATATCAGTGGAATATGTATTTCTGGTAGGGGCTTCAAATGGGCATAGCCCTTCCAAAATTTCTGCTAGACATTGACGGATCGTCTGGTGGAATACTGTTGCTCGGCATCGTTGGGGTTTGCATTATTTTGCCCTTGATGATAGCTGTCGTATATCTGTCAAGATCTGCAAAATATACTGGGAACTACGTGATGCATAATACAATCCGTACCTACTATATGTACATGAAGCCTTCCTTGGCTCCAAGGTATGCACTTCGGCAAATTTGTTCCCATGGGATTGGGTAAGAATACAATTGTGGATGCCAATTGAGTGTTGCCTGTTGGATCAGTTCGCATAGTATTTTAGTCCTGATCATTAGCCAGTAGCCTTTTTGTTCCCAAGGTGAAAATTTTATTCCTGTTATGCAGGTTAGAAGTATATTTTTCCTATAGTTATTTGTTCTCTTCCATGTTGAATCTTTGGTTATGCAAGGTCTGGAAGTTGTTGACATGTGTATAAATTTTTTCAACTGGTGGAATGGGTTTTGATATAAAGGATTTGTCTTGATTTAAGTAGAAACAATGTTTGTATTGTCTTGTCAAAAGAGTTTTACAGTATGATTTTGTTCACCACCTACACGTTTTGTTATACAAATGTTCTTATGCATGGAGAGTCCTAAAAATCTCTCTCTTCCTGCTAAGACTGGCATTTAATTGAAGTTCTCTATGGTTTTGTCTTGGTGATGCAGTAAAGTTCTGGATCTCTTTGTAAAAGCTACAGAGTATAGGGATACTCCTGTTCATCGTATTGATGAAGAGCCTCTTCAGAAACTTTTTGTGTTAGTCAGGAGTGAGTTGAATTTGGACCTCAAGAATATCCGGCAAGAACAAGCCAAATTTTTTAAGCAGCATCCTGGCTATGTGAAGGTAATCTGTTCGACATCTTTATCTTTAGCTTTTGCATTAGAAAAAGTTTTTTGTTTCCTAACGCAGTGTCCTATGATAACCACTTGCAGACTGAATTGTTGATTCAAGCTCAATTAACACGTGAAACGTCAGAATTATCTCCAAACTTGCAGCGTGATTTGAAACGGGTTCTTGAACTTGCTCCTCGCCTTCTTGAAGAATTGATGAAGGTGTGTGATTGCATGACTACCCTCTAACTAATTTTTAACAGTTCTACTTTTCTGTTTGCCGAGTTTTGGTGACGAGCAGTAGGTCTCTATTTTATGGATTTTAATGGCGGGTACCCTGTCTAGAGTCTAGACCAACTAAAAGGAATCGCTGCCACAGCTGTCTCTTATTCTGCAAATATTATTTTCCCTGTTCTTAGAGTGCTCTGATTTCTGCTCATATTCAAGTTATTTCTTGTCATATTATACATATTTGGAATATCTCATACAAATTCGTTTCCTCGTTTTTTGCAGATGACACTTATACCACGCCCTCCACAAGGTTATGGGTGGTTGAGACCTGCAACTGGAGTGGTTGAATTATCACAGTGTATCATTCAGGTTTCTGCTGTGGATTATTATGAACATATTCATAAATAGTACCATCAGTGATTTGCGTCATTTCATCTGGGTTTTGTTTATTTTTCTTAGCTTCTGAGAAATGACTTGCTACTGTTAGTTTCCGCTTGTATAATGGAACATCTGTTTATTCTTGTATGTAGGGAGTTCCACTGAGTGCAAGAAAAGCAACTGGGTCCAATGAGGGTTATGCACCTTTCCTGCAGCTGCCACATTTCAGTGAGGCAGTGGTGAAAAGAATTGCAAGGAAGGTTGATCTCTCTCTCTCTCTCACACACACACACACACACACACACAATCACATGCTCACTCATTTCGAGGCCATCATAGACATATCAGCTGCATAAAATAGAAAACTGAAACAAAGCACTTGATGGTTTTGTGTAAATGTGTATCGTGCAGTTAGGCATTAGTTAGTCTGCAAAGAGAGGAATATAGATTCTTGTCAGCTTTTTGCTTGGTAAAGCTCTGTATATTGCTAGTTATGTATATTTACTGCCTTCTGTCATTCTTTAACAAAGAATTGGGCTGGTCTAGTTATGTTTGATTATTTGCATTTCTAGCTCACTTGACAGACCGGCATAATCAGTACTTGCCGACCAACCTTTGTATTATTCAAGAGAACATTGCGTGTTGTGACTTTATACATATATTTATTGTGGTTTTGCTAGTATCCCGCCCCAACCCCCCCCTCGCTCTCTCAATTGAGCATCTTATTTTGCTCACCTTGGCTCCCTTGACCTGTTTCATTCATTTTTGCAGAAAATACGAACATTTCAAGACTTCCGAGACATGAAACCTGATGAGCGTAGTGAGCTTCTGACTCAGGTTGCTGGATTTTCTGCTGCCGAATCCCAAGATGTAGAGATGGTTCTTGACATGATGCCTTCTGTTACAATTGACATCACATGTGAAACTGAAGGAGAAGAGGGAATACAAGAGGGTGACATAGTCACAATGCATGCTTGGGTGACTCTTCAGCGCAGCAATGGTTTGATTCGTGCCCTTCCCCATGCTCCATACTTTCCCTTTGACAAAGAGGAAAACTTCTGGTTGATGCTGGCGGACTCGTCTTCAAATGATGTCTGGATCTCGCAGAAGGTTAACTTCATGGATGAAGCAACAGCAATCATAGCTGCTTCAAAAGCAATTCAAGAATTGAAAGAGGGGTCTGGAGCTAGTCCCAGGGATGTGAAAGCAGCGGTTAAGGAAGCCATTTCGAAGGTTAAAAGAGGTTCTAGGCTGGTAATGGGCAAGTTCCAAGCTCCAGCTGAGGGAAACTACAACCTGACTTCTTTCTGTTTGTGCGACTCATGGATTGGCTGTGATGCAAGGTCAAATTTAAAGCTGAAAGTTCTTAAACGCAGCAGGGCAGGGACTAGGGGTGGTGTCTCCGCTGACGAGGTACCATTGATGGAGGATGGAATTGAGGAGGAAGAGGAAGAAGAAGAAGGATATGATGATTATGAGAGTGAGTATAGCGAAGATGATGAAGACGTGAGAGATTCAAAAGATAAAGGAGCCCTTGCCAATGGTTCTGCCCATAATAAGGACGATGCTTCAAGCATGGAAGGTTCAGAAGGAGATTAATGGCTTCAATTTATTTTTGTCTCAGTCTTTCCTCCCCCAACATTTTCTTCTTCCCTTGTGCCTGTTCTCTTGTCGTGCACATCTTTGCAGAAGGGAAAATTTTTGGGATACAAATCTTAATGGTTCCATTTTTTTATTTACTACTTTTGTTACACAAGTACTGGATTCCATGGTCCACCTGCTTGAATCATGTAATTTGAGCAGAAAGACGGCGGGAGTTTAAACTTTCAATCGTATAACATGGAGCTGCACTGACTTCCTAAATGAGATATTCCAATAACAAGGATAAAAACAGCTTCAAGCTATAAAAACAGTGTATCAGTTTTGATCGACATAATGTCAATGTCCCAGACACGAAGACAAGTTGAAAAAAGCAAAGAGCGGAAGCCAAATAGCTACATAAGCTAGCTGAGGTATGTATTTACAGCTGAAAAAATTGCCGAAAACAATGCAATCCAACCTTGAAATCTCTTATTCCAGAAGATAGCCACCTTTACAGCTGAAAAAAATGTCGAAAATGATCCAATCCAAGCTTGAAATCTCTATTTCAAGAAGATGGCCACCTGCTGAAAAAATTAAAACCAAAGAGCATATGATCAAAAAAAGCAATAAGAGCCAATCAGTTACAAAAAAAAAAAAAATTAAATAAAAGAAAAAAGAAGACACTAACTCGTGATCTACAACTAAAGAACAGGGGCAAGTTGATTCCAAGTGAGAGGGGATCTTCAGACTCACCTGCCAAAAGCGATCAATTTTGCATATTCAATTTGCTCAAAAAGACCATAGAGGTTGAGGACCATCCATGGAGGTGTGCAAGAAACATCCACATTGCACCCTGTAACATCACACAACCATTGCACGGGAAACATTTGCATAGGGATGCGTATCTGTTCGGCATATCTAACTCCACGCAACAACTCATTCAAAAATTTTACAGCACTCTGAACTTTTTCTTCAGTACCAACCACAATAAGTTTTTCACTGTTCAGAACATACATCCTACATCCACTATCATCCCTCAGCTTCCGAATCCCTTGCCCCTTGTGTCCAATCACCCACGCAGCGAGACCCTGAGAGAGATGGATCACATCCCTTTTGAGATTGGATACATCCATCGGTGCTATCTCTCCTGCAAAACAAAGATCAAAATCAATATACATATAGCTATACTTATACTGAAAATATGAAAAATTCAAACTTCAGAAACAAAATTACCTTTCGCTACCCCAATTGGATTTCCAAGATAATGGATTTCGTTCAAGACGTCATCAATATATTCTTTGGCTTGCTTTACATCGACCTCAATCCCACTGATAACAATCTTAACAGAATTACTACTCCCAGAAACTTCAATTCCTGTTCTAGTCCTCTCCGCAACGTATGAAGCGCATGCTTGGAGACGCTCGACCCTGTTCTGTATGGTAACAAACCAGATCCTTGTAATGGGCTCCTGGAAAATTACAAATACACATGGACAAAAAACTTAATTGATCAGAATTGAGGCAAATTTAGGGTTTTTACGCAAATTGATCAGAATTGAGGAAAATTTGGTTTCCTAAAAAACCCATTTGAATTTGAAGAAACCCTTTTGAATTTGAAGGAGGAGGAAAAATCCAGTAAAACCCATTTAGATTTTGGGGGAAAAAAGAGGAGGAAGTGGCAAGGAGTCAAAACCCAAACCGAAATTAGACTAAAGAAATTAATGGTTTCTTGAAAAACCCATTTGAATTTGAAGAAAAAGAAAACCGTAAACCCAATTTTTTATGATTTTGGAGGAATACGGATCCCAAAATGGGCAAGGAGCAAACCGAACCGACACGGAAACTGTAGACCCAATTTTTTATGATTTTTTCAAGAACAGTCCAAAAAAGATAGTACACTATATATTAATTATTTTCTAAAATGTTGAATCAAACAAAAAAAATAATAATTTCCTAAAATGTGGGGTTCAAAATCGATTGAATATATTTTGTAATAACATATTTCAGATAGCATGATCATCATCCCATTACCTCTAATAAAATATTTCAGATAGCATGATCGTCCCATTATCTATTATACAAGATTCTTGGTAAAAAAAAAAAAAAAAGATTCTTGGTAAAAGAAGAGTGAAAACGTACCTCAAGCACATCAGAGACAAGTTTTTCCAAATGCTGGGGCATTGGATAATCAGCTTCCAATACCATGATGTTATTGATCTTTTCTTCTAAAAAGTTCAGAAAGGTAGTTAATTTTGGCCTAATCGATTGTTTACTTTCCCTTGTTTCACAAGCAATGACGGTTGATTAACACAAAATAAGAAAGGATAGTATTTATAATAAACTTAAACCCCCTCTCTTTTGTTTTTCTTTTTTTATATCTTTATTTATTTCATCTAATCATATTATTATTATTGCTATTATTATTATTACTATGCTTTCATTTGTCTTCGCTTTCGTGTTATTTTAATTCATTTTTATGGGAAAAGTATAGTTACCGGCAATATATCCATGAATGTGTACTACTTGATGAGAAAATGTAAAAATATTTTGTTATTATTGTATTCTTGTTAAGGAGTGATTTACAGCTACACACCTCTTCAGTTATTAAATAGACTAGTGATGTTTGGTCGCGCAATGCGCGACCCTGGCCCAGTCTATCTGTAGATCTTAGAAATGTTTCAAATAAAATTTTGTATTTGGAGCGATATATTTTAGAAATGTTTGAAGGATTTAGAAATATTTTATAAGTGTGATCATAGAAATATTTCTATTTTGCAAAAAAAAAAATAAATTGTATTTCTCCATGTATGTTTTAGAAATGTTTTATAAGTGTTACTTATTAAATATAAATAGCTTAATCGAATATATGTGTTGAAGTAAATGTTAGATAAAATATAAAAGTATCCTAATAAATTTAAATATTAGTAAGATGATTTATTGATGTTCTCCATTGGTCGTGCCAAATCAATACTTAGTTTTGGAGATTTTTAATAGCTTTGTAATAAGCTTCATCCAAAGGGTATACGCTTAAAACAAAATTGACACTTTGTAACAAAAAACCTAATTGATCAATTCAATTTAAAAAACCACTCTAGTTGAATGAAACATAAAGAAAAAATTTAAAAAAAAAACGTGTCACGTAAAGTGCAAAGGGAGATTTAGTAATTTAGTTATGGTTAGACAAAAGGGCAATTTAGTATTTTCTACATACCACGTGGCAATCATATGAGGTGTTTGAAAGGGAGGTTTTTGTTTCTAATATAGTAGGATGTGGCGAGTGATTTTTTTGAAATTATTTATAAAAAAAATGTTATTTAACACTCATAATGCTAGAAATGTGACCACAATTAATGCGACAAGTGTGTTTGTTAAGGAAATCGAATTATTTTAGAGAACATTTCTTTTGCAAAAAGAAAACAACAAATACTTTATTATCCTTAAAAAAAATTGGGAGTCTGATGTTTTTGAATGAATAAGCATATCATGTATCCTACTTTGCTTAATGGTGTAGCATTCGAGAGTAAAAAAAAAGAAAAAACAAGAAAAAAAAACAATTCTGATGAATAATGACCTTCTGTGGCCCGTATATATTTCAAGTACTTTATATTGACACTTTAATACAAGAATAATTGATTTTTTCCAAACTGATTTATGTAGTTACGTTAGATCACTTTTTTTTCTAAAATTTTGTAGTAATATTTGTGGAAATGTATGTAAGGAAATGACATCCCATTGACTAAATCATAATAAGCTACAATTCCATTCTTGGATTCAAAACTTGGATCCAAATTATTTCTAATCATCTAAACACGAACAACATGCCTAAGGCTTAAAAAGGTTTAAACGCTTAAACTCTATCCCCATTATGGAGCTTGAAATTCAATTTGCAATTCAAGTTTTTGTAAAGTGCAAGGTTACCGACAATTGTGAAGCATTACGAGTCTGAGTACAAGGACCATGCACGAAGGTCTAATTATCATTATCAATAGGGGTGTTCACGGTTTGACTCAACCATTCAAATACAAAATTAATCAGGGAAGGTTACCTTGATTTTACGACTTAATTTCCGGCGGAAGTTTGTTGAATTTCCGGTAGCTACAATCTCCTCCTTTGTGAAAATTAGGGTTCTAACCGGATTCATGTTTTCACTATTAAAATTCAAGATGACAAACAATGGACGCTAAAATCCGAAAGGCGAAAATAACACAAAATGATTTGGATCAAAATAGTTGAATTCAAGAATCAAACTGAAGCTCTAAATCGTGCTTTTGAGATGAGAACAAAGATAAGTGCCCGTTAATGTTTTGGTGAAGAAGAAGGGGGAGATTGGCTACGGGGAAAAAAAAGACGGAGAAAGGGGAAGGAAGGAGACGAACCAGAGGAGAGCGGAAGAAGAAAGCTGTTTGAGGGGTTGAGGAGAGAAGTGAAACCGTAATAGATTAAAGGGGTAAACAAGTCTTTTTAATTTTAAAACTTGAAAAGTTATTTTAATATTCATGCTGAAAAATTAAAAAAATGTTGATGCCCTTAAGAATAATTTTGATTTTCCCACGCCCTTTTCAATAATTCCCCCAAAAAAAAAAAGTAAAAAAAAAACTTGGAAGAGTTCTAAACCAATTGGAACAATAACCTAAATAAACGTAGAAAACTCAATCATATATAATTTGTGTTCAGCCAACCCTAAACCCTAATTACCCATTCTTAGGCTGAGCACTGTGTGCACAAATTAAGAAGGTCGATGGCGGAGGTGGTGTTTCAGTCGGAAAGGCTTCCCAGTGATGTATTGGAATATGTGTTACTGGAACTGGATGTGAAAAGTTTAGTGAGGTGTCAATGTGTATGCAAATCATGGAAGGAAATAGTATGTGAGGCTCGATTTTTGAACAAGCACCGGGATCGATCCTCGGTGTTGAAGAGCTATAACCGCCTCCTCTTCGTTGGGCACTACTACTACTGGCCAGAAACACATGCCCCTCTGGTGACGTTCACAATCGTTGATCCAAATATTGAGGATACCAGGAAGCCACGTTACTTCTCTAAGGTTGTACTATTAGACAACTGCCCTTATGTTGCTCATTACCAATTGGGAAAAGCACATGTGACGCTCAACAAGGACGCTGATCCAAACATTAAGGGCACCAGATCAGGTGTATTTCTCCATCCTCCAGCTGAACAATGGAACAGCTTCCCTTGTTATCGTTCTTATTGTTGCGATTTGATATGCTTCACGTGTGTTGAGAATATTGAGCTGTGCAACCCTAGGACAGGCCAATTTTACTTGTTGCCCAGACCACCAGGTCCACAAAGGTCTCCACAAATATCTTCAAGATGTGAGAACTTTGAGGAGTTGGTATTTGGTTATGATGCTCATAAAAGAGAATACTTGCTTGTGAATTTGCGCACTTGTGAAGTAGGAATGAGAGCGCATAAGCTCTCCTTAGGCATCAGTGCTGGTGGTGATAGGCTAACCATAAATCCATCACCTTCGTCCTGGAAACTAATCAAGGGAGTCTGTCCCCGTCTTGTTCAACATGGGATTTTGATGGGCAAATATGTTTATTGGTTGCTTCACCGGTATGATACGGAGGAGTTGCCTAGCCTTGTCAGAGGGGGAAAGGAACTCATAGTTTCATTGGACCTTGAGACTGAAAACTTTGGAATTATAAACTGCCCCTCCACCCCATTTTGGGAATCACATCCAAACCTTCGTAGCGAATTCATCAGTTTAATCGATGTGAAAGGCAGCCTTTGCCTCACAGAGGGGGAGGCTATCTGGCGTACTGGAGTTTTTGAATTATGGGCTTGGAAATTGATGGATGATAAGTCTTCTTGTTCTTGTACTAGTTCTACTTCTACTTCTACTTCATGGGGTTGGATGAAAGAGTATAGCATCAAGTTGGAGTTTCCAGTCTGCATCGTGAGCTCTCCCATAATTGTACACCCCAAGTCTTCTAGGGAAGGGGAATTCATACTGAGGCTAAGGACGCTTGACAGTATCAACTATTTTCTCTACCATCCCGACAAAAATAGATTTAGACTGCTGCAGACACCTCCTTCTCTCGCTTTTGGTTGTAGTTATGAGGCCTCCTTAGGTTTTTATTGGGAGAGTGGGTTGTCCTTCGAAACATCCCATTAGTCTTCCATTTCTATCTAAGCAATGCATCAACAAAAATTTTATTTCAATAAATAGAGTTTCATATTAATTTATTATAGAATTGTGTATTAAGAGTAACTCGTTAATTTCTAGTCATGTATGCATTTCATATAAACAGTTGAAGAAGTGGATATCTCCGATGATGGATGTGTTTTTATCTGCGCCAAATATGAGCTGCAAATAAATGTTAACGTTCATGGTCTTTAAGTTGTGTTTTTTTCATTTTGCACTACAGTATGGCCAAAATACCTTGCAATGATTTGTGTGCGGAAATGTGGCGCGTCAATGAAAATTAACCTTTATCTGTTACAGTAGATATTGATCTCCAACGCATGGCTACCTTGTGGTATCATATCTTAACGCATATCATAAATGGTTGCGTGTCGGCAAACACACAAAGAGAGGCCAGAATATCATTTGTAATGCCGAATTGCCTTCAATCTCTGTTAGCTTTGTGATAGTTCTTTTATCAAGCAGTTCTAGACTTCTAGGTCTTACCTCTGGTGTACAAATTTTTGGAACCTCAAGAACTTGGAAACTTTTGAAAACAGACTGCGCATTTGGAAAAGTTTTTAGGAACGCCTGTACTTAGTAGTTACTACAGCTTTTGAGATCTATATATGCATATTCAGATATTGCATTTCAATAAATGGTGAGCAAAGTAGTTCAACATACAGTACTTGGAGAAAGACTTGCAATGATAATTTGTGCATTTTCTTTTCTATAAAACCCCAGAAAACGTCCCGTACATTTGGCCAGAAACACGTATCCGTTCCATACATTTAAAAACGTACATTTTCGTCATATTTTATTCTAAAATCCGAGTTTTACAACTTTTTATGTGTCAAATCACTATTCAGTCGTAGTATTTTTAGTATTTTGGTGGTTTTTTTTAAATTAACGAATAAAATAAAAATTTAAAAATAAAATAAGTGATGAACAGTAATATTAAATTTAAAAAATCAAAAATAATTTTTCATTAATTTTAGCTGGTGGGACCGATCTAATTTAATTTTCTATTTTTGGTTACAATAACTAATAAATATAATAAGAAACTTTAAATTTAAAAAAATACAAAATTTGAAATTCAACAATTTGGCTCCATTAATATTGTGGGGCGTACTACAAAATTATTTGAGGCGCACTACAAAAATGAAAAATTTGCAAGATCACTACTTTTTTGTGCAACTACAACATAAAAACTACACATAATATATCACCATTTTTATGTGCAAGGTTGCAGGTAGATTGGTAAGATGAACTAGTAAAGTGCCTAAAAAAAAGTGTAATTACTTATACACACATATCCTCAAATTAAGCATCAAACAACGGTAAGAAATTCAGGTGCGTTGGTTAAAAAAATGCCTAGAAAAAGGAGTAAAAATATATATTAGTCTTTTTTTTTTTTTGTAAAGAAAATTACCGAGGTCGGATTCACAAAATCTGAACTACTAATTAAATTAGTAAATCAGATTTGTTAAATCCGACCTAATAAAATCATATATATATATTTGTGGAAATACATGTGAAAAAAATAGGGAGATGGTCAAATAATAAACAGTACAAGTTTGGATTTTAAAAATCCTACCTTGTTTTTTGTTTTTAAAAAAATTGAATGGCGGGAAAATTTGAAAATTTATTATGGTGGGAAAATTTGAAAATTTAATAAATGAACAATAAAATCGGATTTTCAAAATCCGAACTACTTTTTATTAAAAAAAAATCTTTAAGTGCATAAAATGCATAAAACTTTAAAAAATTTTCCGAATTTTGATAGGAATTCGCATTAAATTGACATATCCACTTTTTAAAAAATAAAAATAAAAAATATTTTATTAGTTATGATAATAATAAAATCTTATATTACTAATAATTATTAAGAATTTGCATTAAATTGATGGAAAATAATATATTACTAGTGTTATGTAGTACTATTAAAACTGTTAGGGATTTGTATTAAATTTAATTCATTATAATTCATATGTGCTAGTGTTTATACTATTTATACATACTAGTGTTATGTAGTACATCAAGACTATTACCCACTATATATTACTGATACTAGTGTTATTTATTACTGTTAAATCTATTAGTCATTAGATATTATCTAGATTAGTGCTACGTAATATCACTAATACTATTACAACTTTAAGTATCACATATATACTAGTATTACTTATTATTATTAACATTGTTTAACATTGTTACATATCAGGTATTACATGTATTAGTACTACGTATTATCATTAACACTGTTACACATTACTACCATTAACATTGTTACCTATTACGTATTATTGTTACTATTGATAAACAATAATATTAATATTATTTTTTTAGGGACTACTAATATTGTCACTCGTTAGTTATCATCTGAACTAGTATGACATAATACTATTAATACTGTTATACATTAGATATCACATGTACTACTGTTACATATTATTATTAATACTGTTACCAATTATTATCATTAATATTGTTATCTATTATAATTTGTCTGTTACTCATTACATATCAAATGTACCAGTATTAGAAAGTGTTGTTAACTCTGTAACTCATTACATAATACACTTACTAATGTTATACAATACTACACAACATTAAAATTGATACATCTATATTTGCAGATTATATTGATACAATTAATTTGAAATATGAATTTTCAGTTAAGCGAATTTATAAACAAAATCAGATTCCGCAAATCCGAATTTCGATAAAATCAGATTCCACAAATCTGAATTTGGGATTAAAATGGATTCCACAAATCCAATTTAAGGAAAAAATCGGATTTCTAAAATCCGAAATAAAAAAAAAAAATCGGATTTTTGAAATTTGATTTTTGGAATAAGTCGGATTTTGTAAATCCGAGTTATACCCTAAAACCCTAAACTTGTCTAAGGAATTTTAGATTTTCAATATCCGAATTAAATCAAAAAATCAGATTCTTGAAAATCGATTTTACCAATAACTCGGATTTCAGAATTCCGAATTAAAGCCTAAAACCTAAACTTGTTTAAAAAATTTTGGATTTTTAATATCCGAGTTAGCTTGAAAGTCGGATTCGCAAAATCCAATTTTAGTTTATTATGTCGGATTTTGGGAATCCAAATTTTGTTCATCCATCCCCGGGCTCCTAATGTGCCTTGTGTGGGTATGAGCACTGCAAGAATCATAAATTTGAGATATCAGTATCAGTTTTGCTTTTAAAATCCAGTCTATTTTTCTTAAAATTCTATTTAATGTCGGATTTAGCAAATCCGAACTTAGTCAAAACTACACTAATTATCATGTTTCATATTTATATAAATAAAAAATAATTTCCTCATTGTTATGACATATTTGGACTGGTTTGAAAATTAGTTTCTCTTTTTTTTTAAAAAAAAAAAAAATCTTGGTGGAAAAATTCGAGCTTAGGCAAAAAAAAAATTTTGCCAAAAAAATTAAGTTTTTTCTCCATAAAATATTATTTTAATTGTAAAACTCGGATTTTTGAAATCTGACTTCGGTCAAAATTTTATTTTTGAGAAAAAAAAACTTAATAGGCGAGCTATATATTTATTGGTTAATTAATTTTTGGTGTTAACATAAAGTCGAATTTGTGAAATCCGATTTAAGGCAAAGGTTGGATTATGAAAATCCGATCTCGATATTTTTCTCTTCTCTAAAATTCGACCTATATTTCTCTCTATTCCCATTTCTGAACATTTTTTACCTCAAAAACTCTAAGAAATTCAGTAGCCAAGCTATATATTTATTGCTGAAAACAACGTCGAAAACTGACCATCAGCTGAAAATCAGAAGCATAAAATCTCTATTCAATTCGGATAGCCACCCCCTGAAAATTTTAAAAGCATAGATCAAATGATCAATAAAAGCAACAACAACCAAGTAGATAAAATACTGACACGAACACATTGTCAACCGCAACTAAAGAACACACATGGGGAAATTCATACCAGGTCAGAGGGGATTTTTCAAAACTCGCTGAAAGACACGTTGGAATTTGGGAGAAAAGTTGATGAACATGAAGTCAAAAGTGTAATTTTTAGATGGGTCCCTTTAAAGGTGCAGGAATTGATGGATTCAATGCTCATTTCTACAACACAATTAGAAAACTCTTTAGTGATTCAGTGATCAAGATGGTGAAAAAAGCTTTTGAGGATAGGAAGGCGGAAATTAGCATAATAGTGTCGATGTGAAAATCGTCCGAAAGTAATTGCGAACATACTAAAAGTGGTCATAGATTGGAAACATCCATGGGGATACATCTCCCGCAAAACATATAGGAACATCAAAGATTAAAAAATCAAATGATACACATAACTATACATAAAAGATCAGAAATTCAAATTTTAGTTTAGAAACAAAAACTACCTCTTGCAACCTTAATAGCATTTCCAAGATACTGAATCTCGTTCAAAACATTATCAATCGCGCCTTTGGCTTGGGTAACGTCGAGTGCATTCCCACTTACGACAATCTTAACTGTATTATCCATGTCCCTCCTAAAAATTTATAGATAAATGATTCTGCCAAAACAAAAAATAGCATCCAAAACAATTGTTACCAAAATACCCTCATTGATTTAAACAACTTAAAATTTATAACTTCTTTAGGAATACTATGTATTGACCAGACATTTCTTTTTTTTTTTCACAAAAGAATTAAACGAGGTAAATTAATTTTTATTCTTTAAATTAATTTCCCACTTATCTCATCTTGGCACATGCCTGAAGTTGAACACAACTTTTCAAATTTTTTTTTTAAATCTTCAGAGTTAATTTCTCAAAATCCCCAAACCGATTCTTTTCATATTACTAATATGATAAAATCACCAAAAGAATCATAATCTGTAACCTATACTTCTAAATTATTTTTATCATTTAAAACACAATCCGAGATCAAAGGACTAATCTCCTTCAAAGATCCACATGATTGTTATTTATAATTTTATTGTCCGTATAAAAACAATTAAAATACAATTATTTAAGTCAAAATTACAATGAGGAAAAAAATATTGTTAACATTATTCAAGCAAATTTGGCATGTCCTATTATTTTCTTAATTAGCAGAATAAGTTGGGATATGAAGAACATTTTTACAAGAGAAGGAAAAGCTCAAAAGGAAGTGATAATAAAAGAGGGAGAGGAAAGAAATTTTTTTGGATTAGCATCAAATAACTAAGAGGAAAATATGGCAATTAGATTAATATGGGCATTTTGGGCAATGAAGAATTTTTTTGTTGTAGATACTATTTTTTGTTTTGGCAGTCATCACCCAAAATTTCTATTACTGTCTAAGTCTTCTTCCCAATAAATTGTGTTGAAGCATAAAATAACCCCAAAAGTAAAATTTCATACATTATGTTGATAAAATATTCAATTTCCCTTGTGGCGGCCGGCTAGTCGCCGACCGACGGCGGCCCGACAGCAGCGCCGGTGGTGGAATTGGTCTGAAAATATTATTATTTTATTTAAAAAATTACCAAACAATTTTTTAAATTTTATCTCAAACCACATTTTAAATCACATCTCAAACCCAAATAAAAAATTAAAACAAAATGTTGGCCAAACAAACTCTAAGCTTTGCCAAGTTTTTGAAGTTATTCCGTGATTGGAAAATGCTTTTGACATTTGCCCTTGTGTGGGAAAGAATTTCTGTATTGATAAAAAAGAAAACCACTCTTTAGCAAAGATCTTACGAAAGTAGCTTTAAAGCTTCTGAACTTCCCGACTATGAAACCTTATTAGTTGAAACCTTACTAGTTAGTTAATAGTGTTCCCGTTACAGACATGAATCTTAACAGGCTCCTAATAATAATATGTCCACATATATCTTTGAAATTCCACCCATTTTGAATGAATAGTGAAAGTTGCACAACTGATATCAATGAAAGATAGGAGCTTCAAAAGTATAAATACCATCGCAGAGTTTAATCATCAGTATCCCGCACAATTTTTCTGGAGGGAAGTATCAATGCAGCTACTGGATTACTCTCCAGTCCTCCACCTTGATCTATTATTAATCTCAGGCCTTCTATGTGAAGCTTCCCGTGATGACCACTTAATACGATGGTAGGTGTTTCAGTGAGTTCCTATGAACACCAAAAAGTAGAGCAAAAAAGTGTGGTCACAAATTAAACCATATCAAAAAGGTTTGAAAACTTTTTAATGTTTACATTTAGGTGTTCATGGAGTTTAACAGGAAAAAATTGACCAAGTGCGGGAATTTACCAGGGGAATTTCCCAGACACTTTGCCTCCCACTCAGAGCTTGCACTTTGGGAATCCTTGTGTCCTTGGCTTTCAAAGATTTCAATTGCTGCTCAACATCTCTATTTTTCTCTAACCCAGCGTGCACAGCAATCAATCTACAGTTTTTTATTCCTTCCTCTGTCTCTATGCTCACATTATCCTGCAAAAGATCGATTTAAGTACATATCAAACAGCAAGCTGAGAGATATAAGGGGTGGAACCGGAACCGATTTACAAGGTGATATGTAAAACTGGACAATCTTACCTCCTCATGGACCCAAACCAAATCAGCTATAAATTTTTTGTGGTCCTCAGGAACAGCACGCATCAAATCTACGGAACATACCAACCAAATCATCAACAAGATTTAATGAAACTCCAAGTACAAATACTAGGTAGTACTTACAATCCGAGATAAAGGAAAAAATTTGCCATTTAGCGAACAAGTACTGGACTATTGAGCAAGATTGAAGAAATAGATGTCATATCCAGAGCAAAATTACTGTTCTCAACATCTAATCTAATCAATCATAATAATAATCAAGTATACTGCAACAACACACTGAAAGTAACTAATCAAGCTCAAAATTCCCTTTGCAGAAGAATTAAATGAACTGGTAAAGCAAGCTCAATTAGAAATTTTACCAGCGGATCCATGTGGAACTCCATAGGATTGGAATGTGGGAGCAGCATCATAAATTGAGCCCTTGTACTCAGTCCCCTTTGCAGCATTGAATTTCTCAGTATGATTCCCAGCCCATCTCCTACCTTGCAAATGCATATTCTCAAATCCCTCACCCTTATACCAGCCTTCCTTCTCCTCATACATATCATACTCCTTCCAAGTCTCCGAGAACGGGGAACCATCCGGTGGGCTTGGGAGGACCCCCAAAAATGCCCCAAATGCAAGGTCATGGTTCCCACATAGGAAGACATGAGATTGGTTTGGGTATTTTGTGGGCAGAGATATCAAGAAATCGATGGCTCTGCGAGTATCAGGACCTCTGTCACAATAATCCCCCAAGAAAATTATAAGGGCGGTCTGGAAATCAGACGGGCCAATGAAGGTTTCAAGATTGGCCCAGAGTCTTTGGAGCTTGTCCATGTAACCATGAACATCACCGATGCAACATACGACTCTGGGTTTTGTGGATTTCGGATCTTCAGCTACAACCTTCGGATCTTCCATGGTTCCTTTTGATTTGGTATATGTCTGTCCTAGAAGGGAATTTATAGGTTCGTTTTTTTCCTTCTTTCTTTCCCCTTTTTCTCCGGTTCACTTTGTAGAGTTGTTGGGGAAAGGTGAATGTGAGGTGGCTGATTTTGTAATTAGTCTTACGTGCCCCGAGAAGCCACGAATGAAAATGTATGAATGGTCGGCATATTCTTACAAGTCTAAAGCTAAGAGCATAAATGAGGTAAGTAATTTTGGCCGTACATTTAATTATAAATGAAAAAAAAAAAAGACAAAAAAAAATGTAGCATTCCCTTCTCAACAGATGCATCATACATGTGATTTCACGAATGAAACGACGAAATAGACAAAAACAGATTTGTCATCAAGTTTATGGACATATATGGAAGCAAGTGTATATAATAAGACTATGTATGTGGAAGGATTCGTGTGACAAAATCTAGGTGCAAAAGAAGATACGATAAAACAGCAATTGTGATCTACTACTATGTAGAAATGTCAGCTTGTGTATTCCGGACTACATAAAGATCATTATATCTGGCCAGCTACAAAATGACTCTGACATACTAATACTCAAATCATTAGGAGAAGAGTTCTCTCTTCATCTCCTTTGGAAGTTGAAGAACCTGATGCCTAAAGCAAAAACAGATGCAAACAGAATCATCCAGCCAAGGTGGACTATTCCCACAACTGGAAGGAAGTCGTAACGGTAACCCACGAACTGTTTCAGATAGTCTTTCACTGCTACAGAAGGAGCTCCAGGTATCTCAACAGGATTAGTTTTGTCACCGACTTGGCAAGTAATGGCGCCATATATCGACCACGCAACTGGTGAACACCAGTAATACCACTTCCACCATGCTGGTATTTGCTGAAAATGGTAAACCCAAATTGTTAATTAGTCCAGAAATGGGGTGGCGCACAAAGATCAAACCTATTGAATCAATAAATGTAAGTTCGATGAAAGAAGCGCGAATGACTCACTGTTAGAGGAATGAGGAAGCCTGAGAACAGATTCCAGAAACTCATGAAGAAAGACATTGAAATTGCAGCAAGTTGGAGATTTGGTGTCAATGCAACCAGCATCATACCGAACATAGAGTAGTAGATGTAACAACTAACAAAGAAGTAAAAGAAGAAAAAGAATTTGCCCCATTGCCATTCAAATCCGATCATGGCGTAGATAATAACTATGTAAATGCATGTTTGGGCTGTAATGTAGACGGTCTCAATCAAAATCTGCAAAATATCAGGTGCAAATGTTTATTACTGTGTTCATAGACTGACTAATCACGGAGAATATAACTTTAGCTATAGGATTTTGTATTTCAGGTCAGTTTTCCTTTACCTGTCCTAAGGCATATGGGATCGCGGAATACATCCCAGCTCCCCTTTCCCGATAAAACACTGTTCTCTCCACGGAAACAACTCCTTGCACGGAGCTGGCATTGGTGGCTCCTAAGAAGAGGATGCAAGAATATATAGCTCCCAAAAGATTCATTAGATCTTGTAATTTTCCTCTGTATAGAAAACCAATATCAACAGTCAAATACAAGAAAATGATAACTCTTTTTTTGGCATACTCTTATTAACTTGTAACATATAAATTCTGCAGAATTCAACCAAATAACAATAATAAGAATTTCTGCACAAGTGAAATCACAGAGATGTAACATTACTCACGTTTTTTGTCCCTTTTGCCAGAACATAGTACCAAAGATGACGCCACATGCTACTGACATCAAGAAACGGATAGCATTGTATCTTGAATTCCTCCAGTATGATTTTCTTTGCTTCCAGTAACAAGCTCTGCACTGAGTTGAAAATGACTGTGAATACTTGGTTGGGAAGTGAAGGTCCTGGGAACCTGGTGCAGGGGTACTAAGTTCTTGTATCAGTTGTTCATTCCTCCTGCAGGAGATTAAATGGAACTTTAAGAAAGGGAAGGAGATGCTATGGCCAAACGTGGAAAATTGCTAGTATATTATTTCATACTTATAAAGGGATGATCGAGCATATAAGTCAGCAAAATCAACTTGCAGCTGAGTTTCAACTGCTGGAGCACTAATGTCCAACATCCATGTAGCAGGGTTGAATCCATCTTTAATCTTTGGCACTCCAGGGACAGCCTGCAGCAAAACTAATCTTAGACAGAGCCCAACTGGACTTGCAAAGTTGATAACTGGTTTATCAAAGAAATCGAACAGTGCAATCATAAACATCTCTTAGAGCACATTGTTGTTTCCACTATTTCGGCTTTTATGGTAAACTATGATGAAGAGGTGGTACACGGAGGGTTTTTCTTGAATAAGTACTCATTAACGAAACCAAGTATCAGTAATAGAAATACTTGCCTCAAAATATTCTATAAGCTGGTCTGAGTTGCGACCAAGAGGCCCTGCGTAAATGACACGCCCTCCTCTCTTCATCAAGAGTAGCTACAAAAACTCACAATTTATTTTCAGTAGAGGTTTGTGTAAAGGACATGAAGTGGAGTAAAATTTCTCAACAAAGAAGAAATGCTAACTTCTGAAATCTACCTCGTCGAAAGATTCAAAAATGTCTATGCTTGGTTGATGAATAGTACACACAACGGTTCTACCAGTGTCCACGGTGTTCCTCACTGCTCGCATAACTATGGCAGCAGCTCTAGCATCAAGGCCAGATGTTGGTTCATCCATAAAAATTATGGAGGGATTTGCCACTAACTCTACAGCTATTGTTAACCGTTTCCTCTGTTCTGTCGAGAGACCATCAACTCCTGGGAGGCCAACTAACAAATTCCTTATAGGATTGAGCTCAACAAGTTCAATTACTTCCTCCACGAACATCTGCAGTGAAATTAGAAGAGAAGAGCTACCAGTTAAGGCGGAGAATTCTAGTGTCATATTTCAATCCTTACCATTGTAAGAAGTTAAATTGATTTTTATAACAATGTACCTTTCGAGAGCTTGGTTTTACTTCAGAAGGAAGACGGAGCCAAGCAGAGTACAAGATAGATTCATACACAGTGACATAGGGTGAATGAATATCATTTTGTTCACAGTATCCGCTTATTCGGGCAAATGTATCTTGGTTCTTTGGATAACCTGAAACGCTGATGGTTCCTTCAATGTAACCTCCAGTCTTTCGTCCAGCTAAAACATCCATTAAAGTTGTCTTTCCGGCTCCACTCACTCCAACAAGTGCTGTCAGTACACCAGGTCTAAAAGAACCACTAACATCACGCAGTAGTTGCAGACGATCCTCTTGGACTCCCTGGCTTTTCATTTCCTAGAGAACCAAACAACATCTCGGCTAATTTAGTCTCAAGAAAAGTATATTACGCGAACTGCAGTCTTGAATGATTTATAAGGTGTAAACATCTAAGAAGGCATGTATAGTTGAAATATCAAATAAGATATACATACACCCACAAAAAATAAATAAATAATAAAAAAACTATCTAACAATAAGAAAAGACATACTTACTGCTGGCATATCAACTGAATAATTCATATGGTTGAAAGCAAGAGACAGTGGTTGGAAGGGCAAAATCATTCCTTTCTTGGATTGCCCTGTAGCTTCAGGGCGATTAGAACTTTCCTCTTTCAATTTTTTCCCTGAAATAAATTAGAAGTTTCAAGGATACCAAAGCAAGGATTACATCCTAAATCATAAAATGTTGCATTAAGGCCTCGGACAAGAGAATCAAACCAAACAAAGAAGCCGTTCATTCTCCTGGAAAGCTAGTTCTATGACATGGTTCTGATGTGATTTTAAGGGAAACAGAAAATTCATTCACATATAGCGGGGAAAGTGAGATCCGTATAATACAAGATGATGAGATGTGAGGTAATTAAGCTTCATAGGAAGATTGCCATACTCTGAAAATGAGCTTTTTGCAAAGTCAGATAACAACACAACTAAGACACTTCTAAGCATTAAAGGACTCAAAGATCGAACCTTCAGATGCCTCTGTCATTTGCGGAGAGGATAAACTGTTGTCTTTGTCATCATCATCCAAGATAACAGTCTTTCCATCAACCAAAGCTGCAGATAAATGCATCAAAGAAATTCAGTTTTCAAATTAATAAGTTAAATCATGGCATTGATATTTTAAGATATACAATATACACTTACGGTTAAAGAATGTGAGTGCTGCAATAAATAGAGCATTAAAGAGAAAGGAGAAGCCCACAAGTGCTCCAATGCATATCCAGTACCAGTACTCTTCAGTGTAGAATCCCCTTGATTTGAGGAGGGCTTTCCCAATGGTTGGAGCGTCGACTCGGGGATCCAGATTAGGCTGCAGTATGTGGAATAATGGTTAAGAGTTTGACATGAGTAGTTAAGTACACATAAGAGCAAGTGAAGAGGTTCAATAGATTTTGATAAGGACTTACTGCACCCCATCGGTCATCAAGAAACTCAGACATGACAATGGCATTCTGTCCATAGCTCATAGGAGAAAGATAGGTGGCCCATCTTATCCATGGCTTCAGGTCATCTTCAGAAAACAATAAACACAGTTTAACGACAGAATGTGAAAAAGGGAACCGAAATATGCTATTATTGTGGTAGTTTGGGATGAATTAAGATTTGAGAGTAACTTCAAATGAATACGATGAACTTACCTTTTGAAACAACAAATCCTCCGCACACAAAGACCGCTAGCAGGGTGAAAGTACCTAATGTGGTGGCTACAACCTGTGTTCTTCCCACTGCTGCGATGAATCGGAAAAGGGAGAGAGCCATTGAGTGTATACAGAAGAATGTCAAGAATTGCTGGAAGAACCTAAATAATATCAAAGAGAGATGTCAGAAATGCTACACTGATTGGAAATTTCCCAGGAAATTACAGGAAGTAGCTCTGAAAATTGAAAAAAATTACATAATGCTTTTGCCCAATAGCATGAACAATTTTCACCTGCCAGGAGCTGGAGCAAGCCCCATTGGATAATACGTGAGGATGATCCATATTGCTGATTCCATAAAAGATAGAGGGACCCTGAGCAAAGCTATAGGCAAACCAAAAGCCCATGCTGGATAGAAGAGGCAATCCCTTTGTTTAAAGAACACAGGAAGCCTGAAAACTGTCATGGCAAGTTCAGCCATGCCATTAAACATTACATTCAGGAGGCTGAAAAAGAGAGCTCCAAAAAATTTCCCGCCATCTTGCAACTTGCCATGTGGCATCTGTGTCCTAAGAAAGACCGTAGATGCTACCACAGCCATGATGGTTATCTGAACAGTCTTAAAAATGTATGTAAAAGAGTTGCGTTTCATCAGTAGCCATTCCCTTGAAAAGCAGGCTCTGAATATTTCCCAATTTGAGAGCCCATACTTCTTTTTCACTAAAGCAGCAGGATGAGTTTTAGTTTTATCATAAGGCACAAGAAGCTCGTCTGAAACTTGTTGGCCAACATGGAAGTTTTTGAAGGCTTCAACAAATTCAGGAACTGATATGTACCTATATGGCTGGTCTTTCTTGGACCAATATTGCGGTTGATCCTTTCTGGAGGTAACTTCTTGAAGGAAATCAGCAACTCCTTTCCTTGTAGGGCATTTGAAACCAGTGTACTCAAAGAAATCCAGGACATGTTCACGTGGCCCCTGATAGACAACTTGACCTTCTGACAGCAAAATTATGTCATCAAAGAGTTCATAAGTCTCAGGTGCGGGTTGCAGTAGAGAGATAATCATGGTTAAATCCATGATGTGAACCATATGCTTCATGTGATTTACTATCTGGAAAGTGGTGGAACTGTCCAATCCAGTGGATATCTCGTCCATATAGATAGCTGTTGCTGGCCCAACCAACATTTCGCCTGCATAAAGGTAATGCTACATCTATATCATGATGAAAAGGTTCCAAATATGCAGAGTTAAACAAACGAGAAAACTACAAATATAACATCAACAGAGGAGGTGGACGAACTGTTTTCCGATTTCTTGGCCCAACTAGAGTACCAGACCCCCGGTGGTCAAGCGCACTAAAGATGAATGTTCACAGTAGATACTATTTGATGATATACATCACAGATGCTTGCGGAAGGTTTGGTGTTATGTTGGAGTATGTAAATGAAAAACTCAAATTAAGTGAAAAGTCTGATTAAATTGAAGTGAAATGATTCTCACAAATAATGAAACAAACTGCGGGTTTTCTACCTGTTGTAACACGCTTCTTCTGGCCACCAGAAATACCTCGTCTCATCTGATCACCAACCATTATATCCGGGCAGATATCTAATCCAAGAAGCTGTGGAATAAAATTCGTGAACAGTAAACATAGTTGAGCTGAAAACCTCAAAAGTGACAACCACAACCAGGAAAAAAAAAAAAGAAAAGAAAAACAAAACTGGGAAATGAGACTAGACCTTTAGAACATAATCTGTGCCCACATTAGTTCTTTGACCTGACACAGATATGGCCTTCATGAATGCATCAATTTCAGGGTCTGGCTTGATTCCTCCTTCTTTCTCACGTCGTGAGAGTTCAGCTAGCATATCATGTCGTGCACCAGTGCCCAAACATCGTCCAGAGAAATCCAATGTCTCCCTTACTGTCATTTCCCCATGATGAAGATCATGTTGGCTAACGTAGGCACAAGTTCTTTGGGGGATAAAATCATTCATCTCATGACCACAATATGTAACTTTTCCAGATGTCTGTCAAGCAAATATCAGTTATTAGCAAAGATATATTATACTCATAAGCGCCAGACAGAAAACAACTGCAATTATCTTAGACTACCTAGACTTGTGAAGTGAAGTGAAAACATAACTGTACCTTAAGATCATCCTCAAGCTTCCCTGCAAGTGCCAGCAGCAATGTGGATTTACCGGAACCTGGAGGACCTAGAAGAAGTGTCATCCTACACATGAAGAGTAAAGAAGGAAAAAAAAGGTCAAAATCCAGAACAAGGAGTTTCCAGGTTTTCATTTAATTAGTAGCAGTGAACAACATGAGCACTTAGTACGAAGCCAAGAAATACCTGGACGGTTTGACAATTCCACTGACATCTTTGAGTATGGTAACTTTTTTCTTCTTGGAGGGAACAAGATGAATTGCTCTCAAAGCACTCTGTTTTATCCATCATCCATCATTCACAGGCAAATAAAGAAAACAGACATAACATAAATGGTAAGTTGTTTTTTACTTTAGTAGCTTGGGCTAGTAAATAGTTCCATCATAATCCATGCAACCACGTTCAACCTCATGAATTTTAACTCCTAGCTAGAGATGGAGAAACCAAAACAGCCATATATTCTCATTTTAACTTATAAGCTCCACATCTCAGAGTTTTGGTTAACTAAAGTCATACTATAATCTGAGACCAAAAAAATCACAACCCAGAAAATGTGATGTAAATAAAATAAATTACCTCAAGAACATTAAGAGTAGTATTCAGCAAAGTAGGAAGTGCCCTGCAACCAATATACACCTCTCCCTCAACCGAAAAATTATTATACCTCACTTCAATTTTTGGGACCTCAATTCCCACCCTGCATGTATTATAAGTTCCATCAATAAAATATAAAACAATCATTTGAGATTGATTGATTGTGAATATTACCTGTCAATCCGGGATCTTAATCTCTGCAGGAATTTCTCGTTATCAGCCTCAACAATCTTCAAAATATTCTCCACCAATTGCTTCTTCTCGTGCCTAGCTAACTTGGTGACGTCGATTTCGTCCGCCGATACGGTGCCGTCTTCCCGGACTTGCATCAGGACGCCCTTACGCAACCTATCGTAAGTCGGCAACCTCTCAATCGCGGCCCATTTAAGCTGCTCCTCGTCTTCCTCGTGGACACTGCTGTCGGCGAAGGACCGGTCCGGCGGAGCCTGCAAGGCGTCCCGGAAACTGGAGGAAGCCCAACCGCTCCTCCGGCTGCTGGTCCTTGCCAGGTCATCACCCGTCAACGCCATCGCCATGCCGGATTTTAGCTACTATTACCACTAACGTTAATTTTTTTTTTTTTCAAAAAGAAAAATCACAATAAATCAATCATAAACCATGACAATTTTTCCATGATTGCATGATCTTTTTTAAGTTCCAAAAAAAGAAATTAACCTAAAATGATTCGTCTATTTTTTAAACATGCATGGAGAAATTGGGAAGAATCGCAGAATTGGATGGGGAAAAGAGGAGAGATATTGATGTCGACGAGAATGGTGGAACGTACGTACGTTGGAGATATATATACTTATAGTAGTAGTAGTATAGTCAAATGGCGAATCAAACTGTTGTCTTTATAAATCCTTGCGTTTCGGCTTTTGTGTGTGTGTGTGTGTGTGTGTGTGTGCGTGTTTTATTTTTGGCATTTTTTCTTTCTTGGAGAACACATCTACTCGTATTATTCATGGAATTGGAACCTTTTTGCATAATAAATGTTCTCTCAACCTCTTGGCATAACCTTCTTCATTTTCTTACTTATCCAAGTGGAGGATCATTGCTTATCAATTTATCATTACTAACAGTCCAAAATCCAGTGGAAGCTTATTATCCTTATTTTCGGGGTGAAATTAATTATACGTACTACAATTAATTTAAAATAAAATATTGTTCTAGAACAATATATGACCATCCATTCAGGAAATTAATTACGCAAACTCGAATTCAAAATGATCTCCTCTTCTAGAAGCAATGATAAGAAGGGAGGATTAAGTTGGTGGTGAGCTGAAAGAGTAAGTACTAGTAATTAAGTGGTATCCTACTGGTAAACAGAGATGCTCGTCAGTAAGGGAACCCAGTCAATCCAAATTTTGGTGGAATGTTCTTTTCCGTTTCAAGTTTATTCTTCTTCTTTTCTTTTCTTTTCTTTTTTTTTTTGGTACCACGTAGAAAGAAAAAGATTAGGGTTTACAGTGACATAACTTTGAGGGGACTCATTTGAATTATATATCAAAAAAAAAAAAAAAAAAAACTTTGACGGGAGCCGGCTAATTATATCCCTCTCAATTATTTAATTCACATCCATTGATCGGGTTTCAAGTTTTACTTTAGCAAGTCCAGGGACTATCACAATTAATTAAATTAAATTAATGCTTTCCATATGCACTTTATGGTTTGATCCTATGGCGGGAACAATATGTTCTTCAAAAGAGTTCATGTGCTTGTTGGGATTTATTTATTAGTTGTCACATTAACATCTGATGGCAAACAATTTAATTATGGGATGAGGTATTATAAGGGTAAGAAAGTTTACACTCCCACAATCTCCTATATGATTCAGCTCTTTCTCGCTTTCATTCGCCGCGATAGTTTGAGCATTTGTCTCTGAGTTCTGACTCTTGGTTATGGGTTCGCTCGAGATGCCTTTTGGCCCGGATGAAGCTGGCAATGAAAAAGCATTAGGCGGGGTGGCCTAGATCAGAACAGATTACCAAGCTCAGATTTACGGACGAACCACAGCATAACCATTTGTTCACTTCGGATGCTTTAATGAATAGATGAAATACACTTTTTGCGTAAAATTTCCCAAAAAAGAAAAAAGACACGATATGTATTTTCTCAAATAAGCTTTTGTTCTTCCGAACACTATGATATAATAACTACAGTCGTTCCGTAACCACAGATCTCGCGAGTTTCTTGCTGTCCCATACCATTACCAACGTTTCTTTATGCACAGGTGCCTTCCTAAAATCCATCTTGTTGAGGTCTAAATGGCTTCTTTGCATCTTGCATTTGGCGATCTTCACCGTGCTCAGGAAACCCCTTCCAGAGAACTGAAGTAAAAAGAAAAGAATTAGAACTGGCACTTCACATTTGATTGAAACAAGATATCTGCCTCAAACTTGCAAAATAGCAGGATCACTGGAGGGTAAACCATAACAGTGCAGTTTTCAATACTTAGGTCATGTTTATACACCACCACTCAGTGAACACCTAAAAACTGGAAAAGAGCACCTTGAACTTACATCTGGAATGTCGAAGTCCGAGTCTTTTGCATCACAGATATCGAGTGAAATTTTACGAAGCATTGGCATCTACAGTCAGCCATCAAAAGAAGAGATATCATTACATTTTCTGATTTAATATGATAGGAATCTATATCAGAAAACATGGGTGCAGGACTGTATATCGAGTAACAACCTCAGAAGTCAACATTGCAATAACATTTTTCAGAATCCCATGTCCCTGCACCTCTTGAAATAAAAGTTTATATCAGCCCTCAAAAGTGATGAATGGTATTATAAACAAACTATCTAGCAATTCGTGGGATGTTGTTTTCATAAGCCAATATCTGTCAATTTCAGAACGTATTATAATGGATGAAAATGGAGCCAGAGTCGTAATCGACAAATTTTTAAGCTTTGTGCTAATAATGGACTAGATCAAAATGGATCAACTAAATTTTGGTGCTTCTTAATTTTAGGTCACTGGAAATCAATACATCAATGCACCAATGCATTTTGGGTCGTACTTAAACAGCCTTTCTGGGTATGTTGTTAGTATTATAATGAATGACCTTTCAGTCTACCAATAAGATATCCACTGATATTAATTGCCAAAGCAAAAGAATGTTCCTCCATTCTGAAGCTTCTATTAATTGGTAAGGGAAAAGCAAATGCACCAACTCACAGTGTGACGTAGTAATAGATCTTCAAGAGCTCGGCAGTTCATAAGAGATGACACGCCATCTGTCGTTACTTCTCCACAGTCCTAAGAACAAATAAGTATTGCCGGACTTTAGAAGAATGAATAATGTTAATCTAACTCAAATAACAACATGCATATCAAAATAAAGAACTAGCGAGAGTAAATGGATAACCTCTAGATGTATGGAGGTTAAGCCTGGCCAACCACTTGAAATGATATCTTGGGATTCTGTAAAGGAACAAGCACCTTCTTTGCATTAAAACTTCAGTTGTTCACCGAGAAAAGATTACAAGGTGGAAAAGCTAAACAGAATTTTTTTGGTAGGATCAAGGAACTTAATGCAACACAGATCTAATTAATCCAACTTCCATGATACAATGACAGATGCCAAGTACTAACCTGCATTAAGACGCTTACATCCAGTCAATGAAAGCTCCACCAAATTCATGCAACTCTGTGTCAAAATGACCAAATCTGCATTGGTCATCCATGCAGCTACTCTTTCAAGTTTCAATTTCCTCAAACTTGGCATGCTGAACTGAAAGCTTAATGAGGAAATCTCACCAGAACAATAACAGAGAGCCAAAACTTGCAGTTGTTCAAAGCTCTGCATAACGCTTACTAAGACAGAATCGGATATTACCTGTTATGGGTAAAAGTGGGTACGACAAACAAGTATAACATTAACATATGTTGACATGAAAAAAGTAACCCCCCAATTAGAATAAAATGGGAGCATGAGATCAGTATGAAACTAACTTACATAGGCATAAAAAGAGAAAACCCAAGTATAAACATGAGAAGCAACACCAAGCAAAATAAGCAGCTGCCAAACTATAATGCAAAATTTACTTGTCAATCCTGATGAAACAAATAAAAATATTGGTGAATTTCTTGTGTACAAGTTTAAGTGATATTATGAGCTTGAGGAAGACCACTATCTTGCAGCAAAGAGTGAAAGATTGCAGGAGAGCAGTAACAAGTAACTACCTATAAAAATATGAAAGTACAGTAGCCTATTTCCTTTAAAAGCACTAAACACATGGAAATTGAAATGGTAAAGACTTATTACAACTCTCAAGACATGAATAAAGAGTATTTCAGTCACATTATTTTGTATGTTTTCGACCAGATGATCTTAACCATTTAAAGAACATAAGATTGCAAGGAGTATCAAAACTGTTGAATTTATGCACAAATTCAAAAGAAAATTTATGTAAATAAAATAGAGAAAAGAGGGAAAAGCTCAATCAGATTTTATTCATCTACTCATATCTTTAGTAGGTTACAACTTATTATTAGCAAAAATATAGAAATTTTGGAGATATAGACATGAGCTGGCACGAAAATAAAAAATTGTTAATCTATTACCTGAAAATAAATCACCAGTGTCTCCAAAGAAGGACAAAAAAAGGGTAGAAGCTTGAGACCATCAGGGCCAAGGGATGCACCTAAACCTACAACCAGAGTCCTTAATGATCCAACAGCTGGTTTCAAAGTTTGTAAAGCAAACCATGAGAATCCCCATCCAATAGCAAACTCTGACAGCTTGCAAGAACTGCCAAGTTCAGAATACAAGTCTCTTGAAGTATGTAACAAAGAAGAAAACACTCTTCCTTCAGTTTTGTTGTCTATAGATAAATACTTGCAGCCTCTTGCTTTCAGGCACTTCAGACCAGGATTTTGATTAACTACATGCGCAAGAGCAACGCTGGTAACCTAAGCAAAAATGATTCTCAGTAGATAGACATATCCTCGTACAAATTATAAAAAAAAAATAAAAAAAATTGCCAACCATACATTTCGAAATCACAAAAGACAAACGTCAACAGCTCATACCTTGGTTTCAGAAACGTCCAGCATCTTTAATGAACATCCTTGGAAACGATAAAGTGCATCATCCCCAAGTTGAGTCTCTCTCAAACAGATGCTCTCTGCTAAACGAGTCTGAGACAGTAGTTCTGAAAGAGAGATATCAGGAACCCCTACAACACTCCATCGGATGATAACCACATCAACATTCCCAGAGTAGCAATGATTGTACCCTTTATGTGGATTCCAACATTAGTGCAGAGCAAAAGGGAATGTCTGAAACTTACCGCTGCAGCCACCTATATGTAGAGTCTGCAATTTATAAGCCCGTGACTGCAATGGTATCCTCACTTTGGTATCCTCAGGAATAGGTTCAATAGAACAAAGAGCTAGAACTGATTGTGGCCCAAAAGAAGTATCACAAGCCAAGAGAGATTCAAGGGAAAGGCAATTCAGTATGACAAACGATATTCCGGCATCTGTTACTGACAGACAACCACTTATGTTGAGGAAACACAAGGATGCACATGAGATGGCTACGGCTTGGAGATCAGAGTCTGCAATGACAAGAAGAAAAGTTTAATTTTCATTGAAGTGCCAATGCAAAGAATTTCGAAAATACTGAAGCACCAACACAGTGCAAAACAAAAAACACAACTAAAAACCACGAACATACATTTGCAGCTCAATTTTGCAATGATTCGTACATATAGCAGCTAGAATTCACACCAAGTGTTCAACTGAGTTTGAAGGTCCACTTCAAGATCAAAGACAAGCACTATATTTTTCACCGACAAGAAGGGAGGATGGATCCATATCTTACCAGAAATTTCACTTCTTCCCTCCAGCGAGAGTCTAACAATAGTTGAAGTATTCATACTATGACCCCTTGCAGTGAAAGATAATGATGCCCAAGAACTCCGATCGCCTATCAATCTTGTTGGAGCAGGCGCTAGGCTAGAAGATACTATGGACACTTTTGCTGGTACAAGAGGGTTGAAATCTACAGCTAAGTCAAGGTCGCAAAGTAGAGGGCAGTTTGCCAACAAGCCATTCAACTTCTCAATTCCAAAGTTTAAATAATTTGCCGCCCTTAGCTTTCCCAAGGAAGGAAAGGACTTGCAGAACAACTTAACTGCTTCTTCAAGATCCATAATTGAAGAATTGGAGATATCCACTTCTTCCACTGCTTCAAAAGAAAAAGTAGGCAATCGAGCCACATCGAGAGAATGACGGCCAAGTGAAGGCTGCTTAATATTCTTGTGGTGAACAATACCATTGTTCTTTGAAGAGGGAATTAAAGAAGAGAGGAGGATAATCCTAATTTGTGGGCATCCTGAAAGATCTACCTTCTGCATAGCCAAGAATTACAGTATGAAGCCTGGAAACGTATACATCTGAGTGTTGAAGAGCATTGTGTACACCCAAATAGATGTCTCTCTCCCTATCTGTATGTGTGTGTGTAAAAGGCAAATATATATATATAAATATATATATATATATATATATTTGTATATACGAATGAGTGTGTTTTTTTAAAATACACATGGACACGCACCAGAGCATCAAATGATGTGCAAACGTACAAAGGAAAAGAAGTGACGAGTAAAACCTTACTATACTCTGTTAACCGAATTGTCATACCGCTCAATTGATCATCTCCAGCTATGCTCTCCACACAGCTAGAAGGATAACCTGATAAACTCAGGACATCATCCAAACTTCTGTCCGCAAATTTTGAAAAAAAACTGCATCTTCTTTTACCTAAGATTACAGCAATATGAATCACCTTTTAATAAAAAGTGCACCACTGAACTTTAATTGCATGACAAGATGATGGAGAGAATACCAGCAAGATACCCCAAAGGCAAAAGGTTACAACGTATCTGTCAAAAACAACAGCGACCATGGAAAATAAAGATCAGTAAATGGAACCGTGACAATAGCGGAAAAAGATATTCAGAAAAACAAGTTCAGCAATAGGTACAATAAAACTTTAATCTGAACCTTTAAAAAAAAAAAAAGAAGAAGAAAAGCCTTTAATCTGAACCTAACAGATTCAGAAAGTGACACATCAGAAGCAATACCTGTCGCAATATGGCAGTGCAAGCATCTTCATTAATGCTCAGATATCCAGATTGTTGAACGTTTGCATAGAGCCAAAGTAGAATGGCATCACACAGAAACTTTTCACTGTGACAGACAACAAGAAGATGAGCAATATACAGTGTCAAGATAAACAACAGAGAGAGTAGCAAGAAGAATTACCAACCTATCTACAGTCAAAAAAGGGTGCTGGATGCATGAATAAAGTAACTGATACGGAACATCCACAAAAGATTTACAAGATGATGCCCATACCTGAAGAGGAAAAAAATATAAATTCGGTTAGAGAGAACAAAGAGCCATTTTCTGACATATTTCATACAGAATGATTGACAAAGTGTCCAAAATTGACAGAAACAAAAAAGGTTTACACTTACAAAGTTTTTTGCCAAGTAACCGATACATATTTGTGAGATCAAATCGTTTACTGCAACAAAATCCATTTACATCCATGAAGTTATGTCAACAAAACCTTAAAGAACATTAAAATGAAAATCATGCATTGACTTTATATTGTTCACAATTGCCAAGAAACGTTACCGTGCTCTAGACCATATTTCCAAATATCAATCAAAACATCTAATTCAAGTAAGGGAAGCAAAGGCCCTTTCTTAGATGTTACTTCACTCAACCAAATCTGACAATGTGAGAGTAGTGTTTCCACCCCAAAAAATAGTGCAGCCTAGTACACAAAAACAGAAAAAATGCACTGCATCAAACAATTTATCATGTTACAATTACAAAATTAACACTGAAACCAAGTATATCTAGAACAAAGAGGTGGCTATAAAAAAAAATGATGCCACATAAAAAATGTTTTAATCCACACATCAACGATGCAATGAGTACTCGAAGATAAATAATCATTGAAGATATTAGAAGTGGAACACAAACATAGTCCGAGTAGCAGAACTAAAAACATCCTTCCAAAACAATAGAATGACTAAAAGAAAATATGCAACGTTAAATGCTTTGGAAAAATGAGACGCAGAAAAGAGAATTTTCGGCCCTTACAAAAACGAAGTATATGATCATTCATACGAGCAAAAGACTGTCTTGACCCATATTCAAATAAATAAAAGTTAGAAGACAATGTATACTGTGATTTATCTATTTTCTGGCATAGGCCTGAACAGGACATGTTGTTCAGTTAGGAAGATTGTTGCATTTCATTGATATTCAAAATATTATGGTAGTTCAAAAATTGTGTTCTTTTGCAAATGCTTCTGTAGACTAAACGTGTTTCTAACTTCCACACGAATTTGTAAGTAGATCCAAGGCCACAAGGAAAATGCCTGCAGATGGTATCTCGCTATTGTCTGGCCATTAATGTGAGTAAGTTTTCAAATAACTGGATCAGTTTTAACCATCAATTCTTAGCTTAATCTTCCACATAAAACACCGATAATAACAAATTTATGGTTTACCTCATGAAGAATAATGAAATTATTTGAGTATAAATCCACAGAACATCCAAATATGAACCTCAAAATGCTCAAGAATGACCACTTGTTCCACCGGATTGAAACTGAACTGCGGCAAGATTCACTGCAAGAACCAACGACCAGACTCAACAAAAGATCAATCAAAATCGGCCAATAAAACAAGAAAAAGAAAATGAAAACGAAACTCCTCCCAATGTTTATCTGCAACTATTTGTGAACTAAAATCAATACTAACTCTGTATGAAGAACGAAAGGATCAGACAAAGGGCAATTAATTTGGGATACTTATTTAATTATACAATATAGAAGATCCAAATAGTAAGTGAGATTGTACCTAAAACTTCCACATAAGAGCCCGCGGAAGTACGAACAATTGTCGATCAACCTGTTTTCAGCAGAACAGAATGTAACAAATTAAAGAGAATAAGCAGGTAAGAAGCCCTCGCAGACACCCTGTAATTCGAGCAGTAAAGGAAAATAGTAGTATAATTAAAACAGAAAAGATTACGCGGTGATTACCTGTTTCGACTGGCTTTGATATGAATGGTTTTGTGAGCGAGAATAGAAGGTAAGTCCCAGCTGTCAACGTCGGAAGTTGAAATGGAAATCGTTTCACCATCTTCTTGAAATTCATCTAACTCCGACTCCGTATCGTTAGGATCGATGCATTTTACAATGACGAATTCTCCGTCGTCTTCTCCGGTATTTCTGTTCGTCGCCATGGAGAGGCTTTCCAGCAAGCTCTTGGTTGGTATTTTACTGCAGGCTGCTCGCTCTCTTATACTTACGGCGGTAGAATAATTATCAGGCACTTCTCCGTTGACAGTTGGCACGGCTTTTGTCCTTTACCGTCAGTAAAAGATGAGAATCTGTTTACTCCCTCCGTTCAAAAAATAATTTACATCGTAATTATCACTTACACCACTTGTAATACATATTTAAAATTTAAAATATGAACTATTTTTGTGTAAGAAAAAAAAAACTTTTTTTTTATTTTCGGGTCTTCAAATTATCATTTTGCTATAGTAAAACGTTAAGAATATAGCCAAATAAGGAGTGATAATGTTCCTTAAATCAAAACATTATTTTTGCAAAAAAAAAAATTTCTGAAACACAAGCTCTAATTAATGAATAATTATATTGTACAATACAGTTCACAATGTTTGGTGAACTAGTTTATTATTTATACGCGCTCCCATAATTTTGATTTTTATCTCTCTCTTATATATTCAATCAGATTCATTTTATTTATTTAAAATTCATAACTAATCAAATTCAAATAAACTACAATTCAACTTGTATCCAAATTTTACGGTAACAAAAAATATAATCCTGACAAGAAATAAATTCAATTAAAACTAGAGTCATATAATAAAAATAAAATTACACACTACCACACAAAAATACGTGATAACTAAGAAAATAATACAAATAATAATGTTCATGACTTAAAGTGTAAATATGCAAAACAAAATATATTAAATTTTATAATAGTCATATTAAAAATTTATGACAATTCTATATTGCATACAATAAAAATTCATGGCAATATTTATAAATATCATGATTAATGATGTCAATAATCATGAAACTAATTTACAATATTCGTAACAAATATGCACAATGTTTATACATTATAATAAAGTACTATACAATATTCATACATCGCAAATGTAATATTATGATAAATATGCACAAAATTCATACATTTATAATAAAATAATACTATTTTTCTCCTAAAATGTTCAAACTTATATAATGAAAAAAAAATCATAAATGCTAAATGCATTTTTCGTGGTATATTAATCTAAAGTTCATAACTAATAGCACATTGTAGTAATAATAAAATAATATTCATGATCATATTATGATATATTCATGAAAATTTTAAATAATGTTCATAACTACATTCACAATTTGTAATATGTTCAAGACCATATTATGTTCATGATAAATATAGTCAATATTCATACATCTCAAATGTCATATTCATGATAAATTTACATTATATTCATACATGCAATAAAATAAGAACACGAAACAAACTTGAGTATTTAATATGATAAAATGTTCAAATCCATTTAAAGAAAAGTTCATGAATGAATATTATAGACAGGTGTGTTCATGGTTTTATTAAAAATTATTCATTAATATATAAGTACATGTTCATCGAAAACTCTATTATTTTCTAATTTTTTAAATGTAAACTTAACATTACCAGAATCATGTAGAGGAAGTTCATTTTCATGAACGGATGTTAAGTGAAGTTGTTAGGACAATACATCATCTTCATTGCGTATCAATTGAAGTTGTGCTAGATCATCGTCATTGGTTTCAGCTGTGAAAACTGTCATCTTGGGTGAATCCATTGTTAGCGTTATCGTTTGAGTGCTCATCACTACCACCTCCTTGAAAGACTTCTAAAGTATCATCGTTCATCATAAACGACATCAAAAGGATTTGATTCAAATCAAAACTCAGTCTTGCAATTCTTAATTTTTCTTAAGATAAATGAGAGATAGTTTGTATCTACTTTTCAATTTCTCTTTTATTTTATAAATGAAAAATTAAGTGAACCTTCAAATAGTATTGATAAGATACTAGATTTTCAATTTTGATTTTTTAGATACAATTGGCTAATTGGCTACGGGATAAAAAAAATAATAAGGAAAAAAAATCAATTATATTCATACGCGTGGTTGTTATAATAAAAATTAATTGAAATTTAACTTTTTTTTTAAAGCGTGTAATACAATTCCTAAAACAAATCCATCATTTATTATGAACATGGTTTACTATATAAATTGTATGATGGATTACGGTTATAAGTATATTCTGATTTCTCCGAAACCAGCAGTTTTAAGGAGCAAACAAATAATACGTTTCATTATTTTCTAAGGCCCTCTCTCATTTATAATCCTCTTCTCTCTATCCTTTAAAATTTTTACTTTTAATACTATTTGAATTAGAAATAAAAATTCGAACTGGACAATAATTTTAGAAAGGAAAAAGTAATACAATTGCAAAATAAATTGGCATGAACTATTCTTTTGTGTGATTTTCTCATCTCCTTAAGCTTTTCACAAATTAGAAAATTCTTACTCTTGTCCCAAAATAATTTTACTATGATAAACAAAACAATAATTTTGGGATGCTGAGACGAACTCACAAGATAGAGTACAACGTAAACTACGTAGAGCTAAAATTTCACGCATCGCAGCAAATACTGAACAAACAGCAGTACACCACAACCAAGCTTACTAAGCTATAATGACCAATACATTTGATGTACAGATGGGACGAAGCATTAAGCTTTCAGTGTCAATTGCATCACCGCCTTAGAGAACCATAGTTCCTGGTGGCCTACAAATCAAAATCAAGAATTATTAGGTCGACCATGATGTCAACAACTGAAAACCCATCTATTCTTCTAACTAATGTAGAAGCCATCTTCTGAATCAAGATGAAAATTTCAGAAGAATGATAAGATTCTCAGTAAAGTTTTAACAGAGAAGACTTATCAAGCAAATGATGGATAATTTGTGAAGTGGATGATAACTATTGCAAAGCAGGAATCTATCATCTGTAATCCCCAAAAAGCATTCAAGGCCTTAAATGAAGGACATATGAGAAAGCTAAAAATACAACTTTGATTCAACAGCACTTACTCGAACAGGAGCAGTCTTCTTCTTTGCCATGTCATCGTCGTCGTCATCTTCATCGTCTCTACTCATAAGCAACTTTTGTAATGAGGATGAAGTGCTTTCTGATCTCCTTCCCCTTTTAGAAGTTGTCGTAGATCCTCTACCCCTACCCCTTGGTGCAGCTCTTTTGCGTTCTTTGCCTTGGAGAGGTTCACCATCATCCTAGAAATAACGCAGGAGAGGTTTCATAGAAGCTTTTGATTAACTGTTAAAATTAGATTATATACCTTGCACATACACAAACCTTAATGTGGATCTTCTCATATAACCACACACGCAAATAGACTTGCTAAAAGTGAAACCCTTTTTTTTCTCCAGACTAATTCTTTCGACATTCATCAACAATTTTTGGATTTGAAATGTCAGTTAAATCGATATATAGCAACCAGTATGGCATACCATTGAAGGGAGATAGTGATCACTAACATTTTTGTGGGTCATGAATCTTAGTCAAACTTGGAAGTTTCAAAAAGTCTGTGCAACTTACAGCATCACAAAGTGTAGTGAAGGTATAGACAAATCAAGACTAACCTTTTTGAGAAAAATAGAGACCCGCTTTATTTATATTAACCACCAACTTATCCCTTTAAAAAAAACCACCAACTTATGATAAAACTGATCGATTTATGCAAGTCTTCTTCAATTTAAAAACAGACAAATATTGATAAGTACCTTGATGTATACTACATTCCTAAAGAGTTTAGCAAAATCAAGCAAAGAGATAACCCTACCGAACTATTATCAATGTCATTAATTGTCTGCTGTACCCCTTCATCGCTAGAAGAATCCACATTTTCCTCATCTTCAGCAATACTTCGAACAGATGCTGATGCTGCAGCTGACGCGGACCTGCAAACAATCATCGAAGAATTTACAGCACCCTAATTACAACATACTTAGTGACCGTTTCGCCCATTTTATCAGTTTCTCCAGCCGGAGTTGATACTCTTCCATTTAAAGTTAACTTGCTTCATTAGTTTTGACTTCAAATTCAGATACACACGAACCAATTGCAGCATAAGCCAACTTGCATTAATGCACCACTTCAGAACTATGAATCTCATGTTACACGACAGACAACTATGAAATCCCATTAGGCATGTAATTAACGAATGCGTGCGACTGCCATGTGTTAAAAGAAGCTATAAATTAACATATACAGCAGAGTGTTACTATCTGGAGAGGTCCAACAAATCCAGCAAAAAGAACAAATTAGTCTTCCGAGTCTGGATTATGTCATTGTGCAAGAGTTTATACCAAAGAAGCAACAAATAGACAAGTTAACATAGTGTTGTAACAAAACGGAGAGGTTGATTCTGTCATTGGTGAAAGCAGCTTTATTCAAGTCCATCCAGGAGTTTGATCCTTATTTTCGAAAGATACACGAGGATCCTTTTTTTCTGGGTTGCTTAAGCTCATTTCAAAAGAATGAAAGAAGTTTATCAAGTGTAATTCATATTTGCAAACCAAACGTAGAAAATGCTCAAAAAGTAAGGTACAAATTATGGGGATAATAAGAACTAGATTTTTTTAAACAGGTACATGCATCAACTTTTTTGAAAGAGTTGTATCAAAAAGTCACTTGATTGACACAAACATAGGGTCTTCCATGAGCAAATATCATACTTTGAAATACTTCCAACAATCACAACATCATTTCCTGAGAAGGATCTCATAAGCATCATACACAACAGGGACTATGATTCATATCTCAGTTAAAAAGAGATATTAAAGAAGGGGAAGAACAATATATCTAATCAACAGAAAAAGTATACGAGATCATCAGCTATAGCAAATAAATGTTGGAAAACAAATGAAAGAACTCCTGCCAGTTCAATCTAACATAAACCTGGAAGCAAAAAAAAAAAAAGGTCAAGAGTAAGGACAAAGCAAACACCTCTGAGACTGACGAGAACCCATAGCCATGTCAAGGGTTGTCTGCTTCAAGTTGGTAGAAGATCTGCCTCTTCCCCTACCTCGTCCTCTGCCTCTTGAAGAAGTCTTGCCCACATTAGTGACATCATGAGAAGACCTAAAAGATTCTAAAGAATCCTTCTGACCTCTTGCCCTCGACTTAGAACTAGACAACATAGGGGTTTCCTCATCATCACTGAAGGAAACTGCAGATCTAACACCTCCTGTACTCCTAAAGTCCTACATTTGGCATTAAGTTTACGACAACATCTATAGGACACAAAATACTAATCCATACAAGAGCTTGTAATTTTAAAGCAAAAAGCTTACTGCCAATGATTGCCCACTGAATGTAGGTGGCTGGCTATCTTTCGCCTGAGAGGCTCGTTCTTTAACTCGATCCTGCAAATGTCAAGCACAATAGTATAAGTAATATGAGCTTTGTAAACTACAAACAAAAGGAATTGGCAGTAAGGCCCAATCTCATCAAGAATTACTGCAGGGTACCCCTTATATGGAGACAGTTCTGGTGGAAATGTCTTTTTACATTAACTCCACAAGTAAAGGTTTCTATTAGCAGTAATCAAAATGTTTCCACCATGACATTGTACCAAAAGGGAAAAAAAAAAGAAGAAACTTGTTATCATTATCCCTGCTGCAGATTGCTGAGTTAAAAAAATAAAAATAGAAGAATAAAAAAATAAAATTATCATTATTAGAAAGTTCTATACTTCTAAATCCTTTAACGGAGCATTTTCTTTAATCCACAGTTAGCCTTTCTCGATTTCCTCCCTCGGAAAAAACATGAAGCATATAAGAATACCTGCTTGATTCATAATGTGAGACAAAGTAAATTATCACTAACAGAAATTCCTATTTGCTTGCCTGAAAGCTTGCTTCAACTTTGAGGATTACAGCGTCCTCGTCAAAACTCAGGCAATCTGATTCCTGAGCAATTTTGTTCTGATAAATGACATAATTGCATTGCATCAGTAAATATTTACTCCACAGAGTGTAGAAAATATCACCATGTAACCAGGTGGAGGTTATATGCTCGATCACTAAGGAAGTACTCACACGAGTTTCTTCAATATTGTGCCGAACACAGGAGTAAAATGCCATCTTGTCATCTTTATTAACAAAATTGTGCAAGGCAACATCCAAGTCATTGACTGGAAGTATCTCCATTTTCTGTTCATAGAGACACATAAATGCAGAAGGTTTCAATGACCAATCAACAAATGTGAATAGAACCTTTAGAATGACTACATGATACAGCAAATGGGAAAACAAATCATATCAGAGCAAGGGGACGCATAGAAACCTCTTCCTAGGGAAGGAAATAAAGCCAGAGTATAAATAACTACAAGAAACTTAAGAAAAAATCCATCGTACATGCCGAAGTTCCCTTTTTTTAAAACCATCCAATCCATTTCAAAAAAGCAAAGCAGATAAAGCTGAAACAGATATACCCAGCTCTGAATGAGATTCATAAACCCAATTTTAAAGATGGAAACAACAGCAAGTCTAAGAATCATGCAGGTACTAAAACTGAAATAATAGGATAGGACATCAGATCACAGGAAACAAACGTTCTAGTTAAGGATGGACTTCAGAATTGTAAGTGTAAGAGAGTTAAAACTGATCCCAGTACCAGATTATGCTCTGCAACTAAAGCTTCAATGTTTGCCTGATTTAATTCTTCTGGCCGGAGCTTCTCAGAATCATCAATTTTGCCTGGTGGCCCGGAAATTATATTCATACACACAAAGTAAGCTAGAGAATCGTTCATAAAATTGGCAAGCAGAAGTGTAAAACATAGGGAAAATGGAGAGCTAGAATAAAATGTTGACATCTTTTACTGTTACAACAAATGATGATATAATTCAAAATCTATGAACTTCAGCCAAGCTTTTGTGACTAGAAAAATGCTTGAGAAACAAATCCAAATAAAAGTTTCTCCCTCTACCCACTTTGGGATAACAAAAGAGCAAATTAAGCTGTAAGAAAATAGAATATACCTTCCTTTCGGCTTATTCTTGAAGCTTTCGAGAATATGAGAATATCCTGCGGATTTGCTACCTAAAATTTCTAACTATCATGCATCTTGATAGTAAAAGAATTTTAATAATCCAATGTGAACAGAGAATGTACCTTTCCAACATATTTCTGTCCAAACCTTTGAGGATTTATTGTCATATAACCAGAGTAATCAACCTGTCAGATGAAAATTTCACCAATTTACAAATCACAGCCCAGGATCACATGGAGAAGTCAAGACATTATGCAAATCTGGGTTACCTTTACTCTAACTAAAGGAAGCTTGACATCGGATTTGTTAACTACCTTTTGGGCAGACTTTTTTATCAGATTGTTTACCTACAATATCCAAATACAATTCAATTAGTTATAAATATCAAGCAAAATCTCTGGCAAAATCCCAATATTGACCAATCTGTTAAAAGAAACATCAATGTTTCAAATAATGTGGTTTTGAACTTAATGGAAACTAAGATAACATTGACAGCCAAGGTATAACAAAAAAAACTTGGTACGAGAAAAATCTTCAAACAGAGCAAGTGCAACACACGGACCTTCCAACGTGAAATGTCTTTATATCTACATAAAAAGCTTAATCTATTTTCTGAACCTTTCATGAAGCCTACAACATAATTAGATTGAAGTAGACTTGAAATCTAGATGAAATCTACCAGTATGTCAACTTTAAACTTAATGACACACACAGAGATCTAAGAATTCTTAAAAACTGGGTTTAACATCAAGACAAAAAAGTTCATTACCACTTTGTCCAAGTGCTCAAGGATGGAATTCTGATCATTCGGATCAATATCAGGTTCATCCTTTAGGGTAACCTGCACATTGAAATCTCAGTAATTATCAAGACATACTTTTGATAATGAAAAGCTAGTATTTGAAACTACCTCTGCATACTCAAAAGGCCTGACTGTGTTAAGTGGTATCTTGGTCGGTCGATACTGATTACCCTGGTAATGCATCAGATGCAGAGGTCAATTCAAACTGCACGAAAGTAAAATTTGATGAAAATACAACCAGTAGAAAAACTCTTGGAAACGTATAAGCCAGAACATAACCTTAATCTCCAAAAGAAGTACATGTTTTGGTTTAGATTCACCCTCAATAAGTGATGTAGCAACAGAAGAACCTGGTTGAGTAATGTGGAAACCCATACCGGCAACTTCCTGCAGGTAGATGCAGTTTCTAACAGGAGTGAAAAATGCTACCACATTAATTTAGACCAGAAACAAAAAAAATGTCCATGCAAGTATTACCTGAGGATCAACTAGGCATTCGTGTTCATGGCCCCAAACAATAAAATCCAGAAAACGTGGTAGAAAATGCTCATTGATGGCATTTTTTGGATTTGTCTTCACCCTGGAAAGAATAATCCAAATTATATCAAATCTTTTAAATCTCAAAACTACTACACATAAAATTGCTACATCCAAGAATACTGAGCAATTTTTTTATCCTTCATTTTGGTAGCACACAATCCCAAAAAATACCTGTTCTGATGAAGTACAAGGATGTTGAACCAGTCTGATACTTGACAGTCTTCTTGAGCTTCAGGTCGCATCCATTGTACTGCGTGTGGTGTCTACATAATTAAGAAAACCACAATGTATAGAATGCTCGTATCATCAGAAAAAGAAATGGAAATAAAAGAAACGAAAAAAGCATACCTGAAACATTCTATTCAAGCGTTCATCTCTAATATTCCCAAGACCGTACATAGCTACAGAAGTTGAACCCTGCAGCTCATATAGTTAGAACCTACATATTAAAATATCCAATAAATTCCAAGAAGCTGTAACATAAGAATAAATTTATTCACAAACCTTCCTAAGGAGAATGGGGTTCAAAGTTATCTGTCCAACTCCTGACCCGCCTAGGACCATTTTCCCAAAATAGTTAACAAGATTGCATGCTGAAAGTATATCCACCGCAGAAAGATTGTCCTGTAAAAAAGAATAGGAAACCCAATTGACCAAAGAAAATTAGGAAGGACAGGAATAGAGAATGGAACGGTGCCTACAATTTTGCAATGTAGTTCGGAGGCCGAAGTCAGTGTGTGACTAAGAATAGGCAAGAAATAACTTTTAAGTGATCATCAGTTGAAATTTCAGCAAAAACTAAAATTGTTGACACTTCTTTTTGCTTTCAAGACTATCTTAGACACCTGAGAAGTGTGTAACAGAAAATCCATACCACTCCAGCCGGATCATCGTGATTTCCATGAATGCTGAATACAGGCAACCCCACATTGAAATGGGGATCTTCATAATTTACATGACCAAAACTGCAAGATGGGAATATTCCAAATAAATTAAGAGTAGTGATCAAATGAAGGGATTAAGGTTACAAAGACCACCTATCAATTGATATTGGCAAAGCAAAAGATAAAACTTAAATAAGCCCAAGCATAAATGTGATCTCTAGACTCTTGGAACTCGTAGTACTCAGAAAACAGTTGAAAGAATTGCATAGTAGCACGTGAAAGAATTAGAGTACACAAGGGATTTCACCATGCTACAGAAACGATCGCAGAAATATATCAAGCAATCAAAAAAATTGAATGGAAAACTTCGCAATCATGATCGTACAATTACTGAAAGTTCATCCCAAGAAATCCAAGCCAAGAGTTACAGTTATAATAAGAAATAAGGTGATACTACTGCAAAGATAGATCATTACGAGTTGGCAAAATTCACAGTTTGATCACTAACAACTTGGAACTGCACAGGTTGATCGCTAAGGCAACAACGACGGAGAATTTCAATGGCTTTTACCAATGTCGTCCTTGAGGGTTTGTTCTCATGAAACAAATCACCACCAAGGAGTAAGAAATCCACCTGATGCAAATACACAAAATTTAGTCAAGAATAAATAAAGCCTATGCACATTAATTTTTTAAATTTATTTTCAAAGGAACAAGATCAAAGCAATAAAGAAAAGAAAGATAAAATTACTCCAGGAAGTGCATTATAGATCATACATTTTGCACCAACTAGTAAGAAAGAAACAAATAAGCGGGTGAAGAGAGCAATCGCCATAGTCAAACACTATTGCTTAGCTTAGCACTTCAGAGGCGGGAAATGGAAGATATAAATGACAATTGAGGCCCAAGATACCGAATGCAATATCCCCAAATTGAGCAATGGAAGTACCTGTTTTTGCACGGCAATATTGCATATCTCTTCAAATGCCTGAAAGGAATCGTGCCTGCGTATCTCATCCTTCTCCATGTATCCAAGGTGACAATCCGTAGCAACAAGTACACGCAGCGTATTAATATCATCGCTCCTGAAATAAGATTCAGAACAATAGACACGGAATCCTCAGAAAACATAACCATAATGAAAAAATTTAAAAAAAAAAAAAGAAAATACAACCTTTTTTTCAGTGGGATCATTGAAATTGAACAAAAGACGCATCAACGGTATTTTACCTTGACACGTTACTCATTTCTGATTAACTTGAAGAAACAAAAACCTTGGCCGAGCAATTAAACCCTAGCTCTTCACTAGTAGTTCCCCAAAAAAAATTGAAAGCGACGAAGTGAACTAAATCAAAGAAAAAGGTCAATAAGAGCTTAACAAAGCCCTAAGTAAGAGTATAGATGAGCTTCGTATAGTTCGATTGCGCTCTTGCCGGAGCACGGCGACGCTGACTGATAAGGAAACTCGCAGCAAGAAGCGAGAACGGTCGGCAGAGTGGCGCGGAATTTAAAACAGCATTTCTTTCTACAGAAAAAAAAAAAAAAAAGGATTATTTTTCCGGCCAAGTCAATAGAAGATCTACCGCGGTCCGATACACTGCTCTTGAGTCCACTAAAGCAATGGGCCGCTCGGGACGGCCCTTTTCTGAACTCATATTTATTCTAATTTGGTTTCCATCTGACTAATCATTTTATTCGTAATTTTTATACCAAACTTAAAAATAAAATAAAATGGCCGTTCGTAGCCGTTGCATTTGAGAGAATCTTCATTAAGCGTATGTAATTAGGAAAATTTGAGAGATTTGAGAAGTACTGTAACAAAAGATAGAGAATAGGGAGGAGAACATAGTGTTTAAAAAAAATATTCTTTTCCCATTTCGTAACTCAGATATAATATTTGTTTGAGTTTTATGGCCCAAAACGAATTTAAGGTTTGTTATGGTTTTACGTAAAATCAAATGATGTACATTCATATGTCGATCAAATGAATGTTTGTGGCGTCATTCAAAGTTAATGAACAGTTGAACACACATTAGTACAATTATTAGAATAATTTATATATATATATATATATATATTAAAAAAAAAAAAGATGTAACTATATTTTAGAATGAAGAACTGAACCATTTCTTCCTTCCCGGCTTAAGTTTGTACTAATAAAAATCTGATGCCAACACGGGAGTTTCTAAATCATTGCATCAGAACAGATATGTAGCCAAAATAATGATAACAGAGTTATTAATTTATTAGTACAAAGTCCCCTTGATCAAGCATAATTATTCCTTAAATGACTTCAGATGATGACCTTCCGATGGAAATTCCGGTGGCAATTACACGCTGCACAAAGGAGAGCTCCAGGGCTCCCCGTATCTCCAGCCGGCATGAATTCGCAACAGCCATCCACCGCATATCTGCCTATATCCGCTGCATGATTCTTCCGACAATCTTTATACATGACTAGTCCAGCAGCAACCATGATCTTCTCTGTTCTCGAATAATAAAACCTACGGCTTCTCCTAACACTTGTTGTTGCATTATTCTTTTCGCTCTTCATTTCTTGATCATGCACATCCGTTCAGAGCTCTTTAGCAGCTGAATTTGTAGTTGCATTGGCTATGTACAAGTGGTTATAAATGGTTACAGTAGCACACAACCTTTATTTATATAGCTTCTGTCTATCTAGCGATTATGTGTGTCTCATTCCTCACCTCCATGTGGTAGCTAAAATATAATTCCTATAAAGACAGGCGCGCCGAATTTAAAGTTACGTTTGTATAATGCTGAATTTAATTTCCTCTCAATTTCTCTCTACAATTATGTTAGTTCCTGGTGATAGACTTTGATATTATGGGCGTTTTCCAAAAGAATTTCTTCGTTGTGTTCTTGAGTTGCCCCAACGGCCCGACGCATTAAGTGAGATGCTTCATCAATACTTAAAACTTTAGTCAATTCCATTCAGTAGATGGAAATATAGTTTACCTGAATCAGTTACTACTAATTATGTAATGTTATCCGTTCTTTCTCATCAAAAGAATAAAGATGCGTCTTTATTTTTCTCTGTATTTTTCTCGTGGAAAATTCTTTACCTGAAGTTCTAGTACTGATAGAGGAAAGGTCATTATCGGTTGTTACACACTTTCGGTCAATCAATGGAGAGTCTCCTTTTCAGTTTTCAGAAGGAAAATGCTCAATCATTTTGTTCCAAGCTAGCCGTAACAACGGCGTCAATTTCCCCGTCTCAAGATAATTCATAAGTCTTGTCCGAGGTGAATTCTCCTGTAAATGAGCCATAGCTGTTGGAACTAGTTTGCCTAGAGGAGGAAATTTACCCAGGGATTTCTGTTCTTCCCTGAGACCTTAAAATGCAGAGAGAATTTACCCAGGGATTTCTGTTCTTCCCTGAGACCTTAAAATGCAGAGAGAACGAAATTACCAGCTACTGTACTACTTCAAGAAAGAGCAGCACTGACAAGATATAACTCTTTATGCCATAGATTTCTGGGCCAGAAAAGAGAAACTTTCCCGCAGATTCCTGATAAATATACACTGAGCTACAACATAGTTACAAGTAGAGGAGACAAGTTATTACCAATATTTTAGCAGGGCCGCAAATCCATCTTTAAATAAGTTGAACTAGAACAATTCAAACTCCAGATGCTCCCCAGTGGCATTGTACTCGAGATATCTCTTGCCTTTCTCCTGAGAGGTTACTTTCGAAATTCCGACCTCACAAAACTCAGGAATTAAAGGCGGCATCGCACAACGTATCAATGCCCAATTCAGGCCATCAAAGAACGGATGCCGCTTGATTTCAGCAGCTCCAGTCTCTGTTCCAAATCTATTTTCGGGCTCTTTAACTAGCAGCCCCCTGATTAGATCCCTTGCTTGGGAACTAACAATTGGGCCGTCTGGAAACTTCAGACTGTGCAACACCACATTGGCTAATGTCTCTTCATTATTACAACCTTTGAAAGGAGTCTTTCCATATAGAAGCTCATAAAGGAATATGCCAAATGTCCACCAATCAACAGCACTCCCATGGCCCTCGCCTTTGATAATTTCTGGAGCTAAATATTCATGTGTGCCCACGAAAGAATTCGACCTAGCCTCTGTTGGCTCAGCCACAAGCTGCGGCAAAGATCTGGACTGGGCTGCTTGCTCAGCCTTCAGTTTCCTAGCCCTTGCAGTTGCAGGCAAAATTCTAGGGCTAAAGCATGAAACTTTACATGATGGTCCGGCACAAAAAGGATCTATGCAGTTTGACCCTGCACAAGGACCAGAAACCCTTGGTGGCTCTATTCCGAATGAAGTCGACTTCAGAAGAGTAGGGTTAACTGAACACCTCAATGACAGATCAAAATCCGTAAGCATGATGTGGCCATCTTCTCGTACCAAAATATTTTCGGGTTTCAAATCACGGTACACAATACCAAGCATATGCAAGTACTCTAGAGCAAGAAGAACCTCAGCAACATAAAACCTGCAAGTTAAACGTTCCATCAGAGGGCTATACAGAATATTAAGCAAACATGATAAAGAAAATAATAGTAATAATACTGAGTTTCCCCGAGAGTTCTGATTAGAAACAGGATTTATTATGACTGTAAAAATAAGCGACCCTTTCACTCCCCCGCTCCAGAAGAATGGTACACAGATAGCACTTATTTGTTGCAAAATCAAATTACGACATGGCACTGGCTTCCTTTACAGATAAGCCACCGTAATGTCAAACTATGGTATAGATTTGATTTAATATAACACACATTTCACCAGATGAGCCCCCCACCCCATCCTGCCCCCATAAAGAGTTATTTCAATCTGAAGGTCACCGTGTGTGTGTGTGTGTTAATGACGGCAAAGCTGTGGCACATTAAAAGTAAAATATTTACCTTGCTGCATTTTCAGGAAAGTATCTGCCTGGCTGCTTCTGACGGAGCACATGCAGATCTCCACCGGGACAAAATTCCATCACCAAACATGATAGATTATCTGATGTGAACTGAGCATACAGTGTTGGAAGAAAAGGGTGATCTAGCATTCTAAGAATCTCTCTTTCAGTTTGAGCCCGCGGCATCTTTTTTCTTCTTGCCAAAAATTCGTTATCCATGACTTTTATTGCAAAGAGACAGTTTGTTCCAACCATTTCTGCAAGATACACAGTACCAATATCACCAGAACCAAGCTTCTTTAACAAATTAAAGTGGCTCAAACCCAAGAATCCATGCTGCTTTTTCACAAGATTGATCGCTTCCCACCGCAGGTCTTTCGACATGTGCGGTCTGTTTCCACAACTAGAGCCACTTACATTACTATCATCACTCATGCTGGTACTACTACTATAATCACCCATGCTACTCTTTGAACTTTGTGAGAAGTCCCCTTTATCTTTAAATTTTGGTATCATGCTGCCTTTCATGGCAGGCATGCCACCACTTCCACAGCTTGTTGGAATCGTGATCATCTTACTGGCAGAGTTGCTGCCATTTGCACTTGGAGTAGTAGTGGAGTTCAAATCAATGGGTGGAATAGATTCTTTGCTAGATTCCTTTTGTACATCTTTCAATGAACACTGACACCTCTGGCAAATTAATTGACTGGAACTGTCACCAAGAGCAGTGTTTTCCTTACAAGTTGCATCAGATTTGTCACCTACAGTTATCGAGTCCTGCTTCACTTTCTTCATGGTGATATTCTTGTTCCTGATGGCTGGTTTCACTGCACGGGAGGTGCTTCTGATTGACTTATTCTCTTTGCTGCTTTTGGAAGAACTAGAGGTAGAAACAGTCTGCAACTTTGCTTTCCGTCTCAGTTTAGGAGTTGCTTTGGTCGCAACTTTAATAGAGGTTCCAGTTTTCCTGCTTGGCAAACTAGCAACCTTGTTTGAGCGCAGGGTACTATTGTGAAGCTTAGGTGTGCAATCACCCGAAACATCTGTTGGACCAGGAGAATTCATAATATGATCTTCTACCTCCGAAGGTGGAGATTCCAAAATTTGACTAACTTTTAAGACCCTAGATGTAACCTCATTTTGTTCGTCAGTTGATCCACTACTTTTGAAACCTGATTCAACAGCACGAGGAGAATTGTTGGCTACCTTAGGTTTGGGCTCTGCATTTTCTCCCTTAACAGCAACCTTTTCTGGAACCAGAGTCTCCACTTTTCTTGAGGTAGGGGCTATGGTACCGTGAAGCGGAGAGCTATCTACACTTTTTATTGAGGGTTTAACCCAGAAACGAGGAGAGGAGTGGGAACTTTGGCTTGCAGATTGCGTCTTACGCTCTAAAAGGAATCCATTTGAAGTGCTTTCTTCAGGCACCAAGGAAATTTCAACTCTGCCTTCTCTACCTTCAATAAATGGAAGACCAGAATCGCCAGATTCAACAACAACAGACCTATTGAAATTGGTATAACGCCCAGCTTCCGCAAACCCCGGGGATCCTGGTGGCTTTGTCAGTCTCTTCATGGCAGCCATTTCGGCTGCCTGAGATATGCAAAGCCCCCTTAGAGCCTGTTTCAGAGAAACTGGTTCAGAAAATCCAATGCCCGGGGAATAGGAAACACCTACACGCATTGGCTTCTTTGAGGGATTTTTCCTGGGGAACCCAGAAGCTCCGCGGTCAGAAAGATCCAGGCTCTTTGACGTTCTGACATTTATCCCCTCAAAAAGCCTATTGATATCATCTTCTAAATTTTTGTTGGCACCCTTTTTAATTGGAGGCAGCCGTTGTCTGTCATGATGTCTTGCTTGACCAAATGCTTGAGAGCGCTGAGTGGAGCTCATTTCTTCGGTTGCTTCAACAATTTCTCCAGTACGAGCAAAGGAACCCATAATGCTTGAAACACTCAGAATGCAACAACAAACATCAACTCAACTTCACAGCAACGAAAACAGAACACAATCTCAGGCCTGAACAAACGCTGGCCAGTACTCAAGCCAAGTGTGGCCGCAAAGTAGCAGCGCAACTATAACTTGGAAGCTTGGCATTTGAATTCTGTACAATTCTTATGCTCCAGACATTGAAAACTCCCATGAGCTGCAAAAAAATAATTTATAAATCTCATCACTTAAGCCGGAAGCATACATCAAAGAGACCATGGCAAACAGAGTTAACACAGAAAGAAAGTCAAACAATTCAAATAAACAGAAACAGCACCAATAAATCATTTGGAGAGGCACAACAAGTACTAGGATTTAATTCCAGTCTATATTGTATATTCCTAAAAAGAAAGCAATAATACAGCTCTTTTGACACCATATTTACCTGGGGGAAAAAAAAAAAGAAAAAGAAGCAGGATCAAACTACATATAGAAATAAACTTCATATCAAATAAACTGCATCTGCTAGCTACCATTCGTTCATCTGTTTCTGTTTGGCTTCAAAAGTCTAATAAGATTCCAAAGCGAAATGAATTCAAAGGAAGCAACAATACCCCTTTTTGTTTATACTTCCAATGTCGAAAAAACTAGTCATTCACATTCAATAGAATATACTTCAACGAAAATTATCTAAGCTCAAATATTTGAGTAATTTACCATCTCTATCCGTATACATCATAATCCCAGAGTGTCAATTTCAGTTTCATTTTAATAATCAAAACTAAGGGAACTAATTCGCAACAGTGGTCCAGCATAAACCCCCAAAAAAAAAATGTGCCCAAGTAACCCTGGAAACAAAAATTAGCAATATCAAAACTAGAAGCCTTCACTCCAGAAAGAAATATCCACAGTAGATATTAGACAAAAATGAAATCCCTCACACATTATTCCAAACCCAAAAGGAAAAAACCTTAAAATAACAAGATCAAAGCATGCATTTTACTTGCTTAGCAAAACCAATAAAGGAAAAAAAATTTGATAAATCTCGGAGCTCAGATGCTTCACCATTTTTGCAGAAAGCAATTCTTTCAGATTGCCCATAGTAGCTAACTTCAGCCAATACAACAACCCAAATCACAACATTTTCACAAGCAAGCTAACAGTAGATCACAGAAATCAACAAGCAACCACACCTACCTCGGATAAGAAACTGGTGCAAAAAAATATTTGAAGATCTAATAATCCTCAAGCTTTGCTTTATTGACTTGCTAGTGAAAAAAAGCGCACCCGGAATGTAGTAAAAACCAAAAGAACTAGAAATTTGAAAAGGGAACTACAAAAGCACCGCAAAGGAAAAAAAAAAAACCCAAATGGGGTATGAACTGGTGGTGGGCATTCGGTGGAGAGAGAGGGAAGAAGTAGAAGCAGTAATGCGTTTCTCTCACTTCAATATGGGAAAATGGGAAGAAAGAAAGTAAAAGAGCTGCCTGCCTAAGGCTAAGGGAGGAAGCTAAATTCATTTTTTTTTTTTCGTTCTCTTTCTTTCTGGGGATATGACACTGTGTAGTGTGACAGTGGGGCCACCGATTTGTATTATAGGGACATGGGGTCCACTGTGAAATAAGGTACCGAGAGGGTCCCCTGAAAATGTCTTTGGATTCGGATTCCTGTTTTTATATTAAAATAAAAAAAAATCGAGAAGTATTTTTCTATTATCTCTGTTAAAAATTAAAAAGCTTTGAAAACTCACCACAAAAACGAGGAGAATCTGTACTGTTTGCTGCTACATATTTTTTGGAATTTAGCTAATGGCGTTGTTTTTTCTACTTAACTACTTTTACTCCTCCTTAATCACTTGCTAGTTGGCAGTAAGCAATTTTTGAGGATTAGTTGATGCGTGAGTATGTAAAAAATTTACCCGACCAACGAGGTCAATTGTGGTGGTTGAAAATGTAGGTTAGGACGTTATATGGGTTTTAGAAGATGGGATTTCAAATGAGAAAAAAAACATAGATTAAACACACGATATTTTTGGATTACATCTACACTCAGCTATGGTAAATTGCAATGGGATCTTCTATGATAATAAAAGAGATTTTATCACCAAATCAACATTTCCTTTGCTTGATTGTGTTTTTTTCTAGTTTGATAAGAAATCAAAAGACATTCTCTTAAAAAAATATATCGGGGCTACGAGGAATCGAATACCACCAGCCAATAAGGCAATAATTCGTTGATGATATATGTTGCTCAATAATATGCACGGAAAACTGAAGCCTTTCGTATGGTTTGTTAGGCGCGTAGCTTTATTAAGCTCATTGAAGTTTGAAGTTTCAAGAAGTATTCAACCGATCATTTATAACCTCTGTTGTGTACTAGTGGTGATTCCAGAACAATTAATAATTCTTCCTAAGTTCCAATAAAGAAAGGTTGGTAGTTAAGCACAATTATTGTCTTCCTTTTCTTCAATTATGGTACTTAAACCTAAACCCAGGTGGTTAACCTCTTTATTGCTGTTGGATTTTTCCTAGTAATTATTATCGGCTCTATTAATATAGCCTGGAACGTACTATGGTGTAATCAGTACTAAAAGGCCAACAAAAAAAAAAAGAAAAAAAAAGTGACATTTGGACTACTGAATCATGTTGATGCTTCTAAGTGTATCCAAATGACCCGCTTTAAAACAAATTGAGATTAATAAAAAGGGTAAAGAAAAATTTTAATATTTGGGGAGAAATTCTTGGGGGGTCACCCTCTATGATTTTACAAATCAAGCACAAATCTCAGTACAATATAAAACTTAAGAATCACTAATCTTATTTGGGAACTTGGGACCACTTTAATCATCAACAGTAAGAGTAGTCTTACTTTTTTTATTAAACAAGTGTAAGTAAAAAGATTTGTCAACTTAATTAATCCCACTAACAGCTTTGCCTGGCTAAGGATTGCCGTGGCACGCGTAGCCGGAGCGCCCGAGCCTCCTCCGGATCATTAAAAAGAAGTCCATTTTTAGGTCAAACGCCGAGGGTCACAATTGCGCCGTTGGTTTTGCAAGAGCTCAGAGATTAGTCTCCCTACTTTAGAACATTAGTATAGACTCCTATAACTTTTCTTTTACCAGTTTGATTGACCATTTGAAGAAATTTGAATTATGATTGAATATATTAAAGTTATGTTGGCTAGATTACACACGAACCTTTCCCCATTTTAGAGACGTTAGCCATAGTTAAGACACCATTCTATAATGAAAAACGTTGATTTCGACATTGGGAAGTTATGAAATTGAATCCATTTCGTAGTTGTTTATGATTCTGTTACTTGTCTTATGAAATTGTCTAGCCATTTTTCGTAGTGTTCTCCATGCATGCCCTGCATGGTTTATAGGGATGTTGATTAATCAGATCAACCCGCAGAATCGCCCGAACTGAAATGCTTTCGGATTATTCGGGTCGGCTATTCGATTGAGTTCCGGGAATTGCGGCTCCACCTGACTAACCGAAATGATTATTCGGCGCGGGTGCGGGTTTCAGAGCTCTTGTTCGGGGACCGCCCGATAAACTGATTAATTTATTTTTTATTTTTTTTATTCCATATATAAGGGAAATGAAAATTAGAGCTTTATTTTATTCCCTTTTTTTTCCCTTCTCTCTTTTCGTCGTTCTTCTTCCTCTGGTTTCTTCGACGTCGCGTCACCGCCGACGTCAACAGGCGCCGCCGTCGATTTCTACCGCAATCCCACATCCACCTGCACCTCTCACTACTCCACCTTCCATTTTCCACCTCCACAATGGACCAATTGGTCTAATTTCTCCCACAATCCCAAAAATTCGGATATAGGGTTTCTTCTCCTTCATTGTTTTTTGACGCCGCCGACGGTAACCAAACGCCGCGGTCGATTCCTACCATTTTCTACCTCCACAATCCAGTAAATCGACCAAATTTAGTAATCCAACACCACCAATCCAGATCTAAGGTTTTACACTTTCAGTTAACCTTTCAAAATCGATTCTTTTTTTAATCGAAGAGTTTAAGCCTTAAGGTTAAATGGTTAATCGGGTTAGAGATGCAGCATATGCTCTGAGGAGTGAAGACTCGAAGTCCACAATTGACTGTTCGATTCTTTGATTCGGATTCGATCTGGATTCTGTCTCTGAAAGAGAAAAAGAAAAAGAAAAACTGAGGTCTGAGAGGAATAACTGAGGTCTAGTTACTAATTGTTTCTTTGTTTACTTACTAATTGTCTTTGGATTCTATCTACTTACTAATTGTTTCTTTGTTTTTGCTTTCTTTAATTACAAGAGGACTGGGGTCTGAGAGGTGAGAATTTTAAGGCTTGGAGCTTGAAGTTGTTACTGTTTTAAGGTAATAATTTTTTTCTAGTCTATCTTCGTTGATCATTCATTCTTTTTGAGTTTCAGTTTGACTGTTTATGGACAAACATGCACGATCAGTAGTTTAGTACATTGTTAGTTCATTGAGACTGAGTTGTGACTATCAAAAGGTGATTGCATTTGCATGTTATTTGAGTTTGACTGTTGTTTCTGGAAAATGCTGGTGACTGTTGTTTCATGAGATGTGATTGTTGTTGACTTGTTATTTCTGAAAAATGCTGGTGATTGAATGTCAAGTTGTCAACTGGTTCATTCATTGTAACTGTTAACTGTATGATTGGTCAATGATCATGTTAACTGGTGAACTGGTTTATTAACTGTAGCTGTCAAGTGTTACATTCAATTGTAACTGATGACTGTCAATTGATGATTGAGATTTGAGTGTTAACTGGTGGTGATTGACTGTTGTTTTAAGGTCAGCTGTAACTGTTAACTGAAATACTTTTTTTTCCTGTGTAAATGTCAGAAATAGAATCTGACTTTGATGACAATATTGACATTGAGGAGATTGGAGTCGAGAAAGGGTTACAGCCTCTGCCTCTGCTGGATTTGACCGATGTTGATGCATTGATGATAGATGTACAGATTGAGACCAGGTAAATGAAGTGGCAGGGCCTGAAGGTGAACCTGCTGTTGCTAATGCTGCAAAGCCCCCGAAGCAGCGCAGGGCAGTTCGAAAGCGGTCTACGGTATGGCCTCACTTTAATACTTATAGAGACACTAAAGGTGATTTATGGGCTGCTTGTAAGTATTGTGGTAATTCTTATAGGGCAGAAAGTAGGAAACATGGGACTAGTAGTCTTTGAGGGTATTTGAATGTTTGTAAAAGGTACTTAGCTCTGAACCATGATCCTGGTCAGAGTAAGTTAGTTATTGTGGTTGGGGAGTGAAAACCTTCAAATGTAGGTACCTGGAAGTATAATGAAGAAGAAATAACTAGGGCACTGATATACATGATAATAGTGGATGAATTGCCTTTTAAGTTTGTTGATAAAAAAGGGTTTAGATATTTTCTTAGGAAGTTGCAGCCACTGTTTGTTCCTAAGGGTAGACAAACTGTGGCTGATGACTGTTATAATCTCTATTTATCTGAGAGGGAAAAACTGAAACTAGAGCTTAAAGGAAATGTTAGTAGAATCTGCTTCACAACGAACACTTGGACATCTTTGCAACAAATAAAATATATATGTTTGACTGGACATTATGTGGATAATAATTGGACTTTGAAAAGAAAATTTTAAGTTTTTGCCCTATTGCAAGTTATAAGGGGATTGATCTTGGGGCTGCAATTGAAAAATGTTTGTTGGATTGGGAGATTGAAAATGAAAATGTCTTTGCAATAACTGTTGATAACGCTTCTTCTAATGATTCTGCCATAGAGTATTTGTAAGAGCAATTTGCTCATCGAGAAAAGTCTGTGTTGGGTGCTAAATAGTTACATGTTCGTTGTGTTGCTCATGTGATGAATCTAGTTGTTAAAGATGCTTTGTCTTATATTGGTAGGTCTGTTGATAGGATTAGGGCTGCATTTAAGTATATTAGGCAATCTCCTAAAAGAATTGCAAGTTTTAAAAAATGTGCTGAAATTGATAAGTGTTGTAGTACATATTTAATGCTAGAAACTGCTCAGATGTATGAAAGAGCTTTTAAGAGGTATAAAACTGGAAATCAGCATTTCAAAGACACGTTGGGGTTTGATCATGATGTGCCAAATTCTGGGCCTGGACTGCCTATTTCATCAGATTGGGTAGAAGCTAGGAGGGTTGCTGGTATTCTTCAGCATCAAGGTTATCTCGTACAAAATCTGTCTCTTCGGATAATTTCTTGAATGATATTCATTGTATAGATGTTTTGTTGAAGAAAATTATTAATGAAATTGAAGATTTTGGTCAAAAAATGATGTCTGAAAGGATGAAGGAGAAGTTTGATAAATACTATGGTTCTATTTAAAAGATGAATCTTGCTTGTTTTAATGGCATATGTTTTTTATCTAAGAAACAAGTTGAAACACATTGAAGTTGTATTTTATGAGGTTTATGGCTTAGTGGATGGAAAAAACAAATATGAATTTGTTAAAAACGTCATTTATGAGCTGTTTGCTGAATATGTTAGAATCCATATCCCTAGACCTAGTTCTAGTACCTCAGCAAATCTGAT